AGACAGTTGATAAAAAGCTCAACAAAAAATTATCATTGAATCGACGTTTCAGTGTAATCCAGAACTGAGTAGGTCAATAGGAAGATTTAATCTGTTGAGAAATTGCCACTGGAGTTTCTTAACCTAAAGCGATAATTTTATCAAATGGAGTTGTTTAGAGAAGTTTGATCTCGGGTTTTACAATCTCTAGGACGAGGAAAGGAATCCGAAGAAGTAGATCCATTTGCCTTGTATGAACTATAAGCGATTCGATTCCCCGATTGCCAGGTATGAACTATCTGTGCTAAGAGTGACAGTTCAAATATATTTGCTCCTGACGTTTTTTTCCATTGCCGTGTACTCCACTTTAACAAAAAGTTAATTTTGTAACAGCGGTAAAATTATTTTAATGTTAGAAAAAACTATTAGCAGAAAATTGTATTTGTGTTGTGTAATCTTAACAATTTATCTTATCAAAACTGCTAATTCTAAGATTAAGATAACAAATAATTAAATACTTCATTTAAAGACTTTTGCAAACTTAATTACCACCCGTTAAGAAAAATTGTCTAAAAGTTATTAGTTTCTGAAAATCTATACATAATAAACCGGGAGTGATCTCCCCTAAACTTTCTCGAATATTCTTATATAAAATAACAGGGGATGGGAACTCGGGCTATAGACATGATTTTTAATCCATTTTAAATACTTAAAGTTTTAAAAATAGAATAAAATCTCGTAGACAAATTAATTGCACACCAAGTGAACGCAAATAAAAAAAAGCGCATAATAGTGCGCAATATTATTAGTACTTTTAAAATTTACATTAGTTTTTTGAGAAATCGGAAGTAGCGTAAATTACTACTTCCAGTCAACGGAAATTACTCAAAATTTAACAGAAGGTAGAGAATTAGATCTTTTACTTACATGTGAAATTTCATTTATCTATCTGAAATAGTACTCAAGTTATAGGCTTTTAAAAAATTCAAAGTAGGAAAAGTACCACTTCCGGTTATCGGAAATCGCTCAAAAGTTGATACGGATCTACGATTTTGATAAAATACTTATATATGAAATTTCATCAACCTAGCTGTAACGGTACTCAAGTTATCGTGTTTACACACAGACACACACACGGACAGACACACACACACACAGACATACGGACAAGATTGCAAAATTATGTTTTTCCGTATCAGTGAGGTGTAAAACGTCGAGATTTGTAAAAATCTCGATTTTTTTTTTTTGCACGATTACAATACTTTCTCTATACTACGTATATACGAGAAAGTAAAAAGCAGATCTTTTATTGTTAGCTTTATTGATGTGGTTGTGAAATTGTGACGCTTTCACAATTCGTGTTATAATTCAGTAACTATTTAAATTGACTTTACCTCACTGATCTCTAAAAAAAAAAATTAGCGCCAATTTTGTAAAGGGTCCACGCTTTCCAAACCACCTTTATAGACCTGCCCGTGTCACCTTTTGACACTAAATTCTAACACAAATCTTCGTCAGAATTTCTTTCAGGTATTTCAAGGAGTAGGAATAGAGGACGAAATTTAAAAAAAAAACATATAATTTTGTATCATTAACGAATGTTGTCTGATAGGTAACTACATTCCATTTTTGAAGAAATATACTTTTTAGCGCAATTTCCATTCTGGAGAATTGCGTTTATTAACTCGTCATTTCTGGGAATGGATGGATGGATGGATGAATGAATGAATGGATGAATGTGTGTCCTGGCTTTAAGTCGTATCTCCTCCTCAACGAAGCAATATCGATGACTAGTTCCAAAAGCAATTATGTTAAGCAAGTTACGAGAATGAGCATAGGCCATAAAAATTCCGGGTTTCTTTCATGTATTTCCCGTAAAAGCTAAAAAACCTCGAAAAAATGCAGTTTTTGGCCCATATCTCGGCAACCAGACCACTTAGCGACTTGAAACATGTACCAATCGATTCCTGCCATAATTTAGAACAATATTGCCGAAGAAAGTTTTCAAAAATATCCTGTCGTTCGGTCACAAATTTTAAAATTACATAAACACCTACAAACCGATCGCTCTTCTAGCTTGAACGCACCCCATCATTATACGTCAGAGCTATTTTTAGATAACATAAGGAAATTGCGCATAAATGTCACTAGACTTTTTTAATTAACTTGCGCGCCTACTGAACGTGATGGCGCAGCCATGGAACGCGATGACGCATCTATTGAACGTGATGACGCGTGTGGTGTGGTTGTATATACATGCCGGAAGTAGAGATCTATCATCTTAATGATTATCATGTTGATAATCAAGTTCAACTAACCAATGGTTTTAATAACCCTGCTCTTGATTTCAAGGTGCTTAGTTTATTCCAAAAGCAATTATGTTAAGCAAGTTACGAGAATGAGCATAGGCCATAAAAATTCCGGGTTTCTTTCATGTATTTCCCGTAAAAGCCAAAAAACCTCGAAAAAATGCAGTTTTTGGCCCATATCTCGGCAACCAGACCACTTAGCGACTTGAAACATGTACCAATCGATTCCTGCCATAATTTAGAACAATATTGCCGAAGAAAGTTTTCAAAAATATCCTGTCGTTCGGTCACAAATTTTAAAATTACATAAACACCTACAAACCGATCGCTCTTCTAGCTTGAACGCACCCCATCATTATACGTCAGAGCTATTTTTAGATAACATAAGGAAATTGCGCATAAATGTCACTAGACTTTTTTAATTAACTTGCGCGCCTACTGAACGTGATGGCGCAGCCATGGTACGCGATGACGCATCTATTGAACGTGATGACGCGTGTGGTGTGGTTGTATATACATGCCGGAAGTAGAGATCTATCATCTTAATGATTATCATGTTGATAATCAAGTTCAACTAACCAATGGTTTTAATAACCCTGCTCTTGATTTCAAGGTGCTTAGTTTAGTTAGTAGTTAGGTTTATTTAATAAAAAACGTTTTAATAACTAACCAATGGTTTTACTAACCCTGCTCTTGATTTACGCTACGACAGAGCTATTTTTAGATAACATAAGGAAATTGCGCTAAAATTGTCACTAGACTTTTTAATTAACTTGTTATTAAATGTTCTCTTGTATGCGTGTTTCAGTTCGACTCAATTTGTACACAGCAATCATAACCCCGTGTCTTATGTGTTGCACTCGTTAGCGATACGAAGACAATATTGACAGTCTATTACTCTTCTTAAAGCCGAGTCATGCTTACATAATTTTACTTAACCTGTCATTATTACACCATAACCCAGTCATGCTTACATCATTTTACTTAACCTGTCATTATTACACCATAACCCAGTCATGCTTACATAATTTTACTTAACCTGTCATTATTACACCATAACCCAGTCATGCTTACATAATTTTACTTAACCTGTCATTATTACACCATAACCCAGTCATGCTTACATAATTTTACTTAACCTGTCATTATTACACCATAACCCAGTCATGCTTACATCATTTTACTTGGCCTGTAATTATTACACCATAACCTAGTCGTGCTTACATCATTTTACTTAACCTGTCATTATTACACCATAACCCAGTCATACTTACATCTTCCTGTCACCATTACACTATGGTCCAGAATTCCTTATTTCCACCACCATTTTGTTTCGTCAACATTGTTTGGCTAACCTGAGTGAGCCCAGTGCGTACAAACTCAACACACATCTCATTGTATACAAGATTATTTATTTATCAACAAGCACGCCATTTTATAATACATTATTTTACCTTCAACAGACACTGCAACACGTCATTTTGAACACCTATATTTTATCATTAATATTTTTAAACATCTTATTCATCAATTATTATTAGCAATTCATCATTGAACATGTTTGTTTTGACAACTAATAAATTATGAAGTTTTTATCATCTTTTATTAATTTTTTTAAAAACTTTTGGTTAATTCATGAGAAATGTTATCCTAGTGAAAACTAACTAAGTTTTGTTAATGTATAGGATTAGCTATGATTGTGTTTGGTGTGTCTTGTTTTTTTTATTTGCATAAAAAATATGTGCCTATTAATGCTTAAATTAAGAGAATTATTTTCAAATCTTGAAAAATCACAGACAATTATGTAAAAATACCTAATAAAAAACTTTGTTTTGATCTGTGGTGTTCTTAAGAATAAAACAAGCAGAAAACATATTAGTATAACGAAAATTAATGAAAAAACGGTTAGAGCTTCTGTTTTTGGTTTATAACCACCTGATACTTATCGTATAAAAATGTTTCTTTAGACCCCCTGGCACAGTTTTTTTCTTCAAAAGTTTTTACATTATTAATAATTATTCAACTATACATGACGTCCCTCGCTTTGCTTAAAGAACCATACTGTATTTTAGCTTGTAAACATTCACAACATGAGGTAATTTATTGTGACATGATTCCAAGTACCTTATTATGACACGAAGTAACTCATTGGGTCTTAATGTCAAGTAACTTATCGAAACGTGATGTAAAGTAACGTATAGTAATAGGAGGGGGGGGGGATGTAACGTAATGTGACACCATGGCATGTAATTTACACTGACGTATTGTCAAGTAACTTAATGTTACCTGATGTCAAGTAACTTAATGTTACTTGATGTCAAGTAAATCGTGGTAACATGATGAAAGGTAACGTATAGTGACATGTCAAGTAACTTTCTGTGACATGATGTCAAGTAGAATAAAATCAAGTACCTTATTGTAAAAGTATGACAAGTAGCTTTCTGTGCGAAAACGTCAAGTACTTCTAAAAGAACTATACACGCGGTACAAGTATACTAACAGCTTAACAATTGCGATAGCTGAATTCACCTGTAAAACAATGACATAATGTGTGTACAAATATTAACCCGATAGACGTATTTAAACTAGAGCACAAGACAGATCAGATCACAACATCGGACACCAGCTTGTTTGATCTTCCCGTGGGAGCCGGCAAGTGCTGTGGCCGAGGTTTGTGTATAAAACCTCCAGGTTTCCAGTGCTGAAGACACAACCTCCAACGTTGACAAGTCTACCGTGTGAGCATTGTGTGACGAGATGAAGCTTGCCGTTCTCACTGTCCTGGCCCTGGTTGGTCTGTGTGCTGGACTCAGCCGTAAGTTCATCGTTCTATCTCTCTGTCAGATTGCTCATGGGGTTCTGATATCATTATCAATCACACATATACACTCAGACATACTCGCACATACTTATACAAATACACTCATACACACACTCGCATGCACACACAACCATACTCACATACTCTATTACACACTCGTACACACTCACACGCACACATAGACTCACACACGCCATGGGGGTGATTGACAGAGGGATAAAATCAAATACGTTTTTGATGGAGATATGTTTGTGTGTGTGTGTGTGTGTGTGTGTTTGTGTGTGTGTGTGTGTGTGTGTGGCGGGATGGGGGAGTCATGACACTGACGGGATTTAAACAATGTTATATCAAGTTGGGTTAAAGATTATCCGTTTTGGAGTTATACAATTTGTCCATGATTCTTAGTCTTTGCTGCAAAGTTAGTAAACATTTCCTATTTTCATCAACTATCAATGATGAAGGTTTGTATCTTTAGCGGCCTTGTGGTCTGTCGGCCTCTTGTCTGACTGTCCTCTTGATCCATGTCGCATTCCATATAAAATTCTATACAAACACTAGACGAGAAATACACTACTCATAATGGTATTGCACTCATACTAATTAAAACGGTATCAAAAACGTAGCCTACATCGGACACTGGTTATGATTGTATCCATTGGCCGGCAAATATACACAATTTTAAGCTCTTCGAACTTAGGCCAATGGCCAAGAGAGCCTGCCGATGTATGTGTGTTTGTATGTGTGTATATATTTACATATTTTCCATTCGTTTCAGGTCTGCCTCCACCACCGCCACCGCCACCACCTCCACCACCACCCGGCAATTTTTCAGGCCTCCCCCCACCACCCGGCAATTTTTCGTTCCTCCCCCCACCACCCGGCAATTTTTCGTTCCTCCCCCCACCACCCGGCAATTTTTCAGGCCTCCCCCCACCACCCGGAAATTTTTCAGGCCTCCCCCCACCACCCGGCAATTTTTCGTTTCTCCCCCCACCACCCGGAAATTTTTCGTTTCTCCCCCCACCACCCGGAAATTTTTCGTTTCTCCCCCCACCACCCGGAAATTTTTCGTTCCTCCCCCCACCACCCGGAAATTTTTCGTTTCTCCCCCCCACCACCCGGAAATTTTTCGTTTCTCCCCCCACCACCCGGAAATTTTTCAGGTCTCCCCCCACCACCCGGAAATTTTTCGTTTCTCCCCCCACCACCCGGCAATTTTTCAGGCCTCCCCCCACCTCCCGGAAATTTCTCAGGCCTCCCCCCACCACCCAGCAATTTTTCAAGACTCCCCCCACCACCGCCTCCACCAACAGGCAGTTTCTCAGGAGTCCCCCTGCCTCCCCCACCACCTCCCCCAACAGGCAACTTTTCACGTCTACCACCTCCTCCCCCACCTCCACGTATTCCACTACGAGGCTGAGCAAACTTTGAAACTGGCCAACATTTCGATACCAAACTTAAAACCTGGCCAACATTTTGACATTTAAACTTTGAAACTGGCCAACATTTTGAAACCAAACTTGGAATCTGGCCAACATTTTGAAACCAAACTTGGAATCTGGCCAACATTTTGACAACAAATGTGGAATCTGGCCAACATTTTGACACAAAAATTAGAAACTGAACAAATGTTCGAAACTGAATTGCCACACAATGCTTTGTTCTAGGAATTACAATTGAATAAAAATTTGATGTATTTGAAATTTTCATTTGTTATGTTTTTGTGTCTAAAAACGTGTATTCATTCATTTCACTTGTGAAAACGCAACTTTCACACTGTTTAACCTAATGTCGCTTGCAATCAAAACATACACACATACAGGACATAAACAAATATTAAAATTATACGTTGGACATAATATTATGGTGGTGTTGTCGAGTTCAGCAAAAGGAAATGTGTAAGCAAAAAGATGTCCCCAAATGTAACGGTCTTACTAAGCTGGGTGACAACCTTTGCGGTAACCAATTTTATACCCAACACAAATGAGGTACTAAAACAATAGGCACGTTGTGTCAATCCATCAATAATAGTATCAACTTTTGCTCAGAGATGTATATACTTTGAACATGTTATTAAGTAGACTATTATACATCTGTCGGTGTGTGGTGTCACCCTTAAAACGTCACCTCCTAGATTTACACAACAGAATGAGGCACCTGACTGAAGCTGGGGAATGATAGAGAGGTTTGGATACACAGTCACGTTCTGCCGACTATAACCTTTTATCCAAACCCTAGCAACTTTTTTATCATATGGTGTGGGAATCTCCTATACCTATTAATGATACTTTTTTCCCATTTCAAAGTAACGGCATCAGTAAGGTTGTTATTAGTAACAAAAAATTATATAGCCAATTTAAAAATCAATGAATAGTTGACAAAGTACAAAAATTGTATAATGCACACTATTTTAAGATGGTATAGGTTATACTTACGTTAAGATGCTTATAAAGTTCAATGCAGATAAAAAAAAACGAAAAAAAAAGTGATCACCTACTTAGCTGTTGGAAACGGTTTAGTTTTATTACAAGCTTTTATTTAACTCACTTCCTCTGTCTGTTATCAGTCTGTCTGTCTAGATCGAAACGCCCGTGCGAAATTGCAGGCACTTCTAACTGACAGATACGGTTCGTAATTGGTACGTGGGTCAAGACATGAAGACAATGCAACGTGACATTCAATTTGACTTAATTGGTCGTTTAATTAATTTTTGTGCGAATTAATTAAAATTTGGACAGAAACAGTAGACAGTTCTATCCACACGCGCCATCAAGGCCGACTTGGGCGTGGAGCGAGGGGAGGGGGGGGGGGGGTCTCTACGACAAAAGCGCATCATCACGTTCAATAGGCGCGCAATGGTTTTTAGTCGGGTCAGCAGTCCAGTTCTTTACCACTAGACTACGCCATCCCATAATACTTTACTGAAACTTTAGCTATAAACTTGACAACAGACTGAACAGTATTAATGTCTTTGGTTAAAGAAGTGTTAAAGATTTGTGTTTTATGATATGCGTTCAGCTAATTGTGGCAATTTTTGGATTGTAACTAAAACATCAGTAAATATGACACGTATAGTAAAAGTAATCATATTATTAAAGCAAAACTGTTTTTCAAATTGTGTATCAAATATTTGTTGCTACACTTTATTGTCTTAACATGCGTATAACTCGTTAATACTAAAAAGTATAAAAATAATAAATACATAAAAACGTTTACAATTACAAGCTTTTATAAATGAACTAAAAAGAAGAAAATAATATAATTTTTAATAAATTAAAAATATTTTTTAAAAATATAATAAATCTGCGGTTACTTTAAATATAAAATAATTACTTTCTTTAAATGTATTATTGCACTATTATTAAATCACTCTAAATAAAAGCGTGGGCCGCTATAATAATAAGTATTTAAACAAGCGGCCCACTCTTTTATTTACAGTGATATAAATAGTAGTGCATTCATATATTTAAAGAAAGTATTTTTTTTTATATTTAAAGTAACCGCAGATTTATTATATTTTTAAAAATTATTTAATATTTAATCAAAATTATATTATTTTCTTCTTTTTAGTTCATTTATAAAAGCTTGTAATTGTAAACGTTTTTATGTATTTATTATTTAAATTAATTCACGTTTAGAGAAAGACAAATTAGTATTCTAGACCCGGAGAAATTCAACGTTATATATTATATAACGTTGAATTTCCCCGGGTCTAGAATTTCCCAAGGTGTGGAAGTTCCCCTTGTGTTGAATTTTTCTACCTAGTTGCTAGGAGACTGGCGTCGGTCGCCATAAACAATGTGTTGAGCTGGTTCCACATCGCTGTGATGCTAGAGTTGAAAGGTTTCTTCATGCTATGATTCAAATTGTAAGTTTATTTTTGTATGGTCCTTGATCAGTCCAGTTGAGAAGTAAGCAGACCATGTTGGGATGAAACTGCCCAAAGAGAAGAGAATTCGAGGAATGTTGATCACTGGGGAGTGCAAGAATGAAAATATGTGACTTTGCAATTGTAGAGTATGAATTATTAAGATTGATCAATTTTAGATCCGATTCCAAGATTATCATTGGCTACAAAAGATTTTGAAAATGTTCAAATCAGTTTTTTTAATATAATATTATCAAACAGGTTTATTCTCTAATTAGTTTCAGTCTTCAAAACAATTTTACGTCAGTTCTTTGCCATGATTTCATTGATTTTAGGAAAAATTGCAGGTAGAGCATTGTATTTGGCAACTTTAACACTTTTTCTCACATTGAAGATGCAATTGAATACCCCACCTTTACGCTTAAATAAACTACTTTGTCTCCAGTTTAACTTATTGTGCAGAGGGAAATGTCTTCTACAGACTAATGGACTAAGTGCAGATTGTTTTTGTTGTTTTGCGTTTCATTGATCTCGTCTTGAACTTCTCTCACTTTATCCGCGACTGTCTGATCGTATTGGCTGATCGCACAGATTTCATTATGCATTATTTTAAAAGATTTTATTATTTTGATAATTAGAATACCATTCCATTTTCTTTTAATTTTAATTTCTTTTAATCATTCGGAATGCTGAAAAATTAAAATGTAAGTTTAGTTTTTGCGGTATGAAGTAGCAGAAATGAAATCAAACGTCTTGTGTGTATTAGGCAGGCTATATTGTGAACACGGCTACATTGTGAGCACGGCTACATTGTGAACACGGCTACACTGTGAGCACGGCTACACTGTGAGCACGGCTACATTGTGAACACGGCTACATTGTGAGCACGGCTACATTGTGAGCACGGCTACATTGTGAACACGGGTAAACTGTGAACACTGCTACATTGTGAGCACGGCTACATTGGGAACACGGCTACATTGGGAATACGGCTACATTGGGAACACGGCTACATTGGGAACACGGCTACATTGGGAACACGGCTACATTGGGAACACGGCTACATTGGGAACACGGCTACATTGGGAACACGGCTACATTGGGAACACGGCTACATTGGGAACACGGCTACATTGGGAACACGGCTACATTGGGAACACGGCTACATTGTGAACACGACGAAGTTTAAATCATGTTGATCAATTACTAAAATGACTTAACAGTTAAATTTAGCCTTTACTTAAAGTGAATGTTAAAGTCACTTTTGGTCATTAAAGGTGGTAACACACATCCTGAGCGATGCTATCTAACGGGCTACAACGTCTAGTACTTCTACTTACAAGCGACTCATGCTTACATCGTTGTTACATAATAGTTCAGTCACACTTAGATCTTATTCTCATAATTACATAATAGTTCGGTCACTCACACATCGTATCGTCATCATTACATAATAGTACAGTCACCCACACACTCTTATTGTCGTCATTACACCACGGCCCAGTTTCTCATATTACCAACAGCTGTTTAGTTTTCCTCTACATTGATTTGCCCTGTGTGGGTGAGCTCTTTATGCACTAATTCAAGTCCAACAGATAGTTCTAAAGTGTAATTCTATACGTCAGTATTATACACATTGTAACGTGTCATTGCATACTACATTATTTTAGGATCTAAACTTTAATATCTATTGGAAGATGTGTTATAACGCTTCATTAAATATGATTAAATGCGATAGATTTTATGTTTTAAAATCTCATCAAATGCTCAATTTTTCTCATGCTTCTATCATTTTTGTGATTTAGTAAATTTGACTTATTGTTAACATATTGAAACTAAGCTTTGATACTTTATATATTTATCTCTGTATTTGTATTGTTTTTAAGCTTTTTTTTGCCTGTTTTATGCCTAATAAGTGTTTTTGTTGTTTTATTGTGTTAAAATAAAAATGAACAATCTTAGAAGTTTTACGTTAGTGTAATATGTAGAACTAATTTGTAGGACATTGTTTTTTTTTAATTTAAAAGATTAATAAATATTTTATTTTGGAAGAGAGAAAAACAAAAACTAGAAGAATAAAATTGCGTGTGAGCAAAGAATAAAGGTGAATGCAAAAATAATTATAATAATAAAGATTTGTGTGAGAAAAAAATAAAGGTAAATGCAAAAATAATTATAAAAATTAAATTTTGTGTGAGAAAATAATAAAGGTAAATGCAAAAATAATTGTGAGAATAAAATTTTGTGTGAGCAAAGAATAAAGGTGAATGAAAAAAAAATTATAACATTTAAATTTGGAACAGTTTTCTGCTGATGGCAAAAATAATTCTCTCGATATTAACCGCATAAGTAGTTTCTACAACAACGTTTTGTAATTGTTATTTTTTTTTTAATTTAATAAGAAGCTACTCCCTGTCACTTATATAAACCAAATCGACAAGCAAATCGCACTTATATACAACACCAAAAACTTCATTGGGACATGATGTTCAAGTACTTAGAGAAGACACAATAATAAAATATCTTACAAGAACATTTGAAGCAAGCCCAACTCTGGGATAGCTACAGATGTGATCGCAAGTTAAAAAATTACTGATCTCCTAGAGAAAAAAAAATCTACTCGATAGACGTATTTACCCAAAAGCATAGGGCAGATCAAAGTACAACATCAGACACCAGCTTGTTTGATCTTCCCGTGGGAGCCGGCAAGTGCTGTGGCCGAGGTTTGTGTATAAAACCTCCAGGTTTCCAGTGCTGAAGACACAACCTCCAACGTTGACAAGTCTACCGTGTGAGCATTGTGTGACGAGATGAAGCTTGCCGTTCTCACTGTCCTGGCCCTGGTTGGTCTGTGTGCTGGACTCAGCCGTAAGTTCATCGTTCTATCTATGTATCATAGAAACTTTACCAGTGTTTGCCTCTAGTTTATTTAGCTTTTAAAACTTTGACCGGGATATTACATATTATATTTAATATTTAATTAATTAACCAATAAATTTCGAGATTGAACCCTCGGATTGATGAGGCTTGATAGCTTGGGGACAGCAACTTTTCTATGAGGGACAACTCAAAAATAAAACAACTACTGCATTGTAGTTTGTTCTTTATGGATAAAGGCTATGGAGGCAAATCCAGAAAGAAAATCAGGCTGTCAAATCGGAGACAAAGGGTTATATGGCGCATAACAAGTTGACACGTTTACTTAATTGTGTTGGAGGGAATCCCTTCCTAAAATTAAGAACGAAGAAGAAGAAGAAGTTTAAACTATGTACAAGTGTAACCTATTCCATTGCATAAAAAGCTGAGATTTGTGTAAATGATTTAGTCTGAAATAGTTCGGTTAAAAGACTCAATTATTGATTGTATTTTGATTATTTTCGATTTCAATTAGTTAATTTTCATTTAGTTTCATTTGTTTCCCGACAAATACGTTGTAGATTCTAGTGAATCCATACATAAATTCACTAAATAAAAGATCAATCAAGCTTATCATATTGGACATTGATAGTATTGTTGAAACTTAATAATATTTACAAAAAATTTTTTTATAAATAATAATAATATTATATTATTATTATATTATTATTATTATTATAATATTAACAAAAAAGCTTTATAACACATTAAAACTTTATAATTGTCAACAGTTTGGACCTGTAAGAATGCCATTTTTTTGTTTTACATTTATTATTTCTGATAAGCATAATCGAAAAGCTAATTAATTTAGCTTCGATATATGTAACATCATTTTTTCCCCAATTAGCCCAAGGATGAGGCAGATTAAGTAGAATTCATTTTTTTTAAGTAACCTCGGCATTTGAAGGGATATTTGGTCAGCACTGTGCTCAGCCGCCTTTATTTTCCCTAACGTGGGTGAGGTACCCTTCAGAGCTGGGTGGACTCAGGGACGTTCTACTGATTTGAACCCGGATACGAACTCGAGAATTTCGGGTTATCAGTCTAATACCCTACCGCTGGGTCACGCCGTCCTATGTATAGATGTATAAATAAATTACTTGTATATATATATATATATATATATATATATATATATATATATATATATATATATATATATATATATATATATACATATATATATATATATATATATGTATATATATATATACATACATATATATATATATATATATATATATATATATATATATATATATATATATATATATATATATATGTGTGTGTGTGTGTGTGTGTGTGGGTGTGTGTGTGTGAAAAAAATAATTGTATATATTTTCTAATCTTTTTTTCAGTTCCACCACCTCCACCACCACCACCACCACCTCCACCACCAGGAAATTTCTCAACTCTACCTCCATCACCAGGAAATTTCACAATTCTACCTCCTCCACCAGGCAATTTTTCAGGAGCCCCTCCACCCCCACCACCACCCCCACCACCACCACCAACCACTCTTGCTCCTCTCCAAGGCTGAGCAAACTTTGAAAATCGCCCAATTTATCGACACTAATATCTCTTCAATAATGGAATGAATGTTTTAAGAATATCAATTAAATAAGAATTTGATTCAAGTAATCGTTTTGTGTCTTATGTTGTTTGCGTTGGTGAAAAAATGTATGGTTTTATCACATAAAGCATTCCTGATAATTTTTTGCAAATTAAAATCTACAGAACATTTATCTAATCTCCTAACGTGTCGCCCTGAATCCCCAAATAGACCGACGTTCACACAGATGCCAGATCTGTCTTTCAGTCTCTGTAAAACAAAGAAGCTAACTATGTTCAATCCCTCAGGAAGTCCATGAAGGGTTAAACAATAATTAGCAGCAACACAGTGCTGCAGTGGATTTCTGGCCTCACATTTTATATCCAAGAATATGATACCGAGGACCAGATTGCTAAGATCTATATCCAAAAGAAATTCTAAGAATTCTAAAAAGCAAACAATTTCATATTTTGATATGACCCATACTTTGATATGACACTCACCCAAATTACACCCAAACAACAACACATATTATGAAGACACAAAGAACGAGACATGTTTTTTTACACTAAGAACAGGCCACAAGTACTAAGACAACTGCTGGACCAGGTGAAACTTGTCCTTGTGGAGTGGCCCCAGAGATCATAGAACTTAACGACTGCAGCATGTATGGTCAAGCACAGTCTAGACTTTAGCCACAATATATCCCACTCAGAAAAAATTGTATGGGGTCCCCGCAAATCTATAGACCACCATCCAGTTCGTCCACGACATTGGACTTGTTCTCTGAATCTTCTGATGTAAATAATTTTAAGAACAACTACAAAGAAGAAGAATAGGGAACTTTTGAAATCGGTCTGAGGAGTATTAGTTTATAATATGAAAATAAACACTGTAGAACATGACGGACTATGGAGTAGGTGAAGTAGAGTTCAACTGTTTAAGTGACCTTGGCGTAAGGATAAATAGTGTGGTTGACCAACATGTTTTACAATCCCTAACGCGAGTCAGGTACCCATCAGAGCTGAGTGGACAGTATTTTTCTACAGACTTCAATCTGGGACTGAAACAATTCAATGGTGTAAAGCATCATTTCTGGCTATCAGACGTAGGGTGTACAATAGCTCATACAACTATCAATAAAACGAAAACAATTGTTCCAAATATTTATGCTGTTTTTATTTACTCATACATTTGTTTATCCGAAATACTCAAACAAATACTAAGGTGTAATGAATATCATTGATTAGAATGGATGGACTCACATTTTTCACATTTTTTCATGATACACAACATTACACACACATTAGTACACAATTTACAAGACAACACAAACATTCAAACTTAGTTTTCAACATGTGGCAGTGTTGTTGATCCCCTCAACCACCAGGGCGGGAGGTAAAAAGACTTTCCTAAATCCAATAGTGTCACTACATTGGGTGGAATTCTTTGCGGTAACCAACAAAAAAATCAACCACAGATGCCGCGAACCACCAACAAGGAATTCAATTTTTATTTGCGCTTAGATTTAATGGACACAACCGAGGATAATCATGACATTATTCGAAAAGCCATTTAAATATTTTTGAAATAATGTATGATTTTATTAAAATAAATATGGTTCTAAAAGTCGGACTTAATTTTTGTTTGACTTTACTAAAGGTTTTGTGTAATTGATGTTTTTTTCATATTTTAGGCAACTAAAAATAAGTTTTTAAAAAAGCCAAAAAAAATTCGTTTGTTTACATTTTATCATAGAAAATTTAAACAAAACTGGAAGAAATATGCCATGTAATTGATCAAAAATTGTTTTATTTAAAAACATTTATCGGCAATGTTTTGAGAACAAATGACTATGAAGTGGGGTTTGCCAGAATATCGATACAGAGATCATGTAAAGCAAATCAATGTTTATTATATGAAAGCTAATCTTCAGTTAGGCAGGATGAGAATAAATAAAAATGTAGCCTTAAACTCAAAATATTATTTTCAATTTCTCTTGATTTGCAACTTTTATAACGTTGATTTTTAAAAATCAAATTTCTGAATTAATTTCAGGCTTTGCTTTTTTTTAAATTTTATATGTTAACTGTCTATTTTAATCCAAAACCTAAAAAAATAATGAATCCATTTCAACAATAAGGATGGAAGGATTCTCATCAACTCGACCCTTTAGTCCTTTAGGCTGTAGAAAGGAATGCTAAAACATAAGGCGGATGGAAAATGAACTTCTGTCTAAAGACTGACACAGGTGGTATCTGAGATTTGATAAAACAAAACAAATATAGCATTTTGCACACAAATTTTAAACAGCTTCAAAATTTTCAGTTTCTCATCTATACAGCAATGTCTAAAAATAACGAAGAGATAGCCTCGAATGATCATAACATAAACCGGAAACAGTAGTACGTGGTTGCTAGGAGACTGGCGATGGTCACGAAAACAAATTTGCTGTGCTGGTTTCCCTTCTGCGTGATGCTGGCGTCTAAATGTTTCTTTATATTATGATTCAAATTCTAAGTTGTTTTTTTTTAATGGTCCTTGATCAGATCAGTGGAGATGTATGCAGACTATGGTGGGATGACAGTGTCCTAAGGGAAGAAAATTCTCGGAAATGTCGATCACTGGGGAGTGGAAATGAAATGAAAAGATGTGATCCCACAGCTAGATTATCATGAATGAATTATTTGCGATCTGATAACAAGATTATCATGAATGAATTATTTTTTATCTGATTATCATGAATGAGTTGTTTGAGATCTGACTACACGATTATCACGAATGAACTATGAGATCTGGTTATTACAATCGGTTGGGAAAATGTTTAAATCCGTTTTTACATATACTTTATCATGCAGGGTTTATTTTCTACGTCGTTTCTGTTACTTTAGTTATGTTGAAAAGAGAATTAAAATTTGGAAATATAATTTAGAAAATATTGTATCTCGCAGTTTTAACACATTTTTTAAAAATTAAAATTAAGTAAATTATTTAAAAACGATATAATTGTGTTTTCTTTATATATTTAAAAATATATTTTTTCTTAAAAAAAAAAAAAAAACAACTGTATCCACTAGATTTTCTTTTAATTTTGATTTCCGTTAATTATAAAACAAGGATATCTATATTTTAATAAGCTTAACCGCCTTAGCTTATGAGATGCATTGTGACCACGACAAATTTTATATCATGCTTGTAAATTAATTGAATTACATAAAATTAAAATGTCGCATTTATTTAAAGTGACATTAAATCAGTTATTACTAATGTAACTTTTCTAAAATAAAATCGTAATACTCAACTTGCTTTCTAAATGTGCCTTAACTTCTACTACTGTAATTACAGCCAAGTCGTGTATTTATTTAAAGAGACTTATTTTCAGCTGTTACTATACCAAATTGACCCCATCGTCACGTTCCGTCACTCAAGTCGTAACACTTGTGTCATTGTTTACGTGTCCTTTGCGCATGTTAGCTAGAGATGGCCTACAACGTCTACTACTTCAATGACATCCTAGCCATGCTTACATAGCTAATACATAATACTTCAGACACATTCTCATCTTATTACACCACGGCCCATATTACCGACATCTGTTTAGTTTTCTTCTACATTTATTTACCCTTTGTGGGCGAGCTCATGATGTACTAATTCAAGTTCAACAGACAGTTTTAAAGTGAAATTATATACAACATATTTTATTATCAACAGTGTAGCCCGTCGTTGTATACAACATTAATTTAGAGTCTAAACTTTAACACCTGTTGAAGATGTAATGGTTCATTAAAATTGATTAATTATGACAACATTTTGTTTTAACGGTCCTAGGTGCTTTGACCACAGGTACTTTGACCATAGGGGGTTTGTCCACAGCGGGGCTTTGACCATAGGGGCTTTGACCATATGGGCTTTGACAACAACGGGGCTTTGACCACAGAGAAGGTGGGGGGTGTAACCTTAATATATAGATTTTAAAATAGAAACTATAAAGTGTTATTTGATTTACATGTATGATACAATTAATACGATTTCATACATGTTTCATGAGAGTCAATTAATAGAAATTTACTAAAAAAAGTAAAGAACGATAGTCTCCACATAAAGGCTGGTTCTAGGCCTCACAGATTTATTTTAAATATAAAAAAAAACAAAAATAATGCGACATATAACAAGTTTCACAAATAAACAATCTAGATGTATGCCTACTTAAAAATACATCGCATATATAAAGGATAAAAAAACATGCCAACAGTATTGTCAAATAAATAATACTTGTATGGTTACCTAAATGACAGATGAATTAACATATTACATCTTGCCCCATTTTAAAATATAATTACACAACATTTGAAATTAATCATTACCATATATGGACAAAGCGCTTGTTATCAAACGCCAGAATTGGATAAATCACCTGTGGTCAAAGCCGGACACAGCGCTAGTGATGAAACACCAGTTGACAAACTACCCGTGATCAAAGACCCTCTGCTGAGAAAACACCTGTGGTCAAACCCCCTATGGTCAAAGCTCCTATGGTCAAAGCTCCGTTATGGTCAAAGCCCCGCTGTGGTCAAACCCCTATGATCAAAGCCCCTATGGTCAAAGCCCCTCTGTGGTCAAACCACCTATGGTCAAACCCCCTATGGTCAAAGCACCTGTGGTCAAAGGTCCGCGCACCGTTTTAACAATTTAAAAAATTACTTAAATTCTATTATCCTTCTGTTCTTTTTTCTGTTGAAATTTCCAATTTATGTACAACACAAAGGACTAAATCGAGAATAATCTCAAAAATATTGACAAGGTTCTATAATTATTTTTTAAATAATGTTCGATGTTAATAAAATAATTTTTTAAAATAAAAACCAGACTGATTGATGTTTGTTAGGCTTAACTCAAAATCGGTTGCAATTGGTGTTTTTGGTATCTTCGATAACTATGCAAATGTTATTTTAAAACGCCAAAAACAATTGGATTGTACACATGAATCACATACATTGAAAACAAAAAAAAGCTAACCTTTAAAAATTGTATCGACAAAGTCCCATGCAGACAATCAATGTTATTCTTACAAAAGGGAAACTTCAGGTTATAACTTAGGATTGATGAAAATTAAAAAGAAATGTAGAAATTATTTTATATCTCTGAATTTGCAACTTCTATTATGTTGATTCTAAAAGTTTTAAATTTGTTAATTATCTTTAGGCTTTAAGTTTTATTTATTTTTTTATTATTTCTACGGTCGTTTTGATTGAAAAAATCTAAAAAAAACATGTTTTGCATCCATGTCAAAAATAATAATGGAAAGATTCTCGGTAATGTCCGTTATAGAAGTAATGCGTAATTATAATTTTAAAGAATAATTTATTGGATCATTTATGAATTTTCAGAATTTAAATAAGACGATAAAGAAGAAGATTATATTTTCATTTGAGCACAAAATATAGGTAAAAGAAAAATAAATTAGCATTAGAGAAACAATTTTCAACTTCTTGGGTGAGAAAGCTATACATTTCTTCCTAAAAATGTTTCTGTAAGACTATTTTCCAAAATTTAAATTTAATTTTGCAGTGTAGACATTTTGACACGCTCATTTTAAAAAAATAATAATACATATTAGATAATTATTTAGCTCTATCTTATACAGTATCCTAGAATATAGTATAAAATATATAATTTAAATTAATATTAAACTTAAATTAAAAACACAAAGTGTCTCAATGAATCATGATGTCAAGTATAATGAAACGTCTCAGCAGCCCATTAACACCTAGTCCAGCGCTGGCTTAGTTACAGATGGTGATATACAATCTCAGACGTTCAACTATTAGAAAACACCCACAGACAAACATTTTTCTCGATAAACTGATTGAACTATGAGCATAAGACAGATCAGATGACAACATCGGACGCCAGCTTGTTTGATCTTCCCGTGGGAGCCGGCAAGTGCTGTGGCCGAGGTTTGTGTATAAAACCTCCAGGTTTCCAGTGCTGAAGACACAACCTCCAAGCTTGACAAGTCTACCGTGTGAGCATTGTGTGACGAGATGAAGCTTGCCGTTCTCACTGTCCTGGCCCTGGTTGGTCTGTGTGCTGGACTCAGACGTAAGTTCATCGTCTGCTCATAAAATACCCTATCATTTGTTACCTAGAATTTTCGTTTATATGTTTTCATTTTTATTTATAAAAGTTAAAAATTAAAACTTGTATTCTTCTTCGTTCCTAATTGTTATGTTGTACGGGATTCATTTAACTCAACTTAATTTCTCATGTCAACATATGTATTCGCCGTAGGACCCATTGACTAAATCTGAAGCTGCTTTTCTTAAGAACAAACTACAAGGCAAAAATTTTGATTTTTTGAGTCTCCTATATTGGTACCTGTCACTAACTATTGAGCCTTATCTGCAGTGTGGTTCGAGCTAAAATAAATTACGTTTTAGCAACCATAAGCTATACCGGCCCGACCACACAGATCCTTTTTCTTTATAGTTGATCACTATAATATCTTATCTTGTCAAGAATGCGATTTTACGATATTTGTTCTACTGGGAGTTTGACAAGAATTTGATAAAACTTAGGGTTCAAGCATAGGCGAAAGAGAAAGCTCTAAACTTTATTAATTTACTGAAAGGAATCCCTTCCAACGCTAAAATTAAGAACAAAGAAGAAGAAGATTAAACTATATTCTAGTGTAGCATTTACCTTTGCTTAAAAAGCTGAGATGAGTTTAAAAGATTTTGTCTGTAATAGTTCGGTTAAAAGACTCAATTATTGATTGTATTTTTATACTTTTTGATTTCAACTAATTAATTTTCATTTAGTTTAAATTTTTCCGACAAACACGTTCTTGCTTTTAATGGATCAGTAAAGAAATAAAACATAATTCAAATGAGTCATATTAAATATTGATAATATTGTTGGAACTTAATCATATTAATAAAAAGTCAGATCTTAAATTTTATGGTCTACAAATAATAAACCTTTAGAATATGTTGAAACTTTTTAATTGGCAACACTGTGGATCTGTAAGGACGTCATTTTTGTTTTTAAACGTGTAATTTTACTATTAATATTTCTGATAAAAACATAAACGAAAGGATATTAACACACGGGGCAGTTAATCTGTTTCAGTGACCTTGGCATACGATTGGATACTTTGGTCAGCACTTTGCCCAGCCGCCTTAATTTTCCCTAACGTGGGTTAGGTACTCATTAGAATTGGGTGGAGTCAGGGATATTCTACTGATTTGAACCCTGATACGAACTCGAGAATTTCGGGTTATCGGTCTAACGCCCTACTGCTAAGCCATGATGTGACATGTATAGATGTATAAATAATTTTTTTATATGTATATATAAATATATACCTATATATATATATATATATATATATATATATATATATATATATATATATATATATATATATATATATATGAAAAAATAATTTTATATATTTTCTAATTTCTTTTCAGTTCCACCACCACCACCACCACCACCGCCACCACCCCCACCAGGAAATTTTTCAACTCTACCTCCCCCACCAGGAAACTTCTCAACTCTACCCCCACCACCAGGAAATTTCACAAATCTACCTCCCCCACCAGGCAATTTTTCAGGAGCCCCTCCACCACCACCCCCACCCCCACCACCACCACCAACCACTCTCGCTCCTCTCCAAGGTTGAGCAAACTTAGAAAAATCGACCAACTTATCGACACAAATATAACTAATAATGCACTGAATATCAAATAAAGTTTTTAAAAAAGTTGTTTCAAGTCAACTTTTATTGTTTGTGTTGGTGAAAGAAATGTATTGTCATTTTACTTGATCACCTAATGTCAAACATCAACTAAGGGCCAACACTTCTACAGATGACAAACATTGAACAAATATTGTTTTATTATTTTGGAGGCATCGTCTGCACTGGCCTGAAGTGCATTATTAAGTGGGTTCTAGTATCGCATTTTCGACTTGTGAATGTAAATAGTCTCAAATAATAACAACTTAATAGTGCTAAGAGGTAGGCCTATTTCAGAGTTTCGGGTCCCAGTTGTATGATAGCTTATACAGCATTCAATTCAACGAAACAAAATTTATTTTGAAAATGTGTAAGCTATTTTCATTGGCTCATAAGTAGTTTTAGGGAAATCGGAAACAAAGCTATATATCAATACTCAGAATTTGTAGCTTAACTGCATTTTAACATTGTCATGGACATAAAGATAGACATATTTTAGCATTGTTACGTATAAAAATTTTCACACGATGTTAATAAGATAAGAAGATTTGAAATTTGTAACTTCAGACCATTGAGACAACATAGGGTTAGTGTAACACTACCTCACTGGGGGAATACGTAACACTACCTCACTGGATGAATACGTAACACTACCTCACTGGGGATAAGATGTGGTGGTCCCCAACTGAGTTCTAGTTATTCAAGGCAAGGGGATGGCCTTTAGAAACGACAACACTCACACACACGCACTCACATGCACACCTTTTGCGTAAAATGACCAAATTGAATGCGAGCCAGCTAAGCGTAGACTCGCGTTAGTGTTACACAGATTGATGTAAACAACGACTAGAGTGTAGGGACAGAATGGGGTTAGACGGATCAATGATTAGCTGAACGATGGCTCGGCGTCAAGGGATGACGGTAAGTATGTCATGCAGGATGTCAACAAGGATGACTATATGGATGTCGAAATGAAAAATAGATTGTCATGTAGGATGACATACAGAATGCCATCATATAGGATACAATAAAGCTTGAAAATAGTGTGAATAAAAATTCATACTTGTCTATAAAATACAATCTCTGTTGAGGGTTACCAAAACTAGCAGCCCCGTCATCTAGATTATACAATACTATATAGAATAACTATTATTTACAAGTAATGGGCTCAATGACAAAATACTGCCTACAAGTAGTATAGGACATTAAATTAACTTACTCTATATCTAGTCCGCAACATGCGACACTGGTACCAACATTGTACATGACATTTTTTTCATTAGGTCTAAACTATTTCACTGACTTGACTATGTCAGCACATTGTGACATGACCACTTACAGTCTGATCGTGCTGCCGTCGTCAAATTCAAAATGACACTACACAGTTTTCCCAGATGTCAAATGACACGAGAAAGATTCATAGAAATAGCTCACTAGATCCCAACACAACAAACTATTGCGGGACGACGGGGCCCACAATCGATTTAGTTTTTTTTTTTAATTATTTCCACTTGCCCTATATAACAATATGATATGTGTTACATTAGCTTTATTGAAAAAGTGGAAACTCGGAAACTTAAGCAAAAACGGAACCAAAAAACATACTGTTAACTGTATCCATAATCAAAAGGAATTGAATAAATTACTAGCTACAACTTATCCTTTGTATCTTACAGGGGAAATCATGGCAAATTAATTTTTAAATGTAAGGAAATTCAATCTGTAAGGATTTTACGTTCTCAATCATTTTCGACCTGGGGTGCTTGCGATTGGCGCCAAGGTATTTTATGTTAATTTCCAATTTAGTTAACTTGTTAACGTTCTCCACTTTTAATGTTCGGCCGGTTTCTTTATTACGCAGGCCCTATGCAAATTAGTTTGGCACATAATCCTTGTTAAGTTGAATATGCAGATGTTTTTTTGTTCGAAAAAAAAGCGCTCAGATTTACTACAAGCGTTATTAGCAGAGAAACATTTATAATACAATTTATTATTTTATTTAAATACAGAAGGTGACATATGTTAACTATCTGGTTCTTTCTTTGAATAGTACAATGCACAAGAAGCGTTTATGGATTGTTATCTTTCATCACTTTAACGATACAATGTTTCCTTCCCATCATATATATGTCACGATCTGCTGCTGATATAATAATTTTCATTGGTGTATTATTATAATCTATGTACATTTTTAACTGACTCAATATGATTTTAAAGGCCATTGATAACACAATTTTATGGTATTTTAACTACTTTTCTCACATGAAGAAAACCCCATTATTAAAATACATTTATGATATTTTCTCATGTATTTCACTTTTTTTTCTATAAATCCATACTGGACACAACGAACTAAAACCAGTGTATAGTGTGTTGTACCAGTGAGTGATACGTAGAAAACATTTTTAAAGTCAATTTTTATTTGAACAGCCAAGTCGTGACTACATCGCCTTTCCTTATTACACCTTAGGCAAGATATGCTCACATATTAAATTCATTACACAACAGCTCAGTAATCACAACACCTCCTGCCTCCATTACACCAGAGACCAGCCCTGCTTACATCTTTAAGTCGTCATTACACTATGGTCCAGTTTGCATGTTTACCACAGCTGTTTTGTTGTGGTCACAATTGATTAGGTCTGCGTGGGCGAGATCATTAAGTACAGCTTGAGATCAACACACATGTAAATACGTGATTGTCGTACAATCTTAGATCAACACTCAGGTAAATACGTGATTGTCGTACAATCTTAGACCAACACACATCTTAATTGGTTACTGTCGTACAACCTTAGATCAACACAAATGTAAATACGTGATTGTCGTTCAACCTTAGATATAATGTCTTACAAATTTTGACTATGTTTCAGTTCCAACGCAACCGCCACCACCACCCCCTCCAGGTAGTGATGTACCGCCACCACCTCCTCCCCCACCTCCCCCAGCTAAGCGTGCCTGGGTGTGCTATTCAACCTCCAACAGTGGGGTCGCAGCCGGAAAGCGCTCATACGTCTGCTACAACGACAGTCAGGTAATGGCAGGCAAACGTGAGGAGTATTGCTACGAGGATTCCGGTGAAGAGGTGGCAGGGAAGAGAGAGTACATTTGTTACGACGACAGCGAGATGGCAGCTGGTAAACGTACGGAAATTCGTTACGAAGATGACGACGAGGGAGGCGTCCCCGGAAAACGTGAAACTGTTTGCTATGATGATAGTGAAGTGGTAGCTGGCAAACGTATGGTGACACACAAGCGGTTTTTACCATATCCACCACCCCCACCTCCACCACCTCCACCTCCCCCACCAGGAAACTTCTCAACTCTACCTCCCCCACCAGGGAATTTATCAGGACTACCCCCACCACCCCCACCACCACCCCCAACCACTCTTGCTCCACTCCAAGGTTGAGCAAAGTTTGAAATCTTCTTGACACCAAAAACGAAGTGTGGATTGTTCTTAGAACATGAAATAAATTAAAAATTGTTGTAAATAAACTGTTTGTTTTCTGTTGTTTGTTTATATGATAAAAACACGTATTGATATATCATATAAGTAAACACTACTCTCTTTTTTATATAACCAAATTTCTATGACAATATTACATATTGAATCCATATTTGTACATTTATTGAGAAGCCAAATCTTGTACAGAAGACAAAGAGAAAAATATCATGTCTAGGTGATTTTGTTGTCATTGTTTGCCTTAGTCTGAAGAGTTTTCTGTTGCTTCAAGTGTCGCGTTTCTCGGTATGTATTTGTCATGTAACTCACAAATCTACAAGAATGTTCTGTGTAGCACATTTGTCATGTAACTCACGAATCTACAAGAATGTTCTGTGTAGCACATTTGTCATGTAACTCACGAATCTACAAGAATGTTCTGTGTAGCACATTTGTCATGTAACTCACGAATCTACAAGAATGTTCTGTGTAGCACATTTGTCATGTAACTCACGAATCTACAAGAATGTTCTGTGTAGCACATTTGTCATGTAACTCACGAATCTACAAGAATGTTCTGTGTAGCACATTTGTCATGTAACTCACGAATCTACAAGAATGTTCTGTGTAGCACATTTGTCATGTAACTCACGAATCTACAACAATGTGCTGTGAACACATTTGTCATTTATCTACAACAGTATTCTGAAATATCTAAGGTTAATAGAATATGGTTGTAGTACAGCTCCTACAACTAAAATAAAACCACACAAAATTTTCTAAATATTTATCACTTATGAATATAATTTTCAGAAAAAAAAACAAGTATACATTGTGAAGTATACGGATATTTGAAAGATGTATCTTAACCACACTTCAACATGCCCATATATTGATATGATCCTAGAATTTAGATCCTGGTCACATATTAAACTTTTTGCACGCCATTCGAAACATCTCATAGTGCACTTTTCACAGACAGAAGCTTTATAATTATACTTTGGACATAGTACACTTTTCAAAGACAGAAGCTTTATAATTATACTTTGGACATAGTGCACTTTTCACAGACAGAAGCTTTATAATTATACTTTGGACATAGTACACTTTTCAAAGACAGAAGCTTTATAATTATACTTTGGACATAGTGCACTTTTCAAAGACAGAAGCTTTATAATTATACTTTGGACATAGTACACTTTTCAAAGACAGAAGCTTTATAATTATACTTTGGACATAGTGCACTTTTCAAAGACAGAAGCTTTATAATTATACTTTGGACATAGTGCACTTTTCAAAGACAGAAGCTTTATAATTATACTTTGGACATAGTGCACTTTTCAAAGACAGAAGCTTTATAATTATACTTTGGACATAGTGCACTTTTCAAAGACAGAAGCTTTATAATTATACTCTGGACATAGTACACTTTTCACAGACAGAAGCTTTATAATTATACTTTGGACATATTACACTTTTCAAAGACAGAAGCTTTATAATTATACTTTGGACATATTACACTTTTCACAGACAGAAGCTTTATAATTATACTTTGGACATACAACGGCGTGGTCGAGCTCTGAGATTGCAAAAGCTTGAGACAGAAAGACATCCCTAAATACAAAGGTGTCATTAAGTAAAGCGACACCCAATTTTATAACACAGCACCAATGGTGTACTACAACTGCGCAATTTTGTGGCACTCCATTAATAATGGTTTCATTCAATGCTTGCTTGAAGATGTGTATACCTCAGTGGCGTCGCTTGGTCGGGTGTCACCGGGTGAGGTCCGCAACCCTGCACCCACCTCGCAACGCCTCTGGTATACTTTGAATACAATTATTAGCTATACTTGAAAAACATTTTTTTTCAATTATCAACTTTTCGGTTTGTTAATTTTTTTTTAATTATAAACTTTTCGTTTTTTTTTTAAATTATCAACTTTTCGGTTTGTTGATTTTGTTTTTAATTATCGTTCTTTTGTTAACACCTGAGTGTGCGTTGCTCACATGACATCACTACTTAAATCCACGCAGCAGATTAAGGTACAACTTGAAACATTAGTGGGACACGCAATGGTTACACAAATCCGCCCGTAGAACGTTGTCGCTTGTACAAATCTATAATTATAATTCTCTTCTGGGAGACGCTAGAAAACAAGCTGTAAGCGCGCTCCCTACCACCCCATCCCTACATGGTCGGGTGAGCTGTGGTTCACGCTAAATGTTTACATTCGTAGAGCCGGGTTTAGTAACGGCTATTAGGGGCAGATAATTTAGTTTGAAACGATTTTAAACTTACGGGAGGTAACTAAGAGGAGCCTGCGTTCAAGGGGGGGGGGGGTGTAGGGTAGGGGTTGGGAGAAAGGAGGGTTGGGGTAGTATCGTCCTTAACGACCTATTGATAGTGTTTTAAAGCAAATATTTTAATATTTTCAGTGGTAGCATTGGTACTGTCGAATTCACAAATTCTGAAATACTGAAAAGTAGAAAATAAAACAACTAAATAGCGGCGTATGATATGCCGCGGGTCGGCTCGTATACTCTAACACAGCCCTGAAGCAAGCCCTATTGTCGGATGATATTCATTTTGGTGTCTTTTTTGTCACATTGACGTATCGCTCACTTGCCTCGCAATATCACTTATCAAATTCACTTGTGTTTCCACACATTACACAAATTTAAAGAGATAACTAACGAGAAAACTAACGAGATAACTAACGAGATAACTAACGAGAAAACTAACGAGATAACTAACGAGATAACTAACGAGAAAACTAACGAGATAACTAACGAGATAACTAACGAGATAACTAACGAGATAACTAACGAGATAACTAACGAGATAACTAACGAGATAACTAACGAGATTACATGTGTAATTTTAATTCAGAACGGAAGGCACTACAAAGAAAGGTAGGCTTACTCAAGCGGAAAAATCTTTAGTTTTTTAGGAATCAATATTATATAATATATATTATATAGGCTGGAGTTTATAATTAATCGTAAACTTTGTGTTTTCAATTAATAATTTTATTTTTTTAATCAATAATCATAGCAATTTCTTAATTAGTTACCCGTAATTAATTCTTTTAAAAAGCGTCCCTTAATTTAGGGGATCCAAAATTTTAAGTTATTTATTTGTTGGGTCAGTACAATAGTATGTATGTCCTCAAAATTGGTTAGAAGTATGTTATCATAATGCTACCGTGTTTAGACTTTCAAACAAAACCTACAGTTAAATAGTCGATTAGTAAAATATATTCTTTTGACACGATTACATAGCTAATATAAAAGATTTGTTAGAACTATTGCGTTAGAGCGTTTTTTTTGTGTTTTCCTAGGATGTCATAGTTACAATCGGTAAATTACGCTATTCTAATGAAAGTTATTTCCCTTGAATAAAATTTTGGTGTTTGTATTTCCAAATGGGAGATAATTCGTTGCTTAACTTAACAATTAATTTCAAATTCCTACACCTTAGGTTGACCGCTTACTTATAAGTACAACTTTAAGTTATTATTTGCTATTGTAAAAATTATATAGAGCACAAGTTCTATACAAAATAATTTGGTAGGTTTTTTTTTAGCATTATCAAGTTGAAAAACAAATACATCAGTAGCCGTTGTAGATTGCAACAGGTAATGTTAGTAGACATACAATGAGATAGTTCAACAACTGCGTCTAAAATCGTCTTAGTCGCAAATTAATAATCTTTTTCAGATTTTTTACCTTCTTCTAAAGGATTCATATATAACAATTGTAGGCTGGAATCTATAACATTTATAACCTTTTATTTTTTCAACAAAAAAAAATCGTTACATAATCACACAATACAGATATTTTACAATTATAACTAAAGACAGACAAGCTTAAAACAGGTTAAAGTGGATTGAGATAGTCCTAGAATAATATTATTTGATTACTAATTTTACTATTCTGGCGAAACATGTCTATGTTTTTTTGTATGAATAAATATTATTTCATATTTAAAGCTATTTATTTTAAATAACAAAACAACTTTATTTTCCTAATCCTAATCAAATACCGAATATTGAACTAAAAATGTTGTGGATCTTTAAAAACTGGGAAAGTTTGTAAATTGTAACTTTTGGCTCTTGCATATCAAAAGGTTGCCGACCCCTGGTCTACAGGTATAGGTTAGTGTTAGAGCTAGTGTATATAGGGCGGGAATGTTGGTGTTTGTCTACAGGTATAGGTTAGTGTTAGAGCTAGTGTATATAGGGCGGGAATGTTGGTGTTTGTCTACAGGTATAGGTTAGTGTTAGAGCTAGTGTATATAGGGCGGGAATGTTGGTGTTTGTCTACAGGTATAGGTTAGTGTTAGAGCTAGTGTATAAAGGGCGGGAATGTTGGTGTTTGTCTACAGGTATAGGTTAGTGTTAGAGCTAGTGTATATCGGGCGGGAATGTTGGTGTTTGTCTACAGGTATAGGTTAGTGTTAGAGCTAGTGTATATAGGGCGGGAATGTTGGTGTTTGTCTACAGGTATAGGTTAATGTTAGAGCTAGTGTATATAGGGCGGGAATGTTGGTGTTTGTCTACAGGTATAGGTTAGTGTTAGAGCTAGTGTATATAGGGCTGGAGTGTTGGTCTACAGGTATAGGTTAGTGTTAGAGCTAGTGTATATAAAGCTGGAGTGTTGGTCTACAGGTATAGGTTAGTGTTAGAGCTAGTGTATATAGGGCGGGAATGTTGGTGTTTGTCTACAGGTATTGGTTAGTGTTAAAGCTAGTGTATATAGGGCGGGAATGTTGGTGTTTGTCTACAGGTATAGGTTAATGTTAGAGCTAGTGTATATAGGGCGGGAATGTTGGTGTTTGTCTACCGGTATAGGTTAATGTTAGAGCTAGTGTATATAGGCCTACAGGTTAAATATTTAATGGAAGGATGTTATGCTGCTGTACGAAAAAATATCGAGTCGAGCTAACACATCGAGTTCTTAGTTTTAAAACATCAAGCTTTCTAGACTCTTACCTTAAATTGCTGAACTAAAATATCAAATACTAGAGCTAAATACAAGAATTAAGTACCAGAAATAAGTTAAAATCATACAAAACTGCAACCCAACTTACAAAATAAGTTATATGCTCACGCAATTGTGTACCAGAGCTATGCTAACAAGGCTGAAAGAGCTAAACTAACAAAATGACACTTAAAGGCTAAGATGACATCATTCATGAATACGATATTCATACACACAGAATATCTGAATCACCACTACTTTTATGAATAAGGTTTAATCTCAAGTAACGATTACTCCCTGAACAAATCCCGAGACCTCTTGACAGTGGTTTGTTCGTTGTTTCTCTGGTCTCTGACTGACGTTCACTGACTTGACCTTATGCTGGGACTGCCAACATGTAGTCTGGTCATCAGTTTTCAAGAATTATCCTACCTTATGAAATAAAAGTAGTGTGTGATTACCAGTTTATTATATGTGGTAAATAAGGAGAAACTACTACTGCCAATTTGTCTCATTCAATTTCCGATAGTAGGCACCTGCAGCGAAAAGATAGAATTTTTTTATGTCATGCTGCTATATCGTGTAGTATGGGGTGGAGGTGCTTTAAAATAATCTTTTTTTTTCTTATGTTGAGTTACATGAGATAGAATCGTTTTAAAAATGTTACTTTGTTGTGTTGTATTACATGAGATAGAGGTGTTTTAAACCAATTTTGATTGAACAATGACTATTGATTAAAGTAATTACGTTTCTATTAAACTAAATTTATTTTTAAATTGAGTTGGGTCTTGTAATAAATAAATTCACATAAAATAAGGGGTGGTCGAGTCGGTAAAACTCATGGTTGCTAAACCGAAAAATCTCGAGTTCGAACCCTCGGGCAGATGAGGCTCGTTAGCTGGGGACAGCCACTCTTCTGGGAGAGACAACTCCAAAAATTAAACAACTGCTGCCTTGTAGTTTGTTCTTGGTTGGAAGCAAATCGAAAAAGAAAAGCAGGCTGAAATCGGAGTAAATGGCCTCAATGGCGCATAACCAGTTGACACGTAACGCTTAATTGTGTTGGAGGCGTGGTCGAGTCGGCAAAAAGCTCATGGTTGATAAATTCGAACAAAGTCTCGAGTTCAAACCCACTGGCAGATAAATCTCGATCCCCTTCAACACAAACAATTAAGAACGAAGGAGAAGTGAACAGAAATAACAGCGAAAATATACGGACTTTAAAAAACACACGACTAGGGAAGCTTTGAAATTGCAGGACCAGATAGACTCTGCAATAATGTGGAAGATTTGAGGACGGAGTTCAATAGAAATGCAACAGGGAGGGAACCCCCAGGGCAAGCGAAGCTGGGGTCGACCCAGGAAGTCATGGTGACGTACAGTGCTGGAGGAGGCTGCCATGATAAGGGGAAAATTGTGAACAGCTGAAAAGAAGGACAGGAAACCGTAGGGGATGGTGGAAAGCTTTGACAGAGGCACTATGTTCTGCAATGAATGAATTATGAACTTAATACTTCATTTGAAAGCAATTAATTATTTTTTTAACTCAAAAGAAGCGAATACATAACATTACCTCAAACACATTTGACTACTGCGATTGACAATTAAGTCGTAGCCTTATTTGCACCAAATGTCAGCCTCCACGATGTAGTCAACACAAGTTGTTTTATCAGTCGACTACACAAGGCCAACCAACGACATTAGAAACCAAATTGTTTGTCCTGCCTGTATCGTATCCCAGTCGAGGCAAACAAAAGTTGTGTATATAACGCCACAAGCTGACGACTAAAGACACCAGACTTCCGTCTAGCAATAAACTCTTGACGCTGCTGTTTTAAGATGAAGCTAGCCCTTCTTACAGTCGCCATCTTGTTTGCTCTCTCTGAGGGGAAAAGCCGTAAGTTCATTTTTTAAAAATTGCTTTTCAAGCTATTATGTCTTGTCACAATACTTTAAGTTTATTAATTTAATAAGGACTACTTCGTAAAGTCAAATAATGAAAGTAATTTTTTAAACAAACGTATGTATACAATAATTAATTATTTACGGAAATTTGATCAAAGAAATATTGAATAAGTTGTTTTTTTCTTCAATTTTAAAGATTTCGGACTATCCGTGTAAAAATTTTCATCCTCACTATAATACAAAGAAGAATATATAAACAAATATATTAGAAATGTACAAAGTTTTAACATAAGCGGTTTAGCTAACATACATACTTGTGTTTGATTCTCCTATAATTCTATAACCATTGTTGTTTTCAGTTAAGCGCACACTTAAGTGTCACCACTTTGGGGGAGACGCCCCACCAGCAGCAGGTAAACGAGATATCTTTTGTATTGATCTCGATCAGTACGGATATGCTGCAGCAGGTAAACGCTTCACACCTTACCAACCACCTGCTGATGGACTACCCCCACCCCCTCCACCACCTCCACCACCTCCACCACCAGCTGATGGAGCACTATTTCCACCACCACCACCACCTGCTGATGGAGCACCCCCTCCACCACCTCCACCCCCTCCAACACCAGCACAACGTGACCTAGACTGTGATTACGTCGGAACACCAGCAGCGGGCAGACGAGACATCTACTGCTACGACTCGGATGATTACGGTTCTGCTGTGGTAGGGAAACGCCATCTCCTGCCCACACGCTACTTCCCCTCCGATTAGATCCACACAACTTCAGCACCATATGACCCACAATGAATCACGATGATCCACTATGACCTCACAACCCCTCCCACAGACTTCTTGTATGTGTGTTGGCCTATTTTAGACAGAATACCACATAATTCTAAGTATGGCCTGATTAAAAATCATGTAAAGTTAATATTTTTTAACTGTTCACTCTACGATAGTTAACAATGTTTGACAAAAGTTTTAAATAAAATTGTGGGAAACTAAATTGTATTTCTTTTTGTTTTATTAGCAAAGATTGTATACAATGTATCAATTAAAATGTAAATAAAAACGTTTGAAAAGACTACATCTTTATTAATGGTGTGGTCGAGTCGAATTATAAGCTTATATTTATTTTATTATAGTGGGTCAAAATTGAGCTACGAGATAAGCCACATCCCACAAACTAAAAAGCAGACACAATGAACAAAATAAAAGCTTATAATAAAAAACAAATGCTTATAACGGGCTCAAGCCTGTTGAACGCTGCTAAGCTCCCCACAGCTCTGATGGTTACCTGACCCATTGAAGGCAGCTGGGCATGGTGCTGACCACACAACCCCTTCACGTGCGAGGTCAGAGAAATAAAATTAATGAAAATAGTTTTAATCAAAGTTTCGTTATTTTATTTGAATTAGGTTGTAAAAAACAGTTTGTTAAGTTTTTAAATATAAAATATGTTCCCGCTTAAGGTAGGTCTGTTAATTAAATTTACTATCAGGGTAGTGAGTCTGATAAATACAAAATCACACGAGATGGGTGAAGACGTGAAACTAATGGACGGCCTAGTCTAGTGCGCCCTGGCTTGTAAGCTTAAGAGGCGCGAGTTTGGTAGCGAGTTAGAGAGCTTAGGCTCACCCTGACAGCTGGGGAAAAATGAGATAGCCATTGCAATTTTGTTTTACAATTCTTTTTAAAAGGTTAATCAAGTTTCGAATAATTTGGTGATTGTCTTTTTATGCATAACGTAAAAGCCAACTAAAACATCTTGAGTTTACAATAAAGTATTGTAGAAGTATCTGACGCATGTTTTAAGATCACTAAAGAAAAATAAAAACTGTTAACAATTAAAACATGACCATTCGTTAAGAGTTTTATTGCATACTCAGTGCTTTCTGCATCCATAAAATAACTAAAGTTTTGTCACGTAATCAAAGCAATAGAAGAAATTTCAATAATAAATTATTTTGGACTTACATGGCAATACATACAGCAAGTTTCACTGCATGCAAGAACAATGAACATCCATTGAAAGTACAGCTACCCATCTGGGTATAATCCGACATTCACGTGCAAGGAACCCGGGCTCGAGACTGTAGTTCGTCCAATCACCGAACTGCCCAAAACAGGTAGGGCAATACACTGGGAGGAAGCAAAAACCTGGCAGAAACCAGAGTGTCTAGCTTCTTGTAATATTCTTAGTTCCAGATTGAATTTATATTCATTTTGCCTATTAATAACACACTGCCCTGGAAAACAATACTTGACATAGTGGAGAACGGAGGAAAAAAAGGAATTATCCTGCATCATCTATTGTTATAAACATGCGACTTGTTAGTGATATAACCCTGCGTTTTTATGCTCTTGTGGACAGTGTTTCTTCCAGACTTTTTTCTCCTGGGGGGGGGGCACTTGAAATTTTTTTTGGGGGGGGGGCTAAAAATTCTGGGGGCGGGGGGGGGGGGGGGAGGGCGGACCCTGTTAGAAGTATATTTTTTCTATATAAATTCCATTTCGTTCGGGGGGGGGGGGGGGGGGGGGGAGGCGGTAGACCTTCTTCGAAGCCCCCCCCCCCCCGAAGAGATGCCTGGAAGAAAATCTGCCTGTGGATGATTGCAACAAGCTATAAGCAGATTCAACCAAAGGAAATGTTCTGCTGTGGTATATCGGAAAACTATTTGGAGATACAGCACAACTAAACGGACAAAAAAGGGAACAAAAAAATCTAAAGACTTAAAGAATTTTAGATTAACGTATATGATAAAGACTCATGTCTACCTCTCTTACTGTCTTCAGTTACTTACCCTGGGCCCGTTTTTACGTAGAATTGTAAGCACAAAGGTCATCGTTACTTTTCTCAGAAACGTATCTACATTTCTTACATGCTTTCTCTGATTGTATTACAATAAAAACACTGAAACGGTGGCTGATCTAAACTTTGTGCAACTATCTTAATACTATAATGGGCTACGTTCGCACATCTCTCTCTCTCTCTCTCTGTCCGCAAAAAATTTTCGCCGGACATCACGTCAGAAACGGCAGCGATATATGGAGAACTTTATACGGACTTTTGTTGAAAATAATATGTTAGATGTTTTAAATGTATAACCACAATTTTATTTAAAGAAGAAAAATAAAAAATCAAGGCGTATTCGAATATAGAGAAACAGTATTATTTATGCAACCGGAAAAGCATTAATAGATATGTAAAAGAACGCATAAAACTGTGACGACACTATTGCTTACTAATGACGTCATCTGCCGTGTTTAAAATAAAAAAGAAATGAACTATTTCATTCAAATTTGATTTAGATCTACGTACACTATGAAATGCATACAATACAATTTTTCCGGCCTAAACTCATAACATTTATTTATACAAAATCTTTGTTTGGAACTGGCTAATTTGGGATAAAAAAATTAATTTGAAAGAATAGGCATATTCGCGTAAGTTAAGATTTTAAAATACGTCTTTCATTCTCTGAATTTTATAAGGTGCCTAAATAGCGGAGATGTTAGTGTACTATAAACCACGCAGGTGGTGCGGGTTCGAGACCCACCAAGTCAACTTGGTTAATGTATTTTTTTTTTTATTTTGCTCGGACTAAACTTAAAAAAAAAAAATTCAATTAGGATTCTAGATCTAGATTGTCGGGTGTCCGATAAGGCACTTCCCGGCGCCGCAGGCGCTTCAAATTTGGCAGGATCTTGCCTTGGGGCGACATAACACAGGGGCCGGTTGGCCGAAAAGTCTACGATGAGGGGGTCAAAACTGACCTCGACTGACCGGTACCTTATATGAGCTATAAATCGAAAAAAAAATGTCCACGGAGGAACCTCTTCATAACTCTATGGCGAATTAATTAAGCATTCACATTCTCAATGTTTTCGAAAGCCTAAGCGAAGCTGGGCAGCATGCCTAGTTAATTATGTAAGCTATAGCCCATCTACGACATTTTCGGAGGTTTATTTCAATAAGAAACATGTGGTTTAGTGAGAAAGGTGAACGACAAATTGGGAACACGGAGTCCTAAAAGGTCAAATCTACTTCACCACAGGGACCTAATAGACTAAATCTACTTCATGACAGGGACCTAACAGGTCAAATCTACTTTATCACAGGGACCTAACAGGTCAAATCTACATCACAGGGATCTAACAGGTCAAATCTACTTCACCAAAGGGATCTAACAGGTCAAATCTACTTCACCACAGGGACCTAATAGACTAAATCTACTTCATGACAGGGACCTAACAGGTCAAATCTACTTTATCACAGGGACCTAACAGGTCAAATCTACATCACAGGGATCTAACAGGTCAAATCTACTTCACCACAGGGACCTAATAGATTAAATCTACTTCACCACAGGGACCTAATCGATTAAATCTACTTCATGACAGGGACCTAAAGGGGCAAATCTACTTCATCACAGGGACCTAACAGGTCAAATCTACTTCACCACAGGGACCTAACAGGTCAAATCTACTTCACCACAGGGACCTAATAGATTAAATCTACTTCATGACAGGGACCTAACAGGTCAAATCTACATGACAGGGACCTAACAGGTCAAATCTACTTCATCACAGGGACCTAACAGGTCAAATCTACTTCACCACAGGGACCTAACAGGTCAAATCTACTTCACCACAGGGACCTAATAGATTAAATCTACTTCATGACAGGGACCTAACAGGTCAAATCTACATGACAGGGACCTAACAGGTCAAATCTACTTCATCACAGGGACCTAACAGATCAAATCTACATCACAGGGACCTAACAGGTCAAATCTACTTCACCACAGGGACCTAACAAATTAAATCTACTTCATGACAGGGACCTAACAGGTCAAATCTACTTCACCACAGGGACTTAACAGGTAAAATCTACTTCATCACAAGGACCTAACAACATCTGGATCTTTGCACATATCTTATACAAGAAATTTGCTCACATTATCTTTATCTGAGTTCATAACATATGATGCGCCAACATTAAATAACAGATGCGCACTCATTATGTCATGTATCAGATATTAAGCAGCTTTATTAATCAAATACTACATTCCCGACATCAAATAATGAAGTAGCTGTATCAGACTCCACAATTTCAGATACCATTAGAATCACATTAGAACATGAGGTGGCGTAAGAGATAGAAGTGAATTATACCAGATGCTATCAACAATGTTCACGTCAGGTAGCGTTGCTATCAACCATTTCTGACGTCATACACGGCTGTCAAAGGAGAACGTATCATCGCCGCACATATTTACAACGCTGTTTGTAGCTGGGTTTTACCAATGCCTAACATGTAGCTGGGTTTACCAAGGCCTAACCTGTAGCTGGGTTTACTAATGCCTAACTTGTAGTTAGGTTTACCAAGGCCTAACTTGTAGCTGGGTTTACCAATGCCTAACTTGGAGCTGGGTTTACCAAGGCCTAACTTGTAACTGGGTTTACCAATGCCTAACTTGTAGCTGGGTTTACCAAGGCCTAACTTGTAGCTGGGTTTACCAAAGCCTAACTTGTAGCTGGGTTTACCAAGGCCTAACTTGTAGCTGGGTTTACCAAGGCCTAACTTGTAGCTGGGTTTACCAATGCCTAACTTGTAGCTGGGTTTACCAAAGCCTAACTTGTAGCTGGGTTTACCAAGGCCTAACTTGTAGCTGGGTTTACCAAGGCCTAACTTGTAGCTGGATTTATTAGGGCCTAACGGAGGGCGATTTTGGACAAATTCAACGAACTTACATTGTTAGATCTAGACATTTAGTTTCACACTACATTCAACAGAGATATCAATTACACTAATAGTAGTAGATCAAAACTATAGTCTGGGATACGCAGAAATAACCTTTAGGAGATAGATACACATACTAATTTCGTTAGATGCTCTATTAACTTAGAATATAAAGTAGAAAATTATAGTATCTGAATCTGCATTAAATATTTTCACAAAGATAAAAAAAAATTGTGAGTATCAACGGAGATCGGAAAAATAAAATGAAAGATAATGTCAGAATAGTTGCTGGGAAATTACCATCACGTCGTAATCTTACTTGCACCAAATGTGAGCCTCCACGATCTAGTCAACACAAGTTGTTTTATCAGTCGACTACACAAGGCCAACCACCGACATCAGAAACCAAATTGTTTGTCCTGCCTGTATCGTATCTCCGCCGAGGCAAACAAAGGTTGTGTATATAACGCCACAAGCTGACGACTAAAGACACCAGACTTCCGTCTAGCAATAAACTCTTGACGCTGCTGTTTTAAGATGAAGCTAGCCCTTCTTACAGTCGCCATCTTGTTTGCTCTCTCTGAGGGGAAAAGCCGTACGTTCTTTTTTTTTCCACTTATTTTCATACTCCATTTTCTAAAGATAATTGTATATTTTAATCAAGAAACATTCCGAGAGTAGTATTGTTCAAATTACGAATTTAAGGTAACTTTATTCAGATTTCCCAGACACAATAATTATTAGACTAGAAACGTTTCATATTTTGGTTATCCAATCGTATTATATTCCTTAAGATATAAGACATTAAGACTTTCTTCAAACTGTTTAACGTTATGTTGAATTCACACAATGTATAACACATAAGCACGTCTTACAGTGATATATTAAGGCTACGCTAATGAACCTAAGTTGCCCCATTCAACTATACAGTTAACCATTTATTTCCAGGCAAAAGCCCACTAGAATGCTTCTACTTCAACAGTGGGGCTTCTGTAGCTGCTGGTAAACGAGATGTGTTCTGCCTCGATCACGATTTTTTGTTCGGCGGCGTGGCCGTCGGAAAACGATTCTCTCCTCTTCCTGAACCACAAGATGGAGTTCCACCACCTTATCCACCCCCTCCACCTGCTGAAGGAGGTCTAGCTCCACCACCACCACCACCACCACCACCAACATCCCAACCACCAGCAGCAAAACGATCTCTAGACTGCCAATACTACGAAGCATCAGCAGCAGCAGGTAAACGCGACATCTACTGCTACGATACTGACGGTATCGATTACGGTTACGCTGTGGCCACACGGTACTCGCCATCGGAGTGATCGATCCTCTCCACTCCACCACAACCTGATCCACAATGACATCCACACCCCACTTACCTCCTGTCTGAAGCTACCTCATCTAAACCAACACAGTATCTTCACCTGGTCTGAGGTTTCAAGTATTATGTTACATTTTTGTTTACACGTGTAGTCAAAATTCTGAATTAAATTGTGGAATCAATATCTAAAGTGTTTTTTTATTTATTTATTTATGTTTAATTTGCTAATTTTTACACCACCTCAATAAAAAAACTATTTAAGTGTTTAATTTAATTAATAACAGCAACATTAATATAGTTGGTCAAAATTAGGTCACACGAATAAATCACAGACTAAAATAAGTGTCATATTTGCCCTTAGGTCTAAATGAAGTAGTTTTTTTTTAACATTAATTTTAGTCATCAGTAATAGACAACACACCGTCGGTGTTCTGTATCCTGTTTCTTGCGATCACGTGTGTATATTTTAAACTGCATCTATAGCCTAATTTTTTACTACAATTCCAATGTATGTAAAGTAAATATTTGCAATTATCAACAACAATAATGTTGCGAAAAAAATCATGAAGTTATTGAATACATCAGCTTTGAAATAATCTGATGGACATTTGCAGTAAGTGAAAGGAGCATTTCCACAATGACCGCCATTTTTTAACAGAAAACAGAATTGTAACATGGAAATTCTATACCTATTTGTTAGCTGAGAAAAAGAAATAGCTTGTTCCTTATGTTAAAAAAAAAAAATTAATTGACCTCATCAAACAAAAAAAAAAAGATTTACAGAATACAACCATCGTAGGAATATGGTGACTACCAAGACCTTTGAGGCTATGATCATTGATTAAACAAATACACGGCATTCCAATACCTTTGAGGCAATGATTATTGATGAAACATGAAAGGTTCACGCTTCTTAGGAAAGCCACATTGGCTTGAAAATCAATTAAATGTTTAGCCTTTCGTGGGGAATAAATAATTAGTTGTTTTTTTTTTAATTACATATAACAACACACTTTATGAAATTATGGAACTTTTAAAAAAGAAAATCAATTAACAAACCGAATGAGTAAAGGAATTTAATTTCAAAATATTTAATTATAAAATTATCGCCACTCCTTAGAAAAACATATTAACAAAGTTTCTTGGTCTGACTGAAGTAAGATAATGGTAGGCTAAGAAGCTGAGTAGAAATTAACGATCCATGTGTCATCGTTAAATATGTAGAGACATGTTATTAGCTCTTTTTTCTGTGGTAATTAGTACTACTCGTCATTTACGTCTGTTGGAAATAATTAATTACTTTATTTAAACTAATTATATTTTTAAATATTAAAATTCTAGGTTTTTTTTTTTTTTTTTGTAAATTTATTTTCTTACTTTTTTTTAAAAAAAAAAAACTTCTACAAAACTTAGCACCAATTTTAAAATAATAATTAATTTTGCCATGTTTACATAGGCTCATTAATTAGCGTAGAGACGAGCTCGGCAATATAATGTTCATATAAACCTAAACTAACGTGCGTAGGTAGTTGTATTGACTTATTCCATTTCACAGAAATGTATTTATTTATAATACGTTTTCCGGTTTAAAACAATCCTTATAGTAAATGCTTGTGTATATTAAAAGACGTAATTTGTTAGTTTTCATATAAATCCAAACTTTGGAATATAGGGAGCTTTTACATAGTTAATTATGAATGACAACTTGATACTATTAACCCGACCATTATTCATTTAACAACAGTAACAATAGTTAAATATTCAAATGGTTAATATATTTACAATTCTTTTGACAGATGAAAATTGTTAAATAACTACCTATAGTATATAACTACCCAAAAAAATGTCAAATAAAGATTATTATAAAGCCATTTTAATCATTAAATACATCACAGAAAATTACATAAGTAATAAAAATAATGTTAAATTATGTTAACTGTTGTTTTTTTTTTCTTGTAATAATATTATACGATAACCCATACACTAATTCAGTTATCCAGTAACACAAAAATAAAAAAATAAAAACAACCCCAGATGTGTAATGCTATTTTATTTCTAGGACAAAGACGGGTAACTCAGCTAGTACAGCTCTAATACATACCACAGAACACGCGAACTCTTGGCACATATTGATATTCACCTAATGTCGTCAGACGGAGACTTGGACCCAAGGACGGTTCACATCTTGGACACGTTCACCAACTGCATCATGATCAACTTCCTCGGCGTCTTCGGCATCGTAGGGAACAGCATCAACATAGCCGTGCTGTCTCGCCACGGTTTTCGCGAGTCCACCAACATCGTCCTCATCGCCCTCTCCACGTCTGACCTACTCTTCAGCACGTTCCAGCCCATCACGAGGCTGAAATGCATCGTGGGATACTTCGACTCGAGCTTCGCGGAGACCGTTCACGCCTTCGTAACGGTGTATTTTTTCCTCCCCAAATTCGTCTGTCTGGGCATCAGTTTTTGGTACGTGGCTCTGATCGCCATTGAGCGTTTCGTTGCCGTGTATTTCCCGTTCCAAGTTTCCAAAATTTTTACCCGGAAACGAATGTTGGTTTTAGTGATTTTTATTTTTTGTTTCGGATTCACGATGATATCGCCAACGTTCTTTGCTTTTCAGTACCATTGGAGATGGAACCTCGTGTTGAACATATCCCTTGGTGCGGTAGACTACACAGATTTCTACATCACAAACCACGAGTTCCTCGACTTCTACATGTGGGTGGGTCTCAACAACCTATTCTGTACCTTGAGTTTCTCTGTCGTCCTATTCTGCTGCCTGGCTATCTGCCTGAAGCTGATGCGCAGTGCTGTGAAAAGAGAAAAACTGACCACCACCAGCTCCGGATATGACGTCAAAGTTGTGAAAATGCTCGTTACCGTCTGCACTATTTACATCTTCGTTGCCATACCAACGATAACATTGTACTCGTATTATAAACCAAGCTTTATATTTGTCTCCCCTGTCCACCGTCTGATGAATGACGTCAGCGATATTCTATTTCTAACCAACGCGTCATCGAACTTTATCGTTTACGTCAGCATGTCCAAGAAGTTTGCTGACACGTATAAGCAGCTGTTGGGGTTAAGGCCACGCGTCAAGATGCACAGAGGGAAAACGGTCAACTATCGTACTAATAGGCTGTAAACTTCACACATCCTGAACAGTCGGGTACAGAGGGAAAACGGTCAACTATCGCACTAAAAGGCTGTAAACTTTACAATCCTGAAAAGTCAGGTGAACTTTTAGATGTTGTTCATGTTAGACAATCTAGCAGCATAGTAGTTTTAACTGCACGATAAAAAGTATTAAAATAAAAGTTTTAAAGTAGTAAAATCTAGAGGCCATTTACCTTGGATTAACCAGCTTATTTTATTTCGACAATTATGATAGGATAAATCAATCAAAATGGCAATATGTAGAACAGAAATTCAAAGTACTTTGAGTCTTTGCTGTATGTGTACAGTATGTGTTTTGTGTTAAAATTAGAACCGTTCTGTAAAAATGTACATCTACTCTATAGAATTAAAATAAATGAATTGTGAAAATGTACAGTGTTTTTTATTCTGGAACCAGATGTCAACCAACTATGTATATGCTAGAACTACATTACTATCACTTAGTGATCGTGTACTGTCTTGTTACAACGGGTTATGTTAGACATTCTGCCTAGCTACGCTTAATTTTTTTTGTAAAGGTATTCTTAAAATCGTACCCATACATAACTCTTTTACTAATACCAACCAATTCTACAATGACCACAGAGATTATTTTAACACCAACCATATCAATGTATAAGTAATATAGTAATCATAAAAAACATGAGACTTTCTTCTCTTACAGTTACATTGATTATCTAACACATCCCATACCTGTTTTTAATACACTGCACTACTGCACCATTCATCCGATCGCCATAATACTTAGAGAAGTTAATTAGAATACTAAGTCGAAGGATTCTGCATTTGATTCTTCTGCATTGCATAGAAGCTCAAAATTAATCTGTCCGGATGATTTTCCTAAGTTTTTCCACAAAACTGTGCATGTTTATATAAATAATTATGGTCTCAAGTCACGTTTGAACCCATTGGCGATTTTTTCCCCTGATGTGACGCGTTATTTTATTTATTATTTTTTGCATCTCTGGGCATGGACTAAAATTACTCACTTGTCGTGGACTTAGTGGCCGATCGGCATCCCCCCACCCGCCGGGTTTGATTTGCCGGACGCTAGTGCCTGTCAAATTCGAAACGGCTGCGGTACCGTCAAGTGCTCTAAACAGCTTTTGATCACCTTCCTTTATTGGTATAGATACTATCAATGTTGATCTAGTCATTTTTCAACACAGGTAAATCGCGAAAAGTTTTCACATAACTTTAGTATTGATGTTTTTAAATTTATTTATTTTAAAAATGAATGCACCTATTAGGTCTAGGTAGACAAATTAAATAGAATTTTCGATTTTTGTTTAGTGATATCTTGTTAACTAATTGGGACGTCGGTGAAAGAAAATAATTGAACGTCATTTTCTGCTTGCTGTTTACCTTACAATTTTCGATTAAATATCGATATGACTTCGGCAATTCGTAATATCTCCAGGCCAAATTCTGGAATTGATAATCTGCAGTAAATGGGGCTGATCGTCTTACCTTAGCTTCACGAAACCACGCAGTAATTTGAAATAATTGTCTGCTGACAAGTTCCACTCAATTATTCGATAAGAAATGTCGCGTGCTGTGTGTGATTTGGATGCGACAATACGCCCGGGGGGTCTATCTTTCAGGGTCGGGGCTAGCGGTTAAACTTCAGTGTAATCGCTTGGGTTGATTTTCTATGAATTTTCGAAAATTTTATTACAACATGTTATTCATAATCAAACTAATTTTAGATTATCTATAGTTTAAGCTATTTCTCCATATTTTCAATCAATATAACCTATGACAAAAAATTACCGATATTATTATGTCAGATGCCGATTTATAATCAATAAGACATATGCGAGTTTCTGCAAGGCACAGCTTCTAACTGTTGACACACACATTATATGACACATGCTTTAACGCTCACGTATTTTTAAAAACAATCGATTTATTTAATAGATTCAAACAAAATATACGAACTTATTTCTATTTATCTATTTTTGAGCAGCCTATCGAGTCAGAATTTTAACAAAGAAGAATGAATAAAAACGGGAAAACGGCTTTATAATTTAACCTAACTTTAAATTGAGAGCGTAAAGTATTTCCTTTCGTTTTAAAAACTGAAATTCAGGTATTCGATTTAATCATTGAGAATTCTCTACCAGACGCCATACACGCTATTAGAAACTTTCACATAAAGAGCCTAATGTTCTAACATTGCTATGGTTTGTTGATCTCCAGACTGATATATAGCAAGGATTGGCTTTATTATGTAAGTAAGTTGTCCTTGCTAAGATAAATATTTTAAACAACATGTCGTAAATCTGATAATTATAGACTAACATTCTAATTTCAACGAGCAACCGTTGAGTAAACCAAATAGACTTGTAGCTATTTTTAAAATTGTGACACCACTTGAAAACACGTGATGGAAACTTGGCTTGTTGCGATACTGGACACCTTCGCCAACTGTGTGACCATCAACATCATCTGCTTGTTTGGGATTGTGGGTAACTGTCTGAACATCACCGTGCTGTACAAGCACGGGTTCAACAAGTCGACAAACATCATCCTTCTAGCTCTGTCCATCTCGGACCTGCACTTCACCATCCTCCTCCCCGTCACCAGACTTAAATGTATTGTCGGCCACTTTAACGCGAATCTGGCCGAAACCGTTGACACATTTGCCACGGTGTATTTTTTCATGCCAAAATTTGTCTGCCTTGGTTCGAGTTTTTACTACGTGGCTCTCATTGCCGTGGAAAGATTTGTCGCTGTGTTTTACCCATTCCAAGTCTCCAAACTTTTCACCAAAAAACGCGTCCTGATTCTCGTCGTCTGCATTTTCTTGATCAGCGTCGGGACAATTTCCCCGACGTTTTTCTCATTCCGTTACGTCTGGTTGTTTGACCCCGTGTCCAACCAGACGTTAGCTCACGTGACTTACACCGAGTTCTACGTGGCACGCCACGAGTTCCTGGACTTCTACATGTGGGTGGGGATGAACAATTTTTTCTGCGCCGTCAGCATGCTGATAGTCTTCGTCTGCTGTCTGTCGATCTGTCTCAAACTGGTGCGCGTGTCTGTCAAACGTGAACTGATGACGTCAGGAGCCGTGGGCTTTGACGTCAAAGTGGTGAAGATGTTGGTGACAGTGTGCAGCATCTACCTCAGCGTGGCAGTGCCCACCATCACCATGTACACGTACTTCAAGCCAAACTTCATCTTCGTCTCGCCCATACATAAACTGATGAACGACGTTTGTGATATTCTCTACGCTCTTAACGCTTCGGTAAATTTCTTAGTCTACGTCAGCATGTCGCAAAAGTTTGCCAACACGTACAGAAAACTGTTCAGGTTAGGAAGCAGATGATGTTTGAAGCTTTCTTTCATGGCTAAGCTGTAGTGGTTGTTGACGTATTGCTTGACCCAACGGTTGTTGATACAATTAAAGACACGAAGTGGTAGAGCTGTTGATCCATGAGTGTATGTTAAAATAGTTGGTACACCATTTCAGTGGTTAAATAAGTTGGTAGGCTACACCATTTTGTGGTTAAAATGGTGAACCATTTCTGTGGTTGGTACACGATTTCTGTGGTTAAAATAGTTGGTACACCATTTGTTGTTAAAATAGTTGTTACACCATTTCCGTAGTTAAAATAATACACCATTTTGCGGTTAAAATAGTTGATACACGATTTCTGTGGTTGAAATTAAAATAATTGATAATCAATTGTGTATGGTTAGTTAATACACTATTTATGTGGTTAAAATTGTTGATACACGATAGTCTATGGTTAATGTCGTGAAATCAAAGTTAAAAGTCTGGAAAGAAAATTAAATTAGCTCTTGTCAGATCTGGATTTTGAAAATCCCAAGAGCGGGTCAAAAAGTTTTATCCCTGACCTCAACGTTATGAAATTTTACCTCAAAAAACGTTTGACTGTAAGGTTTTGTCCCTGACTTTCTCAACGTTAACATGTTAATGTTTTGGAACTAAACCTCAAAAACGTAAGACCGTACCAAAGGGTTTTTATTTTGATCTAAACCCAGGTTAAAATCTAGTAGACGTTAGCAGACTTTCATGTGACCATTACAAGACCTACTGGTGTATAATGACACTGATCAATGAGTCTTAGCACTCGGGATAAAATTATGTAATTGCCTACTCATCTCTAGAACACTAAAATCATTTTAGTTAATTAAATAAATCAACACTGCTACATACTTCTGAATTTTTAGTTGAATGTCAAAAAGGTTACATTTCTATCCGAGTTTTTTTTATTTTGTTACGCAGCTTTTTATTGTGTAGTCCAGGTTTTTTTTTCACACTGAAGCTGGTAATGATTATTTACAACACAGAGAAACAAGTCAGAGCAACTTAATGCAAGTCACAGACCATAAATGTTGGCTTGTTTCCATTAACAAACTGTATTATATATATCGAGGGTATAGAGGACAAACGCCATATGTCCACTTTTTAGGTAAAATCGATGTACATTTATAAGTGATACTGTGAATAATACAAGCTACAAGAACACTTATGCACTGTCAGAAAAGTAGAATGCAAATATTTTATGAATGTTTTCAACACAATATTTTGCTCTATTTTAATATTCGAATGGGATTTATAAACTCATTTTTCTCGAGATTATGTTTATTTGGACATACTGCGTTTGTCTTCTATACTCTATACCCTCGATATATATAAATAAATAAATATATATATATATATATATATATATATATATATATATATATATATATATATATATATATATATATATATATAAATATAGTACATATACTATGTTCTAGTGGGCTAGATTTGAATTTTAAAGATTAACTTACAGGTAATGAAGACACAGTCAAAGCACATTTAAAAATTTTTATTTTGAGGACACCTCCCCACACAAAAACAAGAATACTTTAGAAATTAGCAATGGAACTGCATTAAAAATATATAAAAGTTGTCATACATTTTTGATAACAGAACAGACTGACGACCCCACATTCCTACAAGTAGCTGTACTAAACACAGTCCTGTCTGAACAAGCTCTACAAACTTTAGTCAGTTATTCTCAGGTATTCTGGTCTAGGTGACATTAAGACAGCACTGAAGGTGAGAGAACTAGCCAAAATATGATGTCCACAGGTGAAAAAATGTGTCAGACAACTTTATTCCCCCATACAGACAGGTGAAAAAAGACACTAGACTTAGACACAGTGACAAAACCTAGTTCTCCTGGTTGTACAAAATATCTCGTTGGTGCTGCAGTTCACTGAAACGTCTTTGTAATTCTCTCTCTCTCTCTGTCTGTCTCTGGACATCCTCTGTCAGGGACTGGTGATGGAAACAAACATTATTACAAGTTGAAATAAAGCGCAACCTCTCATTTTTTTACTTTCTCGTATATACGAAGTATAGAGAAAGTCTTGTAATCGAGCAAAACTAAAAATCGAGATTTTTATAAATCTCGACGTTTTACACCTCACTGATACGGAAAAACATAATTTTGCAATCTTGTCCGTATGTCTGTGTGTGTGTCTGTCTGTCTGTTTGTGTTTAAACACGATAACTTGAATACCGTTACAGCTAGGTTGATGAAATTTTATATATAAGTATTTTATCAAAATTGTAGATCCTGATCAACTTTTGAGCGATTTCAGATAACCGGAAATGGTACTTTTTCTACTTTGAATTTTTCAAAAGCCTATAACTTGAGAACTATTTCAGATAGATAAACGAAATTTCACATGTAAGTAAAAGATCTATATCTCTACCTTCTGTCAAATTTTGAGTAATTTCCATTGACCGGAAGTACTAATTTACGCTATTTCCGATATTTCAAAAAACGCATGTAAATTTATAAAGTACTAATAATATTGCGCACTATTATGCACATTTTGTTTTGGTGCTCGCTTAATGCACAATTTATTTTTCTACGAGATTCTATTCTATTTTTAAAAGTTTAAGTAATAAAAAATCATGTCTATATTCCGAGTTATATAAGAATATTCGAGAAAGTTTAGGGGAGATCACTCCCGGCTTACATGTTAGGAAATAAAGAGCATTAATAAAATACTTAAAAAAAACTTTTTAAAAAACCACGTTTTTCTTGTGGACTAAAAAGTAGAAAATAACTATTTACATACATTTGATGACAAAAAACGTGGGTACGTTCACCATCAAATTTCCCGACCCATCTGCCCGACCCACGTTTTTTGTCATCAAATGTATGTAAATAGTTATTTTCTACTTTTTAGTCCACAAGAAAAACGTGGTTTTTTAAAAAGTTTTTTTAAGTATTTTATTTTCTCCTTTTTAGTCCGTTGCTACACATGAAAAACGTGGTTTTTAAAAAAGTTTTTTATATAGTTTATTTTCTACTTTATCTAATGACTTGATTAAGTATGACTTGACTAAGTGTTTATAAATACACGGACTAAAAAAAATCTTGAGCGACCAGGATTCGAACCTGGGTTGTCGCGGCCACAACGCGAAGTACTAACCACTATACGATCACGGCCAGCGCGCTCACATCGATTGGGGCCGAAGTAACTGTGTCAATAAGCCTCCAGTCTTGTCGGTATCTTTAGAAATCATGTCCTCAATTTTATGGTCCTTGGGGCGTAATTAAATTAAGCTAATTACGGTCTCTAATTGCTAGTTTTTATGATTGCATCTGAAATTGTTAGGCGAAAGTAACCTGCATGCCAAATTTCAGATCTATAGAGCAATCAGAAGTGGGCTAATTTTCGATGTCAATTTTAACAACAAACACATCCACACGAAGCTGAGTTAATAAAAACGTGTTAAAATATAAAATATTTGTCATAATTGTTCAAAAGCTCTATAACAAACTTCTAAACTTCAGGAGTGAAACAATATCTACCACAAACTTGTAAATTTCAGGATAGAAACAATTTTTACAACAAACTTCTAAAGTTAAGGAGTGAAACAATATCTACCACAAACTTGTAAATTTCAGGATAGAAACAATTTCTACAACAAACTTCTAAAGTTAAGGAGTGAAACAATATCTACCTCAAACTTCTAATCTTTAGAATTGAAACAATGTTATCAACATATCTTAAATGTTTAGGACTGAAGCAATGTGTAATACAAACCTCTAATCTCTTTGGAATGGCTCCCAGTTCATGCTGCCTTAAGTGTTCAAATGTGTTCAGCTCAACACGTGTGTTCTCTATTTGTTCTGTCACTTCCTGGAACTGTTTCACCAAACCCTGGGCTCTGGACTGTAGGAAACAACACAATAGTATCACAATCAGAATGGCAGGTACAACTATTTGTATAGAGATTGTAGGAAACAACACAATATAGAGACTGTAGGAAACAACACAATAGTATCAGCACTCAATCAGCATGGCAGGTACAACTATTTGTATAGAGATTGTAGGAAACAACACAATATAGAGACTGTAGGAAACAACACAATAGTATCAGCACTCAATCAGCATGGCAGGTACAACTATTTGTATAGAGACTGTAGGAAACAACACAATATAGAGACTGTAGGAAACAACACAAGAGTATCAGCACTCAATCAGCATGGCAGGTACAACTATTTGTATAGAGACTGTAGGAAACAACACAATATAGAGACTGTAGGAAAGAACACAATAGTATCAGCACTCAATCAGCATGGCAGGTACAACTATTTGTATAGAGACTGTAGGAAACAACACAATATAGAGACTGTAGGAAACAACACAATAGTATCAGCACTCAATCAGAATGGCAGGTACAACTATTTGTATAGAGACTTGACTGTAGGAAACAACTATTTCAATAAGTATTTAAAACAACTATTTCAATAAGTATTTAACTAGAATGGGAGCAAGATAATAACACTACCTTCCCCCTCCCTCATCTCTGATTACCCTCATCAAAAAGTAATGCTTGGGTTATGACCAGGGTTTATATTAGAATTAGGAGAAAGGATAGGGTTTGTGGGAGGTTGATGGTCCCTCTTTATAGTATTCTTTACAATGCCTTGGAAAAGTATGCACTATGATTTATTTATATATTCTGTTGGCTCATTTCAGGAAATCCAAAGAATGTCGAGTCTTTTTATAAAACCACAGGTCTCTCACTTTACTGAAACATAGCTAATAGGACTCTAGAGGGATATTTGACAGGGGAGTAATTTTATGGGGGGCAAGGTAGTGTTCTAGTTTCAGATAGAAAAATAAGCACAAAAATATTAATATTAAAGTGCATGATCATCAAAACTAATAGTAGGTTGTCGCCTAAGCTTTTAAACTTTATTATTGTTCAAGATGACTTAAATAATTAAAAACTACATTTATTTACCTTCAACTTGATACCAATTTTAATTATCAAATTTAATAGGTAGCTTAGAAAATGATTTGTGAAAAAACGCGTTTTTAAATAAAGCAATTCACATTTTGCTTACTTTTATTATGTTCTGCTTGATATTCTCAGTAATTAGACGAAAAAATGTACAAATTACAAGTTTGCATCAAACACTAATCGTCCATTGTTAAAACTAGATTGATATCGTTCAATAATAAGCAAAAATAACGAGTTTAAGTATATATTTCTGAAAAAACCATGAAACACTGTTATAAATGGAACCACAGTATCATCATTTTCGGCAGCCATCATTACCATGACGACGGTAAAAAAGTATCATATTAAATGAAAATTAAAAAATAATTAACAGTTGAACATACTTGGATACAGTAATAGTATCAGTAATTTATGAAAACGTCATGGTATCCATTTCAGCAGTGATGGATTAAGTCATAAGCTAAAATGCTGATATGAGCTAAGAGTGCAGTGTTATATTTCTAGGAGAAGTAATGGCAGAATTTTGAGATATATATGTATGTTTTACACAGAGACCACTGCTTGCAAGTTACTGGTTTTGTGGATGGATGTAGATATACTGTGGGAGAGTGACTTAGTGGACACATTAAAATATGAGCTTACAGGTATGAGGGCAGAGTGCAGAGAGGTAACACTGTACTCAACTGATGAAACATAATATGTAACATCATTCAAATAGACATACCTGGTATCCACCTAATAAAATTTTCAATTTTTTCTCAAACTTGGCAGCTAGTTTGGCATCTCTGGTCATGTGGTTCCTGTTGGTCTGAAATAATAATCAATAAAATCTTTCAGACTTTACTTTACTAAATGGTACCAAAATTGTATTGTGACTGATCTTCAGATGAAAAAAGAATGCACAAAACTGTCAAGCAAACCAAAGAAAGAAGTCTAAAAACTGTAACCTAACAGCAAGGAAACAATGTGAATCACCTCTAATCTCTTCTCTAGTGACTCTATTCTCTCCTTCTTGCTGGCCAAGTTGGCCCTAGTGTATCTGTTCTGGCTGGGTAAAAACAAGACCTGTGAGTAGCACTCCTCCCAGACCTGTGGTACAACAACAACATTAGCTCTCAAAAAATTGTAATTAAACCTACAGAATATGACTTTTTAAGTACACTTTGATAAATGCCTGTCATATCCACATGTTGAATCAGCCAAAAAGGATGCTCCCATGGTTTTAATAAAAGTGTCATCCAGGAACTAAAGATTTTAACTAAAGATTAAAATGATTCAAACCTGAGCAAAAGCTTCTTGTGAGAGGTCACCATGACCCATTCCTTCCTTAACAACCAGCATTTCTTTCTGCAGCAGCTCATCAGCCTAAGAGATTTTATGGATTTAGAAAGGACAAAACTTTCAAACAAGTACATGATTTCTATACAAGCATTTATATTAGTGAAATACATTAATAGGCTATTGTATTTTCTGGTAGACAAAATAACTTTTAAACCTGGGAAAATCTAAAAAGTCTTGGGTTATCTTATTTCACAGGTTGTTGGAAAATACCACATATTGTAAATTTTTGGTCCTTTAAGAATTAAATTAAAATATATTTACCTATTTCCTGATACACATTTTGTGGACAAATATTGAAAGTAACAAAGTGAAAGTGACTCACCTTTTTCATATCATTGGGATCTATCTCAGTGTAGGGGTTCTTGTCCAGATAGGCCAAATGTGCTGCCTGGTTGGCTGCTACCTTCTGTGGGGCTGGGGTTTTAGCACCTGGCCCCACACCCATCTGAGCATCAGTAGGACAGAAGACAGCATCGTGATGCAGCATTATCAGCACTTCCTGCTTGATCAGCTCTTCTGCCTAGTTAAAAATATCAGAACATAATGCCCGTGTATCCAGCTTGTATGTTTGTACATTTAATCTACCAAGATCTGGTTTTAAAATCAGAGCCTCACCTTTTGTAGTTCTGTCAAAGGGGGGTCATTAGGACCTGAGGGTCGCATGATGTTGGTGTTCACGTCGTAGGGTCGGGGCAAACTCCTCTGGACAGCAAGTGACCGCAGCTTGAGTTCAGCCAGACGTTTCTGTTCCTTCTCCCACTCGGCTCTCTCGTCCAGGTCTGCCTGATCCTCCACCACCCTCCTGGTCCCGTGGCCCTCCCCATCCATCCCCTGCTCGTCTTCTGGCACAACTATTTCATAATCATTTTTAGGCATGGGGAGACCGGCCAGTCCTTTCCTGAGTTGATCCAGTTGATCAGGCTATGATTGGGGACAGACAAATGTTTAATTAACATTAATTGATACACAACACTGTTTGATTATTATTATTATTATAACATAAAATATAATCAATAAACGATAAACCAACTATATTTCTAGAAGCAAGATTATTATCTAAAATATTTATTAGTATGATCAAATAATATGCAAGCTAGAAAATAATACTTCAGTACAATGAAAAAGATGTAAGACTTTACCTGGAACATCTTTTCTCCCATATCATCATCCTCATTAATATTCAGCTTGTCTCTTAGTGGTGTGGACATAGGAGTGGACTGGTCAGTGTTAGGTCTCTGTATGCCTGGTCTGGGTGTTAATCCTGACAAACAAAACATGATTTAGGAAAAAAGGGTTTAATTATTGAACAGAAATCTTCCTTCAAAATACTACAAAAAAGCAAAATTCATGAATTTCTGCATGGTAAATCAGTAAGGAAGTGAATAAGTTTGATCCAGGTAAAAAAAAACTGACCTATGTCTGGGTGTCCTGGAGTTCTAAGTGGAGTTCCTAGCACTGTGTTGGGGGTGGCAGCAACGTGCCTCTGGGGGGTGACCCCACTGAAGTCGCTGTCGTGTAGTGGTGTGTTCAAACCTCCCTTCAGTGGGGTGTCCACATTGGTCAGGGCCATTATGTTTTGAGCTTCCTGTGAAGGTAGTGATGAGTTTAAGTACAAGTTATACAAGGCATAGTAAGCGGTAATTCTAATACTTTTTAAATAACTTATTTTATAAACACGCATTCTATTTTAAAGCATACCATTATAAATAATAAGAAATTTTTTTAAAGTGGTATGAACGCATACAAATATTTTTATTCTAATAATCACAATCATATTTCTAAAACGTATAGGAAGACCAAGTGTAAAAGAGAAAGATTAAAAATCTGATCATCAACCCAATGCCCACCTGGAGAATAGTGTCTTGTACAGCAGGTGTTCTAGGTGTGCGCAGGTTGACGCCGCCAGGTGTGATGTTGTAATCCTGCAGCAGACCTTTAGAGGCGGAGTCATCGCGACCAGATTCCTCTACTTGCTGTCTGGCATACTCATTAGCTTGACCTACTTTAATTACCTACAGGGATCCACCAGATTCAATAACATGATTAACACAGGAAGACATTTCACGCTGCAAAAAAATACTGATTGCACATTACAAACATGTAACATTCATTAACCTCGCTATTACTTGTCCTCACATACAAAAACAATTATTAATTATGTTATTGAGTGAGAAAACTGATTACAAAACATTTCTTGCAAATATTTAGCATAAACACATGTAATGGTGAATTCCTTTATGAATCAGTTAAAAAAGAATTGGTAAAAGAATGGCTCACCTCTTCAAGTTCCTCTTCTGAGATCTGTGGTGCTGGCAGTACAAGTTTGCTTCTCTTCTTCACTGGCTCTTGGAAACTGTCAGATTTTAAGTCCACATTTAATAAATATGTGAATGTTGTATTTAACTTTTATTCAGACACTCTACACATGTTTAATGTGACACCATTAAAAGTGGGTCCACAATTTGTATTGGCGTTAAAATATTACTCACTTGGCTTGACTGGCTATTGATCCAGGAAGATCATTTTCTTTCCTTTTTTTCTGTTTTAGCTTGTCCTTCTTTCTCTCTCTCTGTAAACAGATTAGGAAAATTAATCTTTTTTTAAACATGCTAGTTTTATACTTTATTTCTATGCAGTAAAATATTTAAAAAATGAATGGATTATAATAACCTCTTCTTTTTCTCTACGCAGATCTCCATCTAAATTTTGTTGTCGTAACCTCTTGTAGTTGGGGTTTAAGGGATCAAAAACTTCTTGCGATGTGTCATAGAAGCCAGGAGCTGGACGCTTCTCAAATGGAATTTCAGCATTGTAATCAACTCCTCTCTTCTTTCTGCGCTTCTGTTTTACACTGGAGTATTATGGAATAATATTAAGTCTTACAGAGTTGCTAAACACCATTAACATTTGTGTTTAACACTGATATATTGAGAAATAATTTTGAGCTTAATGAAGTCAATGAAGAATTCCCAAATAATTTTGTAATTTTTGTTTTATTTTGAAATATTGGGAATAACCTTCAGCTTAATATAGAACTGAAGACTAATTTTAGAATCTCCATTATGACAGACGATGATGATATGAAAAGAATAAGTTACTTATTTTTGCAAAGGCAAAATCTACACTAAGCCCTTAACGCATGCTACAATTTAATCCATTTTGGCCAGACTTATGGACTATGACAAAAGGAAGGTCACAGCACACTCTCTGGCAAAATTGCTTCAAATATTTGTATAGGCCTTATAAAGTTGTGACAATTGGTAAGCTGCGTTAAACAGTCTTTAGATTTTAGAAGGTGTGCAACAGTCACTAAATAAAGCCTGTCTTTACTATTTGAGTATTTATTTTATTTGCCTTATTTGCACCAAATGTCAGCCTCCACGATGTAGTCAACACAAGTTGTTTTATCAGTCGACTACACAAGGCCAACCAACGACATTAGAAACCAAATTGTTTGTCCTGCCTGTATCGTATCCCAGTCGAGGCAAACAAAAGTTGTGTATATAACGCCACAAGCTGACGACTAAAGACACCAGACTTCCGTCTAGCAATAAACTCTTGACGCTGCTGTTTTAAGATGAAGCTAGCCCTTCTTACAGTCGCCATCTTGTTTGCTCTCTCTGAGGGGAAAAGCCGTAAGTTCATTTTTTAAAAATTGCTTTTCAAGCTATTATGTCTTGTCACAATACTTTAAGTTTATTAATTTAATAAGGACTACTTCGTAAAGTCAAATAATGAAAGTAATTTTTTAAACAAACGTATGTATACAATAATTAATTATTTACGGAAATTTGATCAAAGAAATATTGAATAAGTTGTTTTTTTCTTCAATTTTAAAGATTTCGGACTATCCGTGTAAAAATTTTCATCCTCACTATAATACAAAGAAGAATATATAAACAAATATATTAGAAATGTACAAAGTTTTAACATAAGCGGTTTAGCTAACATACATACTTGTGTTTGATTCTCCTATAATTCTATAACCATTGTTGTTTTCAGTTAAGCGCACACTTAAGTGTCACCACTTTGGGGGAGACACCCCACCAGCAGCAGGTAAACGAGATATCTTTTGTATTGATCTCGATCAGTACGGACATGCTGCAGCCGGTAAACGCTTCACACCTTACCAACCACCTGCTGATGGACTACCCCCACCCCCTCCACCACCTCCACCACCAGCTGATGGAGCACTATTTCCACCACCACCACCACCTGCTGATGGAGCACCCCCTCCACCACCTCCACCCCCTCCAACACCAGCACAACGTGACCTAGACTGTGATTACGTCGGAACACCAGCAGTGGGCAGACGAGACATCTACTGCTACGACTCGGATGATTACGGTTCTGCTGTGGTAGGGAAACGCCATCTCCTGCCCACACGCTACTTCCCCTCCGATTAGATCCACACAACTTCAGCACCATATGACCCACAATGACCCACGATGATCCACTATGACCTCACAACCCCTCACACAGACTTCTTGTCTGTGTGTTGGCCTATTTTAGACAGAATATCACATAATTCTAAGTATGGCCTGATTAAAAATCATGTAAAGTTAATATTTTTTAACTGTTCATTCTACGATAGTTAAAAAGTTAGACAAAGATTATGAATAAAATTGTGGGAAACTAAAATGCATTGCTATTTGTTTTATTATGAAAGATTGTATACAAACGTGAAAATTTATATTTTAATGTATGGTTTTAAATGTAAATGAAATGTTTTCGTAGGAAAAGACTAAATCTTGATGGTGTGGTCTAGCCATATTATAAGCTTACAAGTTATAAGTTCGATGCGGGGATATCACATGTATTTTGTTATAGTGGGTCAAAATGGAATTACGAGATAAGCCATATTCAACAAACAAAAAAGCATACACAATGAACAAAAAAATTAAAAGCTTATAATAAAAGCAAATGCTTATACGGGCTCAAGTCTGTTGGACGTTTGATAAGCCCCACCGAGCTCTGATGGTTACTTGACTCACTGAAGGCAGCTGGGCATGGTGCTGACCACACAACCCCTTCACGTGCGAGGTCAGAGAAATAAAATTGATGAAAATAGTTGTATTCATAGTTTCGTTATTTTATTTGCATTTAATTAAAAAAAAACAGTGTGTTAAGTTTTTAAATATAAAATATGTTTCCGTTTAATGTAGATTTACTATCAGGGTAGTGAGTCTGATAAATACAAAATCACACGAGGTGGGTGAAGACGTAAAACTAATGGACGACCTGGTCTAGTGGTAGAACACTGGCTTGTAAGCTTAAGAGGCGCGAGTTTGGTAGCGAGTTAGAGAGCTTAGGCTCACCCTGACAGCTGGGGAAAATAATTACCTGGTGTAAACAAACAGAACATATGACTGACAGCTTATAAACCTCGGTGCTAAACATACTCTTTTTACCATCATATGTGTTGTCTGCCTGGTTTTAAAAAAACATTTTCAAATTTAATATTGCTATTATTAGTATTTAAAACAGGCTGTTTTATGGCTAGAAATAATCGATTTTCTAATAAATTATAAATGGTTGTACCCATTGCCATTCTGTTTTTCCATTATGTTAAGAAAGTTAATCGACTTTAGAATAGATTGACTTCTTTGTATACCGTTATATCCAACTAAAACATCATCAGTTTACAACGTCGAAGTATTTGACGCATGTTTTAAGATCACTAAAGAAAAATAAAAACTGTTAACAATTAAAATATGACTATTCATTAAGAGTTTTCATGCTAAGTGCTTTCTGCATCCATAAGATAACTAAAGTTTTGTCACGTGATCAAAGCAATAGAAGAAATTCCAATAATAAAATATTTTGGACATACAAGGCAAAACTTACAGAAAGTTTCACTGCATGCAAGAACAATGAACATCCATTGAAAGTACAGCTACCCATCTGGGTATAATCCGACATTCACGTGCAAGGAACCCGGGCTCGAGACTGTAGGTCGTCCAATCACCGAACTGCCCAAAACAGTTAAGGCAATACACTGGGAGGAAGCAAAAACCTGGCAGAAACCAGAGTGTCTAGCGCCTTGTAATATTCTTAGTTCCAGATTGAATTTATATTCATTTCGCCTGTTAATAACACACTGCCCTGGAAAACAATACTTGACATAGTGGAGAACGGAGGAAAAAAAGAATTATCCTGCATCATCTATTGTTATAAACATGCGACTTGTTAGTGATATAACCCTGCGTTTTTATGCTCTTGTGGACAGTGTTTCTTCCAGACTTTTTTCTCCGGGGGGGGGGGGGGGGGCAATTGAAATTTTGGGGGGGGGGGCTAAAATTTCTGGGGGCGGGGGGGGGGGAGGGCGGACCCTGTTAGAAGTATATATTTTCTATATAAATTCCATTTCGTTCGGGGGGGGGGGAAAGGCGGTAGACCTTCTTTGGAGAGCCCCCCCCCCCCCGAAGAGATGCCTGGAAAAAAATCTGCTTGTTGATGATTGCAACAAGCTATCAGCAGATTCAACCAAAGGAAATGTTCTGCTTTGGTATATCGTACAACTATTTGAAGATACAGCACAACTAAACGGCCAAAAATGGGAACAAAAAAATCTAAAGGCTTAAAGAATTTTAGATTGACGTATATAATAAAGACTCATGTCTACCTCTCTTACTGTCTTCAGTTACTTTCCGTGAGCCCTAATGTAGTCAAGATATCACTGTCGTTTTTACGTAGAATTGTAAGCACAAAGGTCATCGTTACTTTTCTCAGAAACGTATCTACATTTCTTACAAGCTTTCTCTGATTGTATTACAATAAAAACACTGAGCCGGTGGCTGATCTAAACTTTGTGCAACTATTAATTATTTACGCTATAGCCCATCTACGACATTTTCGGAGGTTTTTTTAACAAGAAACCCATATGGTCTAGTGAGAGAAGTGAACAACAAATTAGGAACTCAGAGTCCTAACAGGTCAAATCTACTTCACCACAGGGACCTAACAGATCAAATCTACTTCACTTTATATTTGAAGGTTGCTAAATTAAGAATAAATTTGTAATATAAACATAAAATATCAGAGCTCAAAACTGTCAACATCTGGATCTTTGCAAATAATATCTTATACAAGAGGTTCGCTCACATTATCTTTATCTGAGTTCATAACATCAGATGTCCCAACATTAAATAACAGATGCGTACTCATCATGTCATGTATCAGATATTAAGTAGCTTTATTAATCAAATACTACACACACGACATCAAATAATGAAGTAGCTGTATCAAACCCCACATTTTCAGATATCATTCCTCTCACATTAGAACATAAGGTGGTGTAAGAGATAGAAGTGAATTATACTATATACTATCAACAGTGCTCACGTCAGGTAGAGTTGCTGCCCACCATTTCTGACGTCAGAACAGTTGCTGTTCAACAGTTCCGACGTCATACACAGCAGTCAAAGAAAAACGTAACATTGCCGCACATATTTACAACCCTGTTGTAACTGAGTTCACCAAGGCCTAACTTGTAGTTGGGTTTACCAAGGCCTAACTTGTAGCTGGGTTTACCAAGGCCTAACTTGTAGCTGGGTTTACCAATGTCTAACTTGTAGCTGGGTTTACCAAGGCCTAACTTGTAACTGGGTTTACAAAGGCCTAACTTATAGCTGGGTTTACCAATGTCTAACTTGTAGCTGGGTTTACCAATACCTAACTTGTAGCTGGGTTTACCAATACCTAACTTGTAACTGGGTTTACCAAGGCCTAACTTGTAGCTGGGTTTACCAAGGCCTAACTTGTAGCTGGGTTTACCAATACCTAACTTGTAACTGGGTTTACCAAGGCCTAACTTATAGCTGGGTTTACCAATGTCTAACTTGTAGCTGGGTTTACCAATACCTAACTTGTAGCTGGGTTTACCAATACCTAACTTGTAACTGGGTTTACCAAGGCCTAACTTGTAGCTGGGTTTACCAAGGCCTAACTTGTAGTTGGGTTTACCAAGGCCTAACTTGTAGCTGGGTTTACCAATGCCCAGCTTGTAGCTGGGTTTACCAATGTCTAATTTGTAGCTGGGTTTACCAAGGCCTAACTTGTAACTGGGTTTACAAAGGCCTAACTTATAGCTGGGTTTACCAATGTCTAACTTGTAGCTGGGTTTACCAATACCTAACTTGTAGCTGGGTTTACCAATACCTAACTTGTAACTGGGTTTACCAAGGCCTAACTTGTAGCTGGGTTTACCAAGGCCTAACTTGTAGCTGGGTTTACCAATACCTAACTTGTAACTGGGTTTACCAAGGCCTAACTTGTAGCTGGGTTTACCAAGGCCTAACTTGTAGCTGGGTTTACCAATACCTAACTTGTAGCTGGGTTGACCAAGGCCTAACTTGTAGTTGGGTTTACCAAGGCCTAACTTGTAGCTGGGTTTACCAATGTCTAACTTGTAGCTGGGTTTACCAATACCTAACTTGTAGCTGGGTTTACCAATACCTAACTTGTAACTGGGTTTACCAAGGCCTAACTTGTAGCTGGGTTTACCAAGGCCTAACTTGTAGCTGGGTTTACCAATACCTAACTTGTAACTGGGTTTACCAAGACCTAACTTATAGCTGGGTTTACCAAGGCCTAACTTGTAGCTGGGTTGACCAAGGCCTAACTTGTAGTTGGGTTTACCAAGGCCTAACTTGTAGCTGGGTTTACCAATGCCCAGCTTGTAGCTGGGTTTGCCAAGGCATAACTTGTAGTTGGGTGTACCAAGGCCTAACGGAGGGCGATTTTGGATATATTCAACGAACTGACATTGTTAGATCTAGACATTTAGTTTCACACTACATTCAACAGAGATATCAATTACACTAATAGTAATAGATCAAAATTATAGTCTGGGAATTGCAGAAATAACCTTTAGAGATAGATACACATACTAATTCGGCTAGATGCTCTATCAACTTAGAATATAAAGTACAAAATGATATTATCTGGATCTTTATTAAATATTTTCAAAAAGACGAAAAGAAAATGTGAGTATCAACGGAGATCGGAAAAATAAAATGAAAGATAATGTAAGAATAGTTGCTGGGAAATTACCATCACGTCGTAGTTTTACTTGCACCAAATGTGAGCCTCCACGATCTAGTCAACACAAGTTGTTTTATCAGTCGACTACACAAGGCCAACCAACGACATCAGAAACCAAATTGTTTGTCCTGCCTGTATCGTATCCCAGTCGAGGCAAACAAAAGTTGTGTATATAACGCCACAAGCTGACGACTAAAGACACCAGACTTCCGTCTAGCAATAAACTCTTGACGCTGCTGTTTTAAGATGAAGCTAGTCCTTCTTACAGTCGCCATCTTGTTTGCTCCCTCTGAGGGGAAAAGCCGTACGTTCTTTTTTTTCCACTTATTTTCATACTCCATTTTCTAAAGATAATTGTATATTTTAATCAAGAAACATTCAGAGAGTAGTATTGTTCAAATTACGAATTTTAGGTAATTTTATTCAGATTTCCCAGACACATTAATAATTATTAGAATAGACTAGAAACGTTTCATATTGTGTTTATCCAATCGTATTTTATTCCTTAAGTTGTAAGACATTAAGACTTTCTTCAAACTGTTTAACGTTATGTTGAATTCACACAATGTATAACACATAAGCACGTCTTACAGTGACATATTAAGGCTACGCTAATGAACCTAATTTGCTCCATTAAACTAGGCAGTTAAGCATTTATTTCCAGGCAAAAGCCCACTAGAATGCTTCTACTTCAACAGTGGGGCTTCAGCAGCCGCTGGTAAACGAGATGTGTTCTGCCTCGATCACGATTTTTTGTTCGGCGGCGTGGCCGTCGGAAAACGATTCTCTCCAATTCCTGAACCACAAGATGGAGTTCCACCACCTTATCCACCCCCTCCACCTGCTGAAGGAGGTCTAGCTCCACCACCACCACCACCACCAACATCCCAACCACCAGCAGCAAAACGTTCTCTAGACTGCCAATACTACGAAGCATCAGCTGCAGCAGGTAAACGCGACATCTACTGCTACGATACTGACGGTATCGATTACGGTTATGCTGTGGCCACACGGTACTCGCCATCGGAGTGATCGATCCTCTCCAATCCACCACAACCTGATCCACAATGACAACCACACCCCACTTACCTCCTCTCCACTCCACCACAACCTGATCCACAATGACATCCACGCCCCGCTTACCTCCTCTCCACTCCACCACAACCTGATCCACAATGACAACCACACCCCACTTACCTCCTCTCCACTCCACCACAACCTGATCCACAATAACATCCACGCCCCGCTTACCTCCTGTCTGAAACTACCTCATTCTAAACCACCATGTTATCTTTACCTGGTCTGAGGTTTAAAATATTATGTTACATTTTATTTTACACGTGTAGTCAAAATTCTGAATTAAATTGTGGAATCCATATCTAAAGTGTTTCTTTATTTATTTATTTATGTTTAATTTGCTTATTTTACACCACCTCAATAAAAAACTATTTAAGTGTTTAATTTAATTAATAACAGCAACATTAATATAGTTGGTCAGAATTAGGTCACATGAATAAATCACAGACTAAAATAAGTGTCATATTTGCCCTTAGGTCTAATGAAGTAGTTTTTTTTTTAACTTTAATTTTAGTCATCAGTAATAGACAACACACCGTCGGTGTTCTGTGCCCTGTTTCTTGCGATCACGTGTGTATGATATTTTAAACTGCATCTATAGCCTAAGTTTTTACTACGATTCCAATGTATGTAAAGTAAATATTTGCAATTATCAACAACAATAATGTTGCAAAAAACAATGAAATTATTGAATTCATCAGCTTTGAAATAATCTGATGGACATTTGCAGTAAGTGAAAGGAGCATTTCCACAATGACCGCCATTTTTTAACAGAAAACAGAATTGTAACATGGTAATTCTATACCTATTTGTTAGCTGAGAAAAAGAAATAGCTTGTTCCTTATGTTAAAAAAAAAAATTTTAATTGCCTTCATCAGACAAAAATAGATTTAGAGAATACAACCATCATAGGAATATGGTGAATACCAAGACCTTTGAGGCTATGATCATTGATTAAACAAATACACGGACTTCAATAGAGGAAATGATTATTGATGAAACATGAAAGATTCACGCTTCTTAGTAAAGCCACATTGGCTTGAAAATCAATTAAATGTTTAGCCTTTTGTGGGGAATAAATAATTAGTTGTTTTTTTTTTAATTACATATAACAACACACTTTATGAAATTATGGAACTTTTAAAAAAGAAAATCAATAACAAACCGAATGAGTAAAGGAATTTAATTTCAAAATATTTAATTATAAAATTATCGCCACTCCGTAGAAAAACATATTAACTACGTTTCTTGGTCTGACTGAAGTAAGATAATGGTGGGCTAAGAAGCTGAGTAGAAATTAACGATCCATGTGTCATCGTTAAATATGTAGAGACATGTTATTAGCTCTTATTTTTTATGTGGTAATTAGTACTACTCGTCATTTACGTCTGTTGGAAACAATTAATTACTTTATTTAAACTAATTATATTTTTAAATATTAAAATTCTAGTTTTTTTGTAAATTTATTTTCTTGCTTTTTTTAAAAATAAAACTTCTACAAAACTTAACACCAATTTTAAAATAATAATTAATTTTGCCATGTTTACATAGGCTCATTAATTAGCGTAGAGACGAGCTCGGCATTATAATGTTCTAAATCTAAACTAACGTGCGTAGGTAGTTGTATTGACTTATTCCATTTCACAGAAATGTATTTATTTATAATACGCTTTCCGGTTTAAAACAATCCTTATAGTAAATGCGTGTGTTTATTAAAAGACGTAATTTATTTGTTTTCATATAAATCCAAACTTAGGAATATAGAGAACTTTTATAGTTGAATAAGAATGAGAACTTGATTCTATTGACCCGACCATTATTCATTCAAGAACAGTAACAACAGTTAAATGTTCTAATGGTTAATATGTTTACAATTCTCATGAAAGATGAAAATCGTTAAATAACTTCTTATATTTAGATGCGAAAAATGTTATATTTAAATACGATGTGACAATGTGCTGGTTAGATAAAGATTATTACAAAGCCCTTTTAATCATTAAATACATCACAGAAAATTACATAATTAAGATATAATGTTAAACTATGTTAACTGTTTTTTTTTCCAAATAATATTATAAAATAACCCATAAACTAACTCGCGTATCAGGCACCACAAAGAAAACCAGATGTGTAATGCTATTTTATTTCTAGGACAAAGACGGGTAACCCAGCTAGTACAGCTCTAAAACAAACCACAGAACACGGTGTCAACTGTCGGCACATATTGATATTCACCTAATGTCGTCAGACGGAGACTTGGACCCAAGGACTGTTCACATCCTGGACACGTTCACCAACTGCATCATGATCAACTTCCTCGGCGTCTTCGGCATCGTAGGGAACAGCATCAACATAGCCGTGCTGTCACGCCACGGTTTCCGCGAGTCCACCAACATCGTCCTCATCGCCCTCTCGACCTCTGACCTACTCTTCAGCACGTTCCAGCCCATCACGAGGCTGAAATGCATCGTGGGATACTTCGACTCGAGCTTCGCGGAGACCGTTCACGCCTTCGTAACGGTGTATTTCTTCCTGCCTAAATTCGTCTGTCTGGGCATCAGTTTTTGGTACGTGGCTCTGATCGCCATTGAGCGTTTCGTTGCCGTGTATTTCCCGTTCCAAGTTTCCAAAATTTTTACACGGAAACGGATGTTGGTTTTGGTGATTTTTATTTTTTGTTTCGGGTTCACGATGATATCCCCAACGTTCTTTGCTTTTCAGTACCATTGGAGATGGAACCTCGTGTTGAACATATCCCTTGGAGCGGTAGACTACACAGATTTCTACATCACAAACCACGAGTTCCTCGACTTCTACATGTGGGTGGGGCTCAACAACTTATTCTGTACCTTGAGTTTCTCTGTCGTCCTATTCTGCTGCCTGGCTATCTGCCTGAAGCTGATGCGCAGTGCTGTAAAAAGAGAAAAACTGACCACCACCAGCTCCGGATATGACGTCAAAGTTGTGAAAATGCTCGTTACTGTTTGTACTATTTACATCTTCGTTGCCATACCAACAATAACATTGTACTCGTATTATAAACCAAGCTTTATATTTGTCTCCCCTGTCCACCGTCTGATGAATGACGTCAGCGATATTCTATTTCTGACCAACGCGTCATCCAACTTCATCGTTTACGTCAGCATGTCCAAGAAATTTGCTGATACCTACAAGCAGCTGTTGGGGTTAAGGCCACACGTTAAGATGCACAGAGGGAAAACGGTCAACTATCGTACTAATAGACTGTAAACTTTACACATCCTGAACATTTGGGTGAACTTTTACATGTTGTTCATGTTAGATAATCTAGGAGCATAGTAGTTTTAACTGCACGATAAAAGAGTAAAATCTAGAGGCCATTTACCTTGGATTAACCAGCTTATTTTATTTCGGCAATTATGATAGAATAAATCAATCAAAAGTGGCAAAATGTATAACAGAAATGTCGTTGCTGTGTACAGTATAATCTGTTTTTGTGTTAAAATTAGAACCGTTCTGTAAAAGTGTACACCTATTCTATAGAATTAAAATGAATGAATTGTGAAAATGTACACAGTGTTTTTTATTATGCTAGATCTACATCAGTGGCGTAGCGAGGTCGGGTGTCATCCGGTGCGGCACTTAATGGTGTCACCCCCAGAGGCGTAGCGACCCTTCCCGGGGACAAACTTTCAAGTTTTCGATTTGCACCCCCCCCCCCCTCAAACTTTCGATTTGCACCCCCCTCCCCCTCAAGTTTTCGATTTGCAGCCCCCCCCTCAAGTTTTTCTCTATATATTTTGCTATTTTTTGCCTTGGTGTCACCCCCCTAAATGGTGTCACCCGGTGCGGTCCGCACCCCCCGCACCCCCCTCGCTACGCCCCTGATCTACATTACAATCTATTAGGGATTGTATACTGCCTGTTACGACGGGTTATATTAGACCAGACATTTTGCCTAGCTTCGCTTAGCTTTTTGAAAAGGTATCCTTAAAATCGTACACATACATAACTCTTTTACTAATACCAACCAATTCTACAATGACCACGCAGATTGTTTTGACTCCAACCTTTTCAATGTATAAGTAATATTTTAATCATAAAAAGCATGAGACTTTCTTCTCTTACCGTTACCGATCGACATAAAACTTAGAGAAGTTAATTAGAATACTGAGTCGAAGGTTTCTGCATTTGATTCATCTGTATTGCATAAAAGCTCACAATTAATATTTCCGGAAAATTTTCCTTCGTTTTTACACAAAAATGTGCATGTTTATATAACGAATTATGGCCTTCAGTCGCCTTTGAGCCCTTTGCGATTTTTTCCCTGATTTGACAAGTTATTTTATTTATCTATTTTTATTTTATTTATTTATTTATTCTTTGCATCTCTGGGCATGGACTAAAATTACTCACTTGTCGTGGACTTTGTGGCAGATCGGCATTCCCCCCACCCCCTGGGTTTGATTTGCCGGACGCTAGTGCCTGCCAAATTCGAAGCGGCTGCGGTACCGTCAGGTGCCCTAAACATGTTTTAATCATCTTCCTTTATTGGTATAGATACTATCAGTGTTGATCTAGTCGTTTTTCAACACAGGTAAATCGCTTTAAAAAGTTTTCACATAACTTTAGTATTGATGTTTTTTTTTTAAATTTATTTATTTAAAAAAAAAATGCACCAATTAGGCCTGGGTATACAAATTAAATAGAATAAATTTTCGATTTTTGTTTAGTGATATCTTGTTAACAGTCAGACATAAATCCTCTATTTGTTAACTAATTGGGACGTTGGTGAAAGAAAATAATTGAACGTCATTTTTCTGCTTGCTGTTTACATTGCAATTTTCTATTAAATATCGATATGACTTCGGCAATTCGTAATATCTCCAGGCCAAATTCTGGAATTCCTAATCTGCAGAAAATGGGGCTGATCGTCTTACCTTAGCTTCACGAAACCACGCAGTAATTTGGAATAATTGTCTGATGGCAAGCTCCACTCAATTATTCGATAAGAAATGTCGCGTGCTGAGTGTGATTTGGATGCGACAATACGCCCGGGGGTCTATCTTTCAGGGTCGGGGCTAGCGGTTAAACTTCAGTGTAATGGCTTGGGTTGATTTTCTATGAATTTTCGAAAATTTTATTACAAGATGTTAATCGTAATCAAACTAAATTTAGACTATCGTTAGTTTAAGTTATTTCTCAATATTTTCAATCAATATAACCTATGACAATAAATTACCGATATTATTATGTCAGATGCCGATTTATAATCAATGAGACATGCGAGTTTCTACAAGGCACAGCTTCTAACTGTTGACACACACATTGTATGACACAAGCTTTAATGCTCACGTATTTTTAAAAACAATCGATTTATTTAATAGATTCAAACGAAATATACGAACTTATTTCTATTTATCTATTTTGAGCAGCCTATCGAGTCAGAATTTTAACAAAGAAGAATGAATAAAAACGGGAAAACGGCTTTATAATTTAACCTAACTTTAAATTGAGAGCGTAAAGTGTTTCCTTTCGTTTTAAAAACTGAAAGTCAGGTATTCGATTTAATCATTGAGAATTCTCTACCAGACGCCATACACGCTATTAGAAACTTTCACATAAAGAGCCTAATGTTCTAACATTGCTATGGTTTGTTGATCTCCAGACTGATATATACCTAGCAAGGATTGGCTTTCTGTAAGTAAGTTGTCCTTGCTAAGATAGATGTTTTAAACAACATGACGTAAATCTGATAATTATAGACTAACATTCTAATTTCAACGAGCAACCATTGAGTAAACCAAATAGACTTGTAACTGTTTTTAAAATTGTGACGTCACTTGGAAACAGGTCATGGAAACCTGGCTTGTTGCGATACTGGACACCTTCGCCAACTGTGTGACCATCAACATCATCTGCTTGTTTGGGATTGTGGGCAACTGCCTGAACATCACCGTGCTGTACAAGCACGGGTTCAACAAGTCGACAAACATCATCCTTCTAGCTCTGTCCATCTCCGACCTGCACTTCACCATCCTCCTCCCCGTCACCAGACTCAAATGTATTGTCGGCCACTTTAACGCGAATCTGGCCGAAACCGTTGACACATTTGCCACGGTGTATTTTTTCATGCCAAAATTTGTCTGCCTTGGTTCGAGTTTTTACTACGTGGCTCTCATTGCTGTGGAGAGATTTGTCGCTGTGTTTTACCCATTCCAAGTCTCCAAACTTTTCACCAAAAAACGTGTCCTGATTCTCGTCGTCTGCATTTTCTTGATCAGCGTCGGGACAATTTCCCCGACGTTTTTCTCATTCCGTTACGTCTGGTTGTTTGACCCCGTATCCAACCAGACGTTAGCTCACGTGACTTACACAGAGTTCTACGTGGCACGTCACGAGTTCCTGGACTTCTACATGGGGGTGGGGATGAACAATTTTTTCTGCGCCGTCAGCATGCTGATAGTCTTCGTCTGCTGTCTGTCGATCTGTCTCAAACTGGTGCGCGTGTCTGTCAAACGTGAACTGATGACGTCAGGAGCCGTGGGCTTTGACGTCAAAGTGGTGAAGATGTTGGTGACAGTGTGCAGCATCTACCTCAGCGTGGCAGTGCCCACCATCACCATGTACACGTACTTCAAGCCAAACTTCATCTTCGTCTCGCCCATACATAAACTGATGAACGACGTTTGTGATATTCTCTACGCTCTTAACGCTTCGGTAAATTTCTTAGTCTACGTCAGCATGTCGCAAAAGTTTGCCAACACGTACAGAAAACTGTTCAGGTTAGGAAGCAGATGATGTTTGAAGCTTTCTTTCATGGCTAAGCTGTAGTGGTTGTTGACGTATTGCTTGACCCAACGGTTGTTGATACAATTAAAGACACGAAGTGGTAGAGCTGTTGATCCATGAGTGTATGTTAAAATAGTTGGTACACCATTTCAGTGGTTAAATAAGTTGGTAGGCTACACCATTTTGTGGTTAAAATGGTGAACCATTTCTGTGGTTGGTACACGATTTCTGTGGTTAAAATAGTTGGTACACCATTTGTTGTTAAAATAGTTGTTACACCATTTCCGTAGTTAAAATAATACACCATTTTGCGGTTAAAATAGTTGATACACGATTTCTGTGGTTGAAATTAAAATAATTGATAATCAATTGTGTATGGTTAGTTAATACACTATTTATGTGGTTAAAATTGTTGATACACGATAGTCTATGGTTAATGTCGTGAAATCAAAGTTAAAAGTCTGGAAAGAAAATTAAATTAGCTCTTGTCAGATCTGGATTTTGAAAATCCCAAGAGCGGGTCAAAAAGTTTTATCCCTGACCTCAACGTTATGAAATTTTACCTCAAAAAACGTTTGACTGTAAGGTTTTGTCCCTGACTTTCTCAACGTTAACATGTTAATGTTTTGGAACTAAACCTCAAAAACGTAAGACCGTACCAAAGGGTTTTTATTTTGATCTAAACCCAGGTTAAAATCTAGTAGACGTTAGCAGACTTTCATGTGACCATTACAAGACCTACTGGTGTATAATGACACTGATCAATGAGTCTTAGCACTCGGGATAAAATTATGTAATTGCCTACTCATCTCTAGAACACTAAAATCATTTTAGTTAATTAAATAAATCAACACTGCTACATACTTCTGAATTTTTAGTTGAATGTCAAAAAGGTTACATTTCTATCCGAGTTTTTTTTATTTTGTTACGCAGCTTTTTATTGTGTAGTCCAGGTTTTTTTTTTCACACTGAAGCTGGTAATGATTATTTACAACACAGAGAAACAAGTCAGAGCAACTTAATGCAAGTCACAGACCATAAATGTTGGCTTGTTTCCCTTAACAAACTATTATATATATCGAGGGTATAGAGGACAAACGCCATATGTCCACTTTTTAGGTAAAATCGATGTACATTTATAAGTGATACTGTGAATAATACAAGCTACAAGAACACTTATGCACTGTCAGAAAAGTAGAATGCAAATATTTTATGAATGTTTTCAACACAATATTTTGCTCTATTTTAATATTCGAATGGGATTTATAAACTCATTTTTCTCGAGATTATGTTTATTTGGACATACTGCGTTTGTCTTCTATACTCTATACCCTCGATATATATAAATAAATAAATATATATATATATATATATATATATATAAATATAGTACATATACTATGTTCTAGTGGGCTAGATTTGAATTTTAAAGATTAACTTACAGGTAATGAAGACACAGTCAAAGCACATTTAAAAATTTTTATTTTGAGGACACCTCCCCACACAAAAACAAGAATACTTTAGAAATTAGCAATGGAACTGCATTAAAAATATATAAAAGTTGTCATACATTTTTGATAACAGAACAGACTGACGACCCCACATTCCTACAAGTAGCTGTACTAAACACAGTCCTGTCTGAACAAGCTCTACAAACTTTAGTCAGTTATTCTCAGGTATTCTGGTCTAGGTGACATTAAGACAGCACTGAAGGTGAGAGAACTAGCCAAAATATGATGTCCACAGGTGAAAAAATGTGTCAGACAACTTTATTCCCCCATACAGACAGGTGAAAAAAGACACTAGACTTAGACACAGTGACAAAACCTAGTTCTCCTGGTTGTACAAAATATCTCGTTGGTGCTGCAGTTCACTGAAACGTCTTTGTAATTCTCTCTCTCTCTCTGTCTGTCTCTGGACATCCTCTGTCAGGGACTGGTGATGGAAACAAACATTATTACAAGTTGAAATAAAGCGCAACCTCTCATTTTTTTACTTTCTCGTATATACGAAGTATAGAGAAAGTCTTGTAATCGAGCAAAACTAAAAATCGAGATTTTTATAAATCTCGACGTTTTACACCTCACTGATACGGAAAAACATAATTTTGCAATCTTGTCCGTATGTCTGTGTGTGTGTCTGTCTGTCTGTTTGTGTTTAAACACGATAACTTGAATACCGTTACAGCTAGGTTGATGAAATTTTATATATAAGTATTTTATCAAAATTGTAGATCCTGATCAACTTTTGAGCGATTTCAGATAACCGGAAATGGTACTTTTTCTACTTTGAATTTTTCAAAAGCCTATAACTTGAGAACTATTTCAGATAGATAAACGAAATTTCACATGTAAGTAAAAGATCTATATCTCTACCTTCTGTCAAATTTTGAGTAATTTCCATTGACCGGAAGTACTAATTTACGCTATTTCCGATATTTCAAAAAACGCATGTAAATTTATAAAGTACTAATAATATTGCGCACTATTATGCACATTTTGTTTTGGTGCTCGCTTAATGCACAATTTATTTTTCTACAAGATTCTATTCTATTTTTAAAAGTTTAAGTAATAAAAAATCATGTCTATATTCCGAGTTATATAAGAATATTCGAGAAAGTTTAGGGGAGATCACTCCCGGCTTACATGTTAGGAAATAAAGAGCATTAATAAAATACTTAAAAAAAACTTTTTAAAAAACCACGTTTTTCTTGTGGACTAAAAAGTAGAAAATAACTATTTACATACATTTGATGACAAAAAACGTGGGTACGTTCACCATCAAATTTCCCGACCCATCTGCCCGACCCACGTTTTTTGTCATCAAATGTATGTAAATAGTTATTTTCTACTTTTTAGTCCACAAGAAAAACGTGGTTTTTTAAAAAGTTTTTTTTAAGTATTTTATTTTCTCCTTTTTAGTCCGTTGCTACACATGAAAAACGTGGTTTTTAAAAAAGTTTTTTATATAGTTTATTTTCTACTTTATCTAATGACTTGATTAAGTATGACTTGACTAAGTGTTTATAAATACACCGACTAAAAAAAATCTTGAGCGACCAGGATTCGAACCTGGGTTGTCGCGGCCACAACGCGAAGTACTAACCACTATACGATCACGGCCAGCGCGCTCACATCGATTGGGGCCGAAGTAACTGTGTCAATAAGCCTCCAGTCTTGTCGGTATCTTTAGAAATCATGTCCTCAATTTTATGGTCCTTGGGGCGTAATTAAATGAAGCTAATTACGGTCTCTAATTGCTAGTTTTTATGATTGCATCTGAAATTGTTAGGCGAAAGTAACCTGCATGCCAAATTTCAGATCTATAGAGCAATCAGAAGTGGGCTAATTTTCGATGTCAATTTTAACAACAAACACATCCACACGAAGCTGAGTTAATAAAAACGTGTTAAAATATAAAATATTTGTCATAATTGTTCAAAAGCTCTATAACAAACTTCTAAACTTCAGGAGTGAAACAATATCTACCACAAACTTGTAAATTTCAGGATAGAAACAATTTTTACAACAAACTTCTAAAGTTAAGGAGTGAAACAATATCTACCACAAACTTGTAAATTTCAGGATAGAAACAATTTCTACAACAAACTTCTAAAGTTAAGGAGTGAAACAATATCTACCACAAACTTCTAATCTTTAGAATTGAAACAATGTTATCAACATATCTTAAATGTTTAGGACTGAAGCAATGTGTAATACAAACCTCTAATCTCTTTGGAATGGCTCCCAGTTCATGCTGCCTTAAGTGTTCAAATGTGTTCAGCTCAACACGTGTGTTCTCTATTTGTTCTGTCACTTCCTGGAACTGTTTCACCAAACCCTGGGCTCTGGACTGTAGGAAACAACACAATAGTATCACAATCAGAATGGCAGGTACAACTATTTGTATAGAGATTGTAGGAAACAACACAATATAGAGACTGTAGGAAACAACACAATAGTATCAGCACTCAATCAGCATGGCAGGTACAACTATTTGTATAGAGATTGTAGGAAACAACACAATATAGAGACTGTAGGAAACAACACAATAGTATCAGCACTCAATCAGCATGGCAGGTACAACTATTTGTATAGAGATTGTAGGAAACAACACAATATAGAGACTGTAGGAAACAACACAATAGTATCACAATCAGAATGGCAGGTACAACTATTTGTATAGAGATTGTAGGAAACAACACAATATAGAGACTGTAGGAAACAACACAATAGTATCAGCACTCAATCAGCATGGCAGGTACAACTATTTGTATAGAGATTGTAGGAAACAACACAATATAGAGACTGTAGGAAACAACACAATAGTATCAGCACTCAATCAGCATGGCAGGTACAACTATTTGTATAGAGATTGTAGGAAACAACACAATATAGAGACTGTAGGAAACAACACAATAGTATCACAATCAGAATGGCAGGTACAACTATTTGTATAGAGATTGTAGGAAACAACACAATATAGAGACTGTAGGAAACAACACAATAGTATCAGCACTCAATCAGCATGGCAGGTACAACTATTTGTATAGAGATTGTAGGAAACAACACAATATAGAGACTGTAGGAAACAACACAATAGTATCAGCACTCAATCAGCATGGCAGGTACAACTATTTGTATAGAGACTGTAGGAAACAACACAATATAGAGACTGTAGGAAACAACACAATAGTATCAGCACTCAATCAGCATGGCAGGTACAACTATTTGTATAGAGATTGTAGGAAACAACACAATATAGAGACTGTAGGAAACAACACAATAGTATCAGCACTCAATCAGAATGGCAGGTACAACTATTTGTATAGAGATTGTAGGAAACAACACAATATAGAGACTGTAGGAAACAACACAATAGTATCACAATCAGAATGGCAGGTACAACTATTTGTATAGAGATTGTAGGAAACAACACAATATAGAGACTGTAGGAAACAACACAATAGTATCAGCACTCAATCAGCATGGCAGGTACAACTATTTGTATAGAGATTGTAGGAAACAACACAATATAGAGACTGTAGGAAACAACACAATAGTATCAGCACTCAATCAGCATGGCAGGTACAACTATTTGTATAGAGATTGTAGGAAACAACACAATATAGAGACTGTAGGAAACAACACAATAGTATCAGCACTCAATCAGCATGGCAGGTACAACTATTTGTATAGAGACTGTAGGAAACAACACAATATAGAGACTGTAGGAAACAACACAAGAGTATCAGCACTCAATCAGCATGGCAGGTACAACTATTTGTATAGAGATTGTAGGAAACAACACAATATAGAGACTGTAGGAAACAACACAATAGTATCAGCACTCAATCAGCATGGCAGGTACAACTATTTGTATAGAGATTGTAGGAAACAACACAATATAGAGACTGTAGGAAACAACACAAGAGTATCAGCACTCAATCAGCATGGCAGGTACAACTATTTGTATAGAGATTGTAGGAAACAACACAATATAGAGACTGTAGGAAACAACACAATAGTATCAGCACTCAATCAGCATGGCAGGTACAACTATTTGAATAGAGACTTGACTGTAGGAAACAACTATTTCAATAGGGATTTAACTGGAATGGGAGCAAGATAATAACACTACCTTCCCCCTCCCTCATCTCTGATTACCCTCATCAAAAAGTAATGCTTGGGTTATGACCAGGGTTTATATTAGAATTAGGAGAAAGGATAGGGTTTGTGGGAGGTTGATGGTCCCTCTTTTTTGTATTCTTTACAATGCCTTGGGAAAGTATGCACTATGATTTATTTATATATTCTGTTGGCTCATTTCAGGAAATCCAAAGAATGTCGAGTCTTTTTATAAAACCACAGGTCTCTCACTTTACTGAAACATAGCTAATAGGACTCTAGAGGGATATTTGACAGGGGAGTAATTTTATGGGGGGCAAGGTAGTGTTCTAGTTTCAGATAGAAAAATAAGCACAAAAATATTAATATTAAAGTGCATGATCATCAAAACTAATAGTAGGTTGTCGCCTAAGCTTTTAAACTTTATTATTGTTCAAGATGACTTAAATAATTAAAAACTACATTTATTTACCTTCAACTTGATACCAATTTTAATTATCAAATTTAATAGGTAGCTTAGAAAATGATTTGTGAAAAAACGCGTTTTTAAATAAAGCAATTCACATTTTGCTTACTTTTATTATGTTCTGCTTGATATTCTCAGTAATTAGACGAAAAAATGTACAAATTACAAGTTTGCATCAAACACTAATCGTCCATTGTTAAAACTAGATTGATATCGTTCAATAATAAGCAAAAATAACGAGTTTAAGTATATATTTCTGAAAAAACCATGAAACACTGTTATAAATGGAACCACAGTATCATCATTTTCGGCAGCCATCATTACCATGACGACGGTAAAAAAGTATCATATTAAATGAAAATTAAAAAATAATTAACAGTTGAACATACTTGGATACAGTAATAGTATCAGTAATTTATGAAAACGTCATGGTATCCATTTCAGCAGTGATGGATTAAGTCATAAGCTAAAATGCTGATATGAGCTAAGAGTGCAGTGTTATATTTCTAGGAGAAGTAATGGCAGAATTTTGAGATATATATGTATGTTTTACACAGAGACCACTGCTTGCAAGTTACTGGTTTTGTGGATGGATGTAGATATACTGTGGGAGAGTGACTTAGTGGACACATTAAAATATGAGCTTACAGGTATGAGGGCAGAGTGCAGAGAGGTAACACTGTACTCAACTGATGAAACATAATATGTAACATCATTCAAATAGACATACCTGGTATCCACCTAATAAAATTTTCAATTTTTTCTCAAACTTGGCAGCTAGTTTGGCATCTCTGGTCATGTGGTTCCTGTTGGTCTGAAATAATAATCAATAAAATCTTTCAGACTTTACTTTACTAAATGGTACCAAAATTGTGTTGTGACTGATCTTAAAAGATGATAAAAGAATGAACAAAAAAAAAGCAAACCAAAGAAAGAAGTCTAAAAACTGTAACCTAACAGCAAGGAACCAATGTGAATCACCTCTAATCTCTTCTCTAGTGACTCTATTCTCTCCTTCTTGCTGGCCAAGTTGGCCCTGGTGTATCTGTTCTGGCTGGGTAAAAACAAGACCTGTGAGTAGCACTCCTCCCAGACCTGTGGTACAACAACAACATTAGCTCTCAAAAATTTTTTAATTAAACATATAGAATATGACTTGTTAAGTACACTTTGATAAATGCCTGTCATATCCACATGTTGAATCAGCCAAAAAGGATGCTCCCATGGTTTTAATAAAAGTGTCATCCAGGAACTAAAGATTTTAACTAAAGATTAAAATGATTCAAACCTGAGCAAAAGCTTCTTGTGAGAGGTCACCATGACCCATTCCTTCCTTAACAACCAGCATTTCTTTCTGCAGCAGTTCATCAGCCTAAGGAATTTTATGGATTTAGAAAGGACAAAACTTTCGTACAAATGTACATGATTTATATACATGCATTTATGTTTGTGAAATACATTAATAGGCTACTGTATTTTCTGGTAGACAAAATAATTTTTAAACATGGGAAAATCTCAAAAGTCTTGGGTTATCTTATTCACAGGTTGTTGGTAAATACCACATATTGTAAATTTTTGGTCCTTTAAGAATTAAATAAAAATATGTTTACCTATTTCCTGATAAACACATTTTGTGGACAAATATTGAAAGTAACATACGTGATTTCTTCACTGATCTTGTGACTGACCTTTTTCATATCATTGGGATCTATCTCAGTGTAGGGGTTCTTGTCCAGATAGGCCAAATGTGCTGCCTGGTTGGCTGCTACCTTCTGTGGGGCTGGGGTTTTAGCACCTGGCCCCACACCCATCTGAGCATCAGTAGGACAGAAGACAGCATCGTGGTGGAGCATTATCAGTACTTCCTGCTTGATCAGCTCTTCTGCCTAGTTAAAAACATCAGAACATAATCCCCATGTATACAGCTTGTATGTTCATACATTTAATCTACCAAGATCTGGTTTTGAAATCAGAGCCTCACCTTTTGTAGTTCTGTCAAAGGGGGGTCATTAGGACCCGAGGGTCGCATGATGTTTGTGTTCACGTCGTAGGGGCGGGGCAAACTCCTCTGGACAGCGAGTGACCGCAGCTTGAGTTCAGCCAGACGTTTCTGTTCCTTCTCCCACTCGGCTCTCTCGTCCAGGTCTGCCTGATCCTCCACCACCCTCCTGGTCCCGTGGCCCTCCCCATCCATCCCCTGCTCGTCCTCTGGCACAACTATTTCATAATCATTTTTAGGCATGGGGAGACCAGCCAGTCCTTTCCTGAGTTGATCCAGCTGATCAGGCTATGATTGGGGGCAGATAAATGTTTAATTAACATTAAATGATACACAACACTGTTTGATTATTATTATAACATCAAATATAATCAATAAAAGATAAGCCAACTAAACTTCTAGAAGCAAGATTATTATTTAAAATATTTATTAGTGTGATATAATAATATGCAAGCTAGGAAAAAATACTTCAGTACAATGAAAAAGATGTAAGACTTTACCTGGAACATCTTTTCTCCCATATCATCATCCTCATTAATATTCAGCTTGTCTCTTAGTGGTGTGGACATAGGAGTGGACTGGTCAGTGTTAGGTCTCTGTATGCCTGGTCTGGGTGTTAATCCTGACAAACAAAACATGGTTCAAGAGAAAAGGATTTAATTATTGAAAAGAAATCTTCCTTCAAAATACTATAAAAAAGGAGAATTCATGAATTCATACATTAAATCAGTTAGGAAGTGAATAAGTTTGATCCGGGTAAAGAATGCTGACCTATGTCTGGGTGTCCGGGAGTTCTAAGTGGGGTTCCTAACACAGTGTTGGGGGTGGCAGCAACGTGCCTCTGGGGGGTGACCCCACTGAAGTCGCTGTCATGTAGTGGTGTGTTCAAACCTCCCTTCAGTGGGGTGTCCACATTGGTCAGGGCCATTATGTTTTGAGCTTCCTGTGAAGGTAGTGATGAGTTTAAGTATAAGTTATACAAGGCATAGTGAGTTGTAATTCTAATTCTTTTTAAATGACTAATTTTATAAACACGCATTCTATTTCAAAGAATACCATTAGATCTGTATGTAATAAGAAATATTTTTTTTAATGGTATGATTTGGTATGATAACGCATACAAATATTTTTATTTCTAAATAGTCTAATAATCCCAATCATATTTGTAAAACATGTCTAGGAAGACCAAGTGTAAAAGAGAAAGATTAAAAATCTGATCATCAACCCAATGCCCACCTGGAGAATAGTGTCTTGTACAGCAGGTGTTCTAGGTGTGCGCAGGTTGACGCCGCCAGGTGTGATGTTGTAATCCTGCAGCAGACCTTTAGAGGCGGAGTCATCGCGACCAGATTCCTCAACTTGCTGTCTGGCATACTCATTAGCTTGACCTACTTTGATTACCTACAGGGATCCACCAGATTCAATAACATGATTAACACAGGACAAACATTTCAGTCTGCAAAAAAAACTAATTGCACATTACAAACATGTAACATTCATTAACCACGCTATTAGTTGTCTTCACATACATTCAAAAACAATTATTAATTATGTTATTGAGTGAGAAACTGATTACAAATCATTTCTGGCATTTATTTTGCATAAACACAAGTAATGGTGAAATTCCGCTATGAATCAGTTTTAAAAGAATTGGTAAAAGAATGGCTTACCTCTTCAAGTTCCTCTTCTGAGATCTGTGGTGCTGGCAGTACAAGTTTGCTTCTCTTCTTCACTGGCTCTTGGAAACTGTCAGACATTAAGTCCACATTTAATAAATATATGAAATGTTGTATTTAACTTTTATTCAGACACTCTATACATGTTGAATGACATCATTAAAAGTGGGTTCACCATTTGTATTGGCGTTAATAAAATATTACTCACTTGGCTTGACTGGCTATTGATCCAGGAAGATCATTTTCTTTCCTTTTTTTCTGTTTTAGCTTGTCCTTCTTTCTCTCTCTCTGTAAACAGATAATGAAAATTAATCTTTTTTAAAAAAAATTCTAGTTTTATACTTTATTTCTATGCAGTAAAATATTTGTAAAATGAATGAATTATAATAACCTCTTCTTTTTCTCTACGCAGATCTCCATCTAAATTTTGTTGTCGTAACCTCTTGTAGTTGGGGTTTAAGGGATCAAAAACTTCTTGCGATGTGTCATAGAAGCCAGGAGCTGGACGCTTCTCAAATGGAATTTCTGCATTGTAATCAACTCCTCTCTTCTTTCTGCGCTTCTGTTTTACACTGAAATATTATGGAATAATCTAAAGCCTTACAGAATTGCTAATCGCCATTAACATTTTGTGAAACGCTGAAATATTGAGAAATAATTTTGACCTTAATGAAGAATTCATATATAATTTAAATTAATTTGTTTACACATTTAAATATTTGGAAATAACTTTCAACTTAATATATTATTGCTGATTAATTTTAATATCTCCATTATGACAGACAAGGTGATATGAGAAGAAAAAGTTACTTATTTTTACAAAGGCAAATTTTACACTAAGCCTTTTTTATTTTGTATAATTAAGGTCTAACGTATTAAGTGGGTGGCGATGATATACTGTCATTTATAGAAATCTAAACGCATGCACCGATTTGATCCACTTTGGCCACACTTGTGGACTATGACAAAAGGAAGGTCACAGCACACTTTCTGGCAAAATTGTATTAAGAGTCTAATTGTTTCAAATATTTGTATACACCTTATAGTCAAGCTATCCTTCCCGCATTTTTAATTAATTCAGTTTTCACAATTGGTGCGCTGCGTTAAACAGTCTTTAGAAGGTGCGCAACAGTCACTAAATAAAGCCTGTCTTTACTATTTCAGTATTTATCCTTAAAAAATAAAAAAAATTGGGCTGAAGTTAACTCCAAGTGCAATGAAAGCACAGTGTTATTATCATCTTGAAGAAAAAGTTTCCGTCGGCTTAAAAAACAACAACAGACAACTTACGCTATTCCTGCAGCTCTCAGTTCTCTCCTCTTCTGTAAAGCAGCCAATCGTCTGTGAGGAATTAACAGATTTATACATAATTTAATGACCAAAACACAAAAATTCTCTATACCATTAATTAAAATAAGAAAACCTGATGATGAAAAAATAAAGTAGCAACCATACAGAACAGTGGTGTGCAATCTAAGAGATGAGACAATACTTTTGAAGTAACTCCAATAAAAATAACCCAACCTGGCCTCTTCCAACTGTTTTTCTCTAGCCTTCCTTTTGGCCTTTTTGCCTTGTGTATTTGCAAGCCTAGCTCTTGCCTCAGACAGCATTTCCAACTCTGGGGAATTATATTTCTTTAATATTTACTATGGTTCAATGAGAAAAGTCATTTTCATGTAGGAATAAAAAATTATTTTTTTTAAATAGACTGAATAAGGTGCTAAAAAATAATTTGGTGTAAGCCCACCGTCTTCATCCATATCAACTGGATCTGGTCTAGCTGGCTTTGTCTCAGGGTTAGGATCAATTTCACCAGGTTTTAACTTTCTGGGATCATCCTCGTTGTCAGCCTCTCTGTTTTGGGCTTTGTCACTGCAGCCAAAACATATCAAATTATTGAATTCAAGCACACAACAATAATGACTCTTATAATGATCATAACCCCCATTCTTTAATGACTTTAGTCAAAACAAAGCCAGTAAAGGACAAGCTAAATTTTAAAGAAATGTGTTCAAACCCTTACAGCAAATACTCATAGTGTTCCAGACACTGAGCAGCTAAAGTTTAAAGAAATGTGTTTAAACCCTCACAGCAAATACTCATAGTGTTCCAGACACTGAGCAGCTAAAGTTTATTTAAGAAATGTGTTCAAACCCTTACAGCAAATACTCGTAGTGTTCCAGACACTGAGCAGCTAAAGTTTAAAGAAATGTGTTTAAACCCTTACAGCAAATACTCGTAGTGTTCCAGACACTGAGCAGCTAAAGTTTATATAAGAAATGTGTTCAAACCCTTACAGCAAATACTCGTAGTGTTCCAGACACTGAGCAGCTGTCCTGCCAATGATGGGAGCAATAGTTCTCCACTGTGTGGGCATCAGTTTGGCCAGGTGAAGCAGCTTTTCTTCTTCTTCTCTGCTCCATTCTGTTTTTTTAATGCTGGGATCCAGCCACTCGTACCTACAAACACATGTTTGTATCATATTGTAATGCATTTTAAATTGCATCTCATTTATACATTTAAAAAATAAAATAATAGTAACTAGAATTGTTATGGATCTATAACTTGGTTTACAAAGCTTGAAAGAAATTAGAATAATTTTAATTGCATCAACCAAGACCATAAAATTTTATGCCAGAGATATTTCCTTATTTACTTTGTTTGATCATTTACATTAGCCACTTATTTTAACAGGCTCAAATTAATAACAATTATTAATGCCCACAGTTGAATGAATTAGTCTTTAACAACTGAAAGTTACTAGGCTATATTATTGATTGTTCTTAATTTAGTTGATTTCACGTACAAAGCTGATAAAAAGAAAAAATTATTTAAAAAAAAAATTATTTGTAAGTACTACAGAAATGACAATAATTAATTGATTGCCTCTTACCATCTAGCTTTACATTGTTTGGCAGACTTTCTGTGCAGTAGAGATGCAATACGTGCCCATTGGTTTTTGCCATATTTCATAACAGCTGCTTTGAGAATTTCATCCTAAGTAGAAATACAGAGGCCAAATTACAATCAGTCTACATTAGTCTCAAATGGATATAAACAAGAGAATGAGAATTGGATGTTCAAAATACAGTTCAAAAGCCATGCATAGTAACATGCCTAGAAGTAAACAGAAACATATTTAAATACCAAAAAAACACTAACCTTAACTCTACCATTAAAACTGATTATCAGATACAAACTAGTCTCCACCCCTCTTGGCCTTATTCATTCCCACATTATAATTATTTAATACCCCCACATTTATATTAGACCTTAAAAGGAAGTGGTGTTAGTATCCTATTAATACTCTCTCACCCATTATACATGCCTTTAAAAATATGTGTCTATTCCTTTCTAATTTTAGGCAAAATAAAATAGAAGATTTATTGGTGTGAAAAGTATTGGCAGACAATTTTTTTCTACAATCAGAAAAAGCAAATTTCCTTTAAAACGCTGCAATATTTCATCTATAAAATAGGTAATTTAAGATTAGAAAAAAAAAATTATTCTCATTTGATTTTACAAGAAATTTCACATTTAGAATAATTTATTGTACATCCTGACCAGGGGTCAACACATTCTATCATTATTAACACTTTTTAAAATGATATTACCTCACCTCACTAAAAATTTTGTTTTTTAAAGACTGCGGCTATTCTAGTTAACTACAAATAGCCCTATGAAGGCTATTCATACTCTGACCAAATCAGCGTGGGGCATTTTTCTGTGATTCTTAAATCCAATTATTTATACAATATTTTTGCAACGCAGAACTTTTTTTAGATCTAACCTTATCACTAACCCTAACACTAATGCCTAAACCTAACCCTACTCTAATCCCCTTCCCTAATGCCTAACCCTAAACATACCTTAATCCCTATCCCTAAATGGCCTAAACCGTAACCTACCCTAGTGCTTAACTCTAAACTTGACCCTATACCCTAAACATAAAGTAAAATAAAAAAATCATAGCCAAAAAAGAAGGAACCCATGCCACGAAAGCAAACCAGCCAATGCGTAACCATTTTGATCACCCGAACAGTTCCAATAATGTTCAAAAGTCGAGTGTCATATGCAAGATAGTAAAAAAAATAATTGTTAACCCTTAAAGCACGCCAAGCCACTTATAATAGTTATAACGCATAAGACCCATGGCCCGTGCTTTAATGGTTAATAGGCTTGGTGGGAGTAATATGTAGGCCTATGTAATATGTGAATTTTTTTACCAAACCTGAATTCCAACAAGCCAATGATTTACTTTTAATTTTTAAACACTTTATTTTAAATTTGTATTGTTATAATGTAGATACATGCTGCAAACGTATTTCAAGTGCAATAAATCTGATGGGTCAAATTTTTACCACAAACAATCTACGTCGATGAATGAACAACTAATTTCATTGTGTCTCTATTGAACAAATTCTTTGACTTTGACTTTATGTACACTCTAAATCTAGTTTCAGAAAGCCAGAAATACTGGGATGTTTTCCTGACGCCTATTTCTTAACACTTAGGCTAACACTAATGTTAGCTAGGCCAATGCAAAAATTTAATTTCAGTAAAACAATATAATAGTTAGATATTTGGATAGGGGCTGTCAATCTGATTACAGATCAGTTTGAATTTTCAAAATCTGACCATAAACAAAAAAGTTATGAATTTTTTAGTCATTAAAAAATAGCAGTTTTTTCAGACAACCGGGGTAGACCCTGAAAGAGGAAAAATACTGGGAGGGTATGGACCAAATTTTTAAGCGTTTTTCACTAAAAGTGGTATAAAAGCCAGAATACTTTATCAATTGATGTAATTTTAAGACATTTTATAGATTTTTGTATGCTGAATCCAATGATGCTATTTTAAAAAGTGTCCTTCGATTACTCAACCTACTTATCTCATAGATTATGTAATACCCCCCTTTCAATTTTTTTTAAACATCTAATAATCAATGTGATAAGAAGTCATTCTTTAAATGTAACGCTGTTTTAATCTAAAATATGACATTTGTATATGCTCAAGCTAATGGTAGATTTAAAATGGTCCAACATTGTTACATAACTATCAAATGTTAAGGTTATGTAATCCCACCCTTTGCTCAAAATATACCATGAATTTGTTTTAAAATCACTTTTGCTCATTGTCAGTTAACTTCAAGTTAATAGCCTACTAGAAGAAAATATAAATAATCAAGTTTTTCAATACAAATAGAAGAATGCTATAGTAAATTTGTGATTATGTAACTTCTTAAAAGATGTTATGTAATCTATGTGCAATACTATAGGCCTACTCTGTTCCAAAAATAAAGGCCTATCTCATTATAATTATATTTCTTGTTATTTTAAATATCTTAATCCTTTTTGCTATAGAATTAGTCTAGTTAGAACACTCTGAGTCTGATCAGAATCAGAGTGTGTTTTATGGTAATTACGTAATATTATTACACATATTAAAGTTAATCATTTTTACAATGTCAATAAAATAAACTTTGGAGGAAAATATTTGTTTTTAAAAACTTGCACAAGGTATAGTTAAGTTATAGATATATAACATAAATTTATATTTATGCCCAATGTTTATTCTAGTAGTAAGTAGGTTTATGTATTTTGTAAGCCTACCAGTAGGCCTTTTACAATTAACAACTTTCTTAAGAAAAAAGCACGTGTTTGAGTGCTTGACTGTGTAGATCTAGTAGATTCTAGAAATTGTGTAAGATTACCGTGTTTGGCTATACACAGACACGTGTACCACCACCAGCTTTTGCCTAGATTTAGTTCAATCAGACATGTGGGTAACCAGGTCTTCTGACCAACGAATTTTATTGCCCTATTACGTAAACATGACCGCTGGATAGGCTAGTCGGCCAACCCGGTGAACGTGTCAGATGAATATTATGTAATCTCAGAGACAAAAGTCTGGCAAAATTTCCTGATCTATGCCCGAGGGTTAGTAACATCAACTCCACAAAGTGAAGGGGGAGGGAGGTGGGGTATGAAACCACCGTGTACCGTACGGGTGTTATACAACATCAAAAGCGATGCTCGTCGGCTTATCGCGTCACGGACTAGTGGGGGCGGGGTGAGGCTATGGGTGTTACATACGGTGTAGGATGGTCAGTGGCTACCCCCATCCACCCCACCCCATTTTGGTCGATTTGACAAGCTAGTAACCCCCACGTTGTTAGTGGTATTAACATTTGTAGAAAAGAGCCCCGGATATAATTTAATATATTTTTAAAGCCATTTTTACGAAAAAGTAATGTACACAATAATGAAACGTTACACGAATCACATCACAGCATTGTTTGATCGGGCCGAAGCTATTCGGATTAATTTCTAAAGAAGATTAATTTTGACGATTAGTCCTCAGCCGTAAATACTAACAAAACTTTTGTTTGACGTTTCAATGGGCTAAGACAAAGTTATGCAACATGTCTGAGTGCTTATAAATATAAAGTAGCAATAGCCGTCGAGTCAAACACGGGAACACATGTATCTATCTTTAGACATTGTTTATAGTATCATCCAATCGGATCAAGCGCCTAGCGTCACGTGACCACACACTCGGCTGTGCCACACGATGTGTAGATCACCAATCAGTCGGACGGCGGCCGACGCGTTAATTTTTATTTTCGTTCGGTTTTAAAATGTATGGACGGCTTTATTACGAGGTGCTATAATACATGTCATACATTACAATAAACGGCGGGATTTCGGGAATACAGCTCAGGGTTCAAATGTAAAATATGTCCAATAATAGACCGGGAAACTTGGTTCAACTTTGCGGTCCGATATCTCCACAAGTATTTAACTTATTTTGACCACGAACCCTGAGCGTTATACGTCTACATTTAATGTATTCGTCTGCCAAATTTGACTGTTGTAGTACGTAAACTCGATACGTGTATACACATTTTGTAACGCGTCATCAGGTTAAAGACAGCGATTTGAAGCACAGCAGGGCGGTTCAGTCAGACAGCGGTCGGCGCGTCGTGTTTATATTTTCGGTCCAATTCAAAGTCTATAGACGTCCTTATTATAGGGCCTTATATGACATATCATACATATTAATAAACGTCGAGATTTCAGGAATACAGCTCAGGGTTCAAATAAAAAATCGGTCCATAAATAGCTCAAATAACTTAGTTTAACTTTGCGGTCCGATATCTCCGAAAGTATTTAACATATTTTAACCAAGAACCCTGAGCGTTATACGTGTACATTTAATCTATTCTTCTACCAAGTTTCACAGTTGTAGTACGAAAACTCACAGAGTCTATAGACTCAAAGTAACACCCCCCTTTTAAAAAGGTGAAAAAGCCTCCCCCCTAATCGGCACGTCGCCGCGGGGGGTAAAAAATGCGATTTAATCGGCGATTTCTTCAACGTCTGAAATAATAGAGAAATCAAACTAATACAGTTAAAAAGGTTATTCAATTACGAACAGAATGATGTATAACATGTTAATATAAACACAATAAAAGCATGCAAAAAACGTAATTAAACATGCAGGGGGTAGGGAAAAGCCGATTTGTCCGATTTTCTCGGCAGCGGCATTGGCCTAGCTACTAATGTAGGGAAATTTTAAAAAATAAGCTAATGTGAGCTAACAATAATCCCAAGTAGGCATACATTTTTTGGGTGTGGAGAAATTGCGAGGTGCGAAAAGGCGAGACGGTAAACTGCAAGAATAAAATGCGAGATATACCTGTGGAATCACAGGTAAATAGAGAGACACAATTTGCGAAAATAAATTTGTTTCATGTTTTTTGTTTCTTTTTTAAGTTATACACTAAAGATGATATATCACATTCTTATTTTTTTTTTATATAATTTGATTTTGTATTAAACAATCTTAACATCCTCTGGCTGCCGCTCTCGTTTTCTTGTCAGCGGGAGAAAAATCCTGCCTTGATAGACATGTCAGTGCGAGTTTATAAAGAGAATACTATTTTAGGCTATATTTTAAAAATCTATACCTAGATATTCAAAATTTTAAACATTCTGATGTTTTTTAATCTGCGCAAGAAAAAAAGGAACGGCGTTTGAGGGGTTGGTACACATATTGAACCGTCCCACTTTACTTATTAAATCTACAACATGACTTAATAAGCGCGACCTTAATATCATGCTGCTTTGTTTTTTCGAGGGGAAAAAGTATACCCCCATGCCACAACGCCATTCATGATCAATACCTCGGTGAATTATTTTTCGCTCGGTTTCAATGAGTATTCAGCCTTCCCTCTTCTCCACCGAATTTTTTTTTAAAAATTACTAACGTGGTCGGGGTCAAAAGTGTAACTTTTGATTCAAGAAAGAGAGTGGGTGATACTGAAACAACGCAGCTGTTTCTGTAATAGTAAAAATAAATTTTACAGGAAATTTGAAATCTCATTACTTAATTAATTAGTTAATTTAATTATGCTAAAGAAAATAAAGGGAAATACATTATTTATTAAGTTTATTAGTTTAAATGTATTACGGCACAACACACAAGACTATACGTGTGTGGTATGTATATATTATATATATATATATATATATTATTGTTTTGAGTTTATATTTAACTCAATGCAACAAACCCGCCGGTTGGTTGAGGCTACACCTAGGGTTCGTTCTGCTATGTCAGAGGTGGGCAACGTGTGGCCTGCGAGACATTCAGAAAACCCTGCCTTAAACTGAAATTTGCTTCATGTCCGCGACCGAAAGTTCGTCTCGTATTTTTTTCCATTAGAGCAGGCAGTGAAAATACGCACTTGTCAGTTTTATTTCAGTTTTGTCTATGCAACAATAAAATTTTAAAATTTCTAAATTAAGTGAATACATGAACCATCCGAAAAGCGTAAAATTGGTGAGCAATCACTTGTGTTTAATGAAGAATGGGCACACAGTGTTTACTGTGTCACGAAACGATTGCCATATTTAAGGAGTACAATCTGAAACGACACCACAAAACAAAACATAATCATTTTAAACGGTGCGGCTCTCCATTTATTCCCGCTACCATTTTAGTGGCCCTCAAGCCAAAACAATCGCCCACCCCTGTGCTACGTAATAAAACAAAATTTATTTGCAACAATACAATATATGTTTGTGCTGGCAGGCGGCCTCAGTGTTCTGCACAAAAGAAATAAGTTGATCTATCATTGGCGGTATTTCGGGCGGTTTCGAACAAGGTGGTATTCTAAGTCTACACAAAAGATGGTTAATGTCTAGGAACGGAAAAATCGAAAGTTTTAACAATGTAAACGAAAAGTCTTTTAAGTCTGCATCAAATATCCCTGTAAATCGGTCGCGGTAATATTTTCGCAGTTTTGCATCCTACCACCCCCGTAAGTATCCGGTGGTGGTAAAATGCGAGGCAAAAATATATGGTTTTCGCGCCCTTACCACCTCGCTATTTCACTTTCCGCGCCTTGCAATTTCCCCATACCCCATTTTTTTAATTAATTTGGGAATCATAAAATTGTGACATAGGCCTATGCTTTAATTTAGTCTTTTATTTTGAAAATAAAAAAATACAATGAAACAAAGAATTAGATTAGAAGAATTATCACGCAAATTGTGTCTCACTATACACCCGTAAAAAAGTAATTACTAATTACGCAAGTATGTCTCACATTTTACCGCCTCACGATTTGAGTGACACGAACACCCATCCACCATTGTCATGTTATGTTTCGATTGTGTGAAGATTTCTGTAGATTGTAGATCTAAGTCTAGAAATCTACTATTCTAAATTTTAGCTGAGGCCAAACTCAAACCCCAAGTCAACTGGAAAGAAGCAAAGTTTGATCTAAAATAATAAAAATATGGACTAGTTCAGGGGTCTCCAAACTGCGGCCCGCGAGGCCCTCTCATCTGGCCCGCTGAGATATTTTAGTCCACGGAAAAAACGTTTGTTGGTGATGATGAGGAACTTTGCCTCAGAAAAATCAAAGACATGCCCGGAAGAAACTGGCCCCCAAACTGAAATTTGATAGTTAATGCGGCCCTCGGACTGAAAAGTTTGGAGACCCCTGGACTAGTTCATCAGACAGACTCAGTTGACTATATCTCTAATATTATCTAGATTCTAATTATAAATATTAAATAAATTCTAATCTAGAAATCTAGATCTAGAATTTCTAGAGCTTAGAATTAGATCAAGATTCTAGATCTAGGGTTTGGGTTAAAAAAGTTTCAAGCACTAGCACAAAAAGTCAAAGCGGGAGGGAAGCGTTACAAATCATTGTTAGATCCCTCTAGTTTTAATTAATTTAATTAGGCTAACTACAATGATCTAACAATTTAACAAACCTCGGTGTTTCTCCAAACACCACCTTTTATCATAATACGCGGCATTTTCGTAAGTTGTTGAGAGTTGCAATAAATACAACAAATAAATTTAACAGTTCTTGTTCTCTACATTTATTTTATTTTGCAAGTCCTGCGATAAACCGGAAATGTTATAAAACTAGGAGCATGCAAATGAAAAATAATGAGAATTATTCCCCTTCGGCTTAGGGTCATTAATATTCATTTGATAAGAATAATGTTCGATATTTTATTTGTTTAAGGGGTCGTACATAAATGCAGAGACGTAGCGACCCTTCCCGGCGCCCGGGGACAAACTTTTCAATTTGCACCCCCCCTCAAGATTTTGATTTGCACCCCCCTCGACCTTTCAATTTATTTTTCCAACCCATTTTGGCGCCCCCTAAGGTCGGCGCCGGGGACATGTGTCTGGCTGTTGTGACGATGTGTGTCGGAGGGGAGGCGTGAGGGGGAGGTAAAAATCGTCCAAAAAAGCGTGACTTCATTTATAGATGACCCCCTAAGTAAAAAAAAAAAGGAACTGCGCGCAGTGGCGGAACTAGAAAAAAAGAGCCACCCTGTGTAGACACTTTTTATTAGGCAAAAGCATGTGTTAGCTTCTGTATAACATCACTACTGTTGTAGATCTGTTTGTTTTTTACAAAATAGGTGGGTCTGGCTTTTTGTGATGATGTGTGACTGAGGGGAGGGGGGAGGTAAAAAATCGTCCAAAAAAAGCATGACGTCAAATCACACATCATAGATAACAAATCAACTACTTAAGCACACTTGAATGTATAACTATTGTTCTAATGTTGTCAGCCCCCTCCCTCACACACTTGCACACACACCACACACTCACGTAGGCTGTTGTATAATAATTTGCTTGATCGGATGATATGTAGATTTATAAATTTCCGATGTGGTTCCACTCCGATTCGCTTCAATGGACACTGTATTTGGTGTCACCCCCTAAATGAAATGCGTTAATTTGTGCAAACATTGTATTAATCCACCTAGAAAAAGCGTCTAGGGTCTTAATTCTACCAGTTACTAATTCAAGCTGAAATTTCTTTTATTTGTAGTAAATTATTACATTTGGTGTCACCCCCACCCCCACCCCAGTTGTGGATTGACGTGTCAGATATTACAATTCTCAAGAAAACCTTTTCCCTCAGGTAAATTTTACAAACTGTTGATTACAAACTTGCTTTGGCAATATATCATTTTTTTAAAACTTATTTGTTAATACTTTTTTTATTTTACACTCCCCCCCCACCCCCTCAAACGAAATAGAATTGAAATTATAAACTTTAACCAGTGTCCGACCCCACCCACCAGAAACTTTTAGTCCGACCATCACCCTTTAAAAAAGTTTCAAGCGACCCCACTTTCTCCACGAAGGAAAACATCTAAAAGAAACACTGTTGCAGTGCTCAAGCTAAAGTAAATAAACAACAGACAGCCACGTTCAATAATCTAGAGACGCCTTATATTGCCTACTTTTATTATCTTCCACGTTCAAAATGTCTTGCCATTCCTTCGCGGCACGACAGCATGATAGGATGATCACAACTCTCTAGTTACATATAGGCCTACATTATGATATAGGACTAAGAAGTGTGTTTAACCTGAACAGTTACCTGTAGGCCTACATTATGATATAGGACTAAGAAGTCTGTTTCACCTGAACAGTTACCTATAGGCCTACATTATGATATAGGACTAAGAAGTCTGCTTCACCTGAACAGTTACCTATAGGCCTACATTATGATATAGGACTAAGAAGTCTGTTTCACCTGAACAGTTACCTATAGGCCTACATTATGATATAGGACTAAGAAGTCTGTTTCACCTGAACAGTTACCTATAGGCCTACATTATGATATAGGACTAAGAAGTCTGCTTCACCTGAACAGGATGGGCTTCTTTAAACAATCAACATGTTTACCCCGGGATAAACTAGTGTACGCCAACAACCTATACTGTTTAACTACTAGCTTTATTTTAGTATCAAATATCTGTAACTTGTTCTGATTTCGTTATTAAAAAAAAGCACAGTACAATGCAGTGGATTTTAGTTTGATAGTACAAGCCAGCTTATCAGTTTAAAATAAAATTGATTAAAAAAAAAGATGTAGTTTTTGTGAACCTAAATGACCCCAATAAAAAAGCTTCTTACAGTTTTAAACACGGGCCGATTTCGCCCTAAACAATTATTTTTAAAGGCGTCGGTTTTTAAATCCAGTTTTGGAAGTTGATGTCATTGTTTATTTAACGCCATTTAGCATTGTTGTTAGTCTATTACCATTGACTAAAGACTTTTATTGAAATAAGTAGTGCGCGCGCACGCACTCGCACATACACACAAACACACACACGCACGCACGCACGCACACACACACACACACACACACACACACACACACACACACACACATTCCTTTATGAGTTCCATAATGTAATTGAATGGATCACCGTTTTTTTTCAGAAGATGCGTAAGACTTTTAGGTACTTATGAATAACCTACCTTTAAGTGTTCTTTACCCCGTTTTTTTTCCCTATCTTTAAACAAAGCGGTTATTATTAACAAGTGAAGAAACACAAACTAAACTTGTGAGTCTTGATAAAATACATACGCAATAAAATTTTCGGGGGTGGGGGGGGGGGGGGTGGGGTGGGGGGGGGTGCGGACACTGGTAAATATAATTATATTTTGTATATAAATTCCATTTCTTGGGGGGGGGGGTAGACTTTCTTCGGGGATGGAGTCCCCCCGAAGTAATTCTGCTCAACCGCCCCCTTGTCCCCTTAAACCAACCATATTTTTTTTTCAAACGGTAATTTCTTTCTTAAATTAAATGTGTCAAGTCCAAGTGTTCATCAATTTGAATTACAATTTACAAAGAAATGCTTTTAAAATTGAATGTGACTGCTGAAATTCAGTTTAAAAGTTGTTTTTAAAAATGCAATCGTGCGATATCACACTTTTTAAACGCCACCCTCTCTCTTGAGTCACACATTTTTGTAAAATCACACTGACAACTTTTATTTGGTGCAATATTATTCCAGCTGAATTTGTTTTTCTAATTTTTAAAAGTTGTTATAGTTGGTTACCTACACGAATTCAATATATTTTTTTTTCCATTTCAATCATTCAGCGTGTTCTTCGGACAAGTACTTATTTTAATCGTCCATAAAATCCGGTCCTGCTGTTTCTCGTGATCTGATAAGACAAGCACCTGCACGTTCTCAAAGAATTTGTTTTAAATTTGAAGTCACCTGAATAAAAGCACAGAGCACTACTTTATTGATTCTCGACATTTGTTTTAATTAGATTAGTGATCAAATCAAGATGCGCGTCTTAATTATTGCTTGTCTGGCTGTAGTGGCCTTGGTAAGTTTCATTATTGAAATAATGTGGGATTAATTACAAAATAATGGGTATTCATTCTAAAATAATGGGGATTAATTCTGAAATAATCGGATTAATTCGATTGTTTCTTTTTTGTAAGGATAAAAATATCACAAATTGTATGATCCATTTCAAACGGAAGTAATATATGAAATAATTATTTTCGTGTTTACATTCGTAGCGCCTATGTGTGCCAAACATTAGAATTAATATAAAATAACAATTAAATCCCTTTGTTGTATTTACTTTAATTTATTATTTTAAAATTCAACATTAAAATTTAATATGTTCAAAATACGATTATTGATAATTTAACATATTTATTTTATACACGCAAAATTATATTTCACTATCTTAAACTAGGTTAGTGTTTTCTTTTTAAAAATCGACTAAGTTATATACAAAAATCTATTCCAATAACACACGTTATAAAATAAAAAAAAGATAAAATATTTAAAACACTGTTCACAGTTAAAACTTTTAAACATGCGAAAGACAACCTAAAAATGGCTTCAATACTGTTTTGAACATATTTTGTTTTAAAATTTGATCTGAAAGTTTCCGTAAAGCTGACAAAATGTTTTTCACTTGAATCAGACCCAGTCCCAAACTTGGCTGGACAGATTCAGGGAGTGGTTCAATGTCAACAAAGAAGATTTCACCATCGACTTCGTTCACAACTACAGGTTTGAGGAGCACTCCACCACAGTAAGTATACGGTACAAAACACTCCACCACAGTAAGTATACAGTACAAAACACTCCACTTAAGAAAGTAGGCCTATACAGTACAAAACATAAGGGCAGGGGCGTAGCGAGGGGGGGGGGGCGGGGGGGGGGGGGCGGACCGCACCGGGTGACACCATTTAGGGGGGTGACACCAAGGCAAAAAATAGCAAAAATATATAGAGAAAAACTTTAGGGGGGGGGTGCAAATCGAAAGTTTGAGGGGGGGGGGGGTGGGTGCAAATAGAAAATTTGAAAGTTTGTCCCCGGGAAGGGTCGCTACGCCTCTGTGGGGGTGACACCATTAAGTGTCGCATCGGGTGATACCCGACCTCGCTACGCCACTGCATAAGGGTAAACAAATTATGTGATTATGCTAACAAAACATAACATTTCAGGGCCACCATCTTCTTGTTGCAATCAGTGACGTAACTGGTGATCGATCATGCCATCTTATCGAAGTGACCCCAGACTGGGCCCCCGACCTTGGTGACGACACCAAGATGCACATCATTACCGTAAGTCTCTCTTTCAGCGTGTTAATTTTGAACTGTTGTTGACAGAATTTCTCTCATGCATGTGTTCAAATAAATACTACTCATATTGTTTTCTTCTTAAATATGATTCAATTTTTGAAGCCTAAATATTCGGTGTCCCCGTATATTTTTCATTTATTTTCTGTTAAAACGTGTAGAAATGTTTACCTTGTTTGTCACTAGTGTGCACCATTTTGTTAAAAGGTGTAGAAATGCGCACCTTGTTTGTCACTAGGGTGTACCATTTTGTCTTGTATCTTTACAGGATGAGATCTACAAGCTGATCACCACCCACACACTCTCAGAGACCACCCTCACATACACCGACCTGAGGAACGTCTACGGGGACTCAGATGCCTTGAGGGTTCGTTCTATACACTCGATTTTTATTTTTATTTATAGATTTTTACTTCATTTATTTCCAATTTTAAAAAAAAATTCTATAAAAAAATGAATCACATTTCTATTTTGTTACAACTTGTATTTTCTTGCTTAAAATTATTTCTATTTGTTTAAAATCAGTATTATTTGTATTCATAACATTTTTAAAGACCCTGGAATCAGATTTTCGATCTTTCGAATTTTATGTTTATTTTCTAATTGATTAATATGTGATCGTAGTCCGTACAGTTTCAGATGTTGTTACAAAATAAAACTATACCAAATTTTATATGAAGAATATAGCAACAAATATATAACATTTTCTCATGTTTGACAAATTAGGTATTTGGTAAACGTATTTAAAATTGTTCATACTCATTGACAAACATAAAACAACTTTCCAGGAGTGTGTCCAACACAGGGTCTACATCGTCACCTACAAACCAAGTTACCTGACTTCAGGTTAAACACCTTCATCCAGGTAGAGCGCTAGCCTCAACACCAAACTGAATCAACAAGTCTTAGGAAATAGGATGTAGGCGTTAGACTAAAATGCATTTTAATGTCAACCAGAATGCGAAGCAAATTTTTTTTGTTCGATGTATTGCGTGTAACCTAAAGATAAATAAACAACAATCATGCAACTGAAAATTAAAAACGCTACAATTTATATTTTGTTTTATTTTTAGATTCTTTACGATTAAAGTATGTAATGCTTATTTCTACCAACAATAGAGAAAATCAGAGTTTCTTCCAGGCATCTCTTTGCCCCCCCCCCCCCCCCCCGAAATTTTTTTACCGCCCCCCCCCCCCCTCCGAACGAAATGAAATTTATATAATTTTTATAGAAAATATATACTTTTAACAGTGTCCGCCCCCCCCCCCGAAGAAAGTCTACCGCCCCCCCCCCCCCGAAAATTTCAAGTGCCCCCCCTCGGTGAAAAAAGTCTGGAAGAAGCACTGGAGAAAATAAGCAACGTGTCAACGTGTGTATTTCCTTTCAGCTGTGATCCATATATATTTTCAAATAGTATTTTTGAAGGGAAGTAAGTATATTTTCCGAACAGAAATTTTTTAAATATAAAATAATGTTATTTTTTCGATTAATTTTAAAGTGCACTACACAATAGGGACAAAGTCTGGCTACTACACTCGATGACTAAACCAAACTAAGCCTCGCAACCGCCGCCCCAGGGGTAATATACCCGGTTGCTCTCAAGAGCGCTCCGAGACGCCCTTGACCCCTGGACAGTCGCCGACTAGTGTTTTATCACAGGATTATGGAGGGTGATTCATACAGCACCCCACGGGGCGTCTGGGCGGTGATGTGGACAACAGAGTTTCTATCAGACTTTTTTATGGCGGGTAGTTGCATCTTTCTGGGTGGGTGTGGCACACTTACATTTCTGTGCGATAGAAGTGCTCGCCCCCCCCCCCACCCCTTCCTAAAAATATGTCAGAAATAAACTCTGGTGGACAAATCTGCTCCTCAACAAGAATGATCTATGAAATACAGCTCAGAACTTTTTATATTTAACTAACTCAGTTTAAGAAAACTAGGTCACGAGTCTAAAAATACATGATTGGTAACGTGTCGATGAAACATTTTAAAAATTATTTGTCATCCTTGTGTGTAGGACTAGACCACAGCAACGCGGGACGGGTACGCTAGTTTAAAATAATAGACTATCAGCCGCAACATCACATGTTCGATACGTGTCACAAGTTAGATAGTTACCTTCTACATCAATCTAGAATCTACTTTTTGGAAAGAAATATGACTGCAACAATTTATTTTATCTTCTAGCTTTTTGAAATGTGTTATAAACATATTCAGAGAAAAATAATCATAAATTATTGAAACAAATAAGCAATAGCAATAATCCAGGAACGCTACAAGTGGTAAATACTGCTCCGTGGCTGTACTTCGACGGATGGTCCAGGTGATGGGACAGCTACCAAAGGTGTAGGAATCTGGCAACAGCACCACCCACTTCAGACAGGGCATTCAGCTATAGGTAAAAAGATAAATAAAAGGTAATCATCATGGTTGACAGGTAGGCCTATAGGGGTTTTCTGTTGAGGACCACTAACATGACTTTCTCTTGTGAAGTTCTTAACGTAAGTTGGACATTACACCCTGCCAATTACCCCCCACCCCCCCCCCCCCCCACGTTATTTAAACAGTCATGACCCCCAAATCAATTGCCCCCTAAAGAAGACGTTTATGAAGGGGGGTGGTGGAGAGGGGGGATCACGATAGTGGTAATTGCCTGAGAGGTGAAGTCTTAGATACGTTTTAACCACACGTTATATTAATATTTATAGTTTTAAAAATGACAACTTAATTGTATCTCGACGATCTCATATTAGAAGTAATTTTAGAAACTATGAGATACCACTTCAAGAGTTCGCTTAAGTTTTGGTCTCAGTGGTGATAATGCATTTAAGGTCGCTAAAATTGTAGCTGCTTTATTCAGAGGCGTAGCGACCCTTCCCGGCGCCAGGGGACAAACTTTCAATTTGGCGCCCCCCTCGAGAACAACCTTTCAACTTTCAATTTGCACACCCCCCTCAAACTTTCAATTTGCGACCCCACCCCCTCAAACTTTCACTTTGCACCCCCCCCCCTCCTCAAACTTTCAATGTGCACCCCCACTCAAACTTTCAATTTGCACCCCCCTCAAACTTTCAATTAGTTTTTCCAACCCATTTTGGCGCCCCCTAAGGTCGCGCCCGGGGACATATGTACCCCCCCCCCCCGTCGCTACGCCTCTGACTTTGATGTGAACATTTTTTAGTTTGTGGGGTATTTTCCGCAACTGTTTCGTCCTCCATTAGACACTTTAAGACCAATAGTTATATAAAAATAGGTACACATGAAAAAATTTCAAAATCTAAACCTATCGATGACAGAAAACCAAATTTCAAACAAATACCCAGCCGCCGACTGTCGATATTACAGGCGTGATGACAGCAGTCAGAGCGCTCTTGCAGAAACCAAACACCTCTTTGATGGCGGTCCAGACGCCGTTGGCGATGATCGAGAGCACGTCCCAGCAGAAGTAGAAGGCTGTAACAATGGCCTCCCAGACGTAGCTCGCCCCCTTCATCACTGCCGTCACCACCGTCTTGAAGTCACTGATACTCCAGGAGCGATTGGCGCACTGGGAACATACGTGATCGGATTGGTTATCCTTGTGACGGTTACGTAGACACTATATAATTTGATGTGGTGTAAGATTAATGTAAGTAGCTTAACATAGTTATAATGTAAGATTAATTTAAGTAGCATAAATTACCTGTAAGGCAAGATTAATGTTAACAGCATAACCTAGATCTTTGTTATGTACGATTAGCTACAATAGCAATCTGCCTATTCTGCTACAAGAGCAACCTTCCTGTTCTGCTACAAGAGCAACCAACCTGTTCTGCTACAAGAGCAACCTACCTGTTCCCCAACAAGAGCAACCTACCAGTTCTGCTACAAGAGCAACCTACTTGTTATGTTACAAGAGCAGCCTACCTGTTATGTTACAAGAGCAATCTACCCTTTCCCCAACAAGAGCAACATACCTGTTAGCAACCTACCTGTTCTGCTAAAGCTCTGACTTTTCTACGTTCTGGAGACTCGGCAAAACTTTTTGATATTCCATGTAATTCTTTTACGATGCTGTCCAGAGAGGGACTCGACTCAGCCCTTGATCAGATAGAGAATGACAGTTTTGTGACAAGAAAGGGACTATAATCACAGTTTGTGACGAAATGGGGACCAAATAATGACAGTTTTGTGACGAAATTTGGACCAAATAATGACAGTTTTGTGACGAAATTTGGACCAAATAATCACAGTTTTGTGACGAAATTTGGACCAAATAATGACAGTTTTGTGACGAAATTTGGACCAAATAATGACAGTTTTGTGACGAAATTTGGACCAAATAATGACAGTTTTGTGACGAAATGGGGACCAAATAATGACAGTTTTGTGACGAAATTTGGACCAAATAATCACAGTTTTGTGACGAAATTTGGACCAAATAATCACAGTTTTGTGACGAAATTTGGACCAAATAATGACAGTTTTGTGACGAAATGGGGACCAAATAATGACAGTTTTGTGACGAAATTTGGACCAAATAATGACAGTTTTGTGACGAAATTTGGACAAAATAATGACAGTTTTGTGACGAAATGGGGACCAAATAATGACAGTTTTGTGACGAAATGGGGACCAAATAATGACAGTTTTTTTGTGACTGACTGATAACAAATGACAAGCTCTTTTTCTTTGAACATACAGCTAAACAACATTATAAAACAGTATAAACTGATTTGACGAAGTAATCTTTTTCGCAAGACGTTTGGATTATCTAAACTATCCCTACATAGTGAGTATTATGTCTTCTATACGTTGCTTTGACGTTTAGACTATAAATCGAGCGTCATACAATTGTAATTAAAAGAAGTCCTAAAATAATTTAGTTGACAATTAGTATTTATGTTTAATTAATTAAACTTACTTTTGTCCGGTAATTTGCTGTATCACCTGTGGATCTTGGCTTGCTACAAAATTCTCAAACACGGCACCGACCACAACATTTTCTGCCATTTTTCTAAAGAGACAAAGCTATCTTAGCATACTGTTATATAGCATAGATCGTTTTATTACGGCGCAATAGTGACACAACACAGTAAGTTGGGAGAGATCTGCAAAAGTGTGTTTCGTGGATAGGCTTCATATGTGTGTGTGTGTGTGTGTGTGTGTGTGTGTGTGCGTGCGTGAGTGCGTGCGTGTGTCTGTAGAATTTGGGGCTATAATGAATTCGTTATAATTCGTTATGATAAAGTATATTTGAGTTTGTAACTGTTCTACTTGTTTCATCCGTGTACACACACAGACACACAGACACACAGACATACAGACACACAGACACACACACACACACAGACACACACACACACACACGCACGCACGCACGCACACACACACACACACACACACACTTCAACACTCGGAGGCTATTGTATAATAATATGCCTGATAAATAATTTAGCGTTGATCAGTCAGGGACGAGCAATCGAATATTTTTCATTTATCTCTTCGGTGGACGGTGTATTTCGTTCTGATCAGTTAGACAAAAATGTTATTTATCTTATGAAAGTTGCAGCCGTTAGTGTTTCTTTCAGACTTTTTCTCGTGCGTGTTGGTGGTGAGGGGTGGGGGTGGGGGGCACTTATTTTTCTGAGAGGGGGGTGACTGGTAAAAGCATATATTTTCTATATAACTTTCATTTCGTCGGGGGGGGGGGGGGGGGTGAAGACAGGACTGCTTCGTGGACGTGCGAAGAAATGCATAAGAAATACTGGTGTCATCCATCAAGGGATAGCTTTAAACTGAGCATAGTTAGAAGTAACAACGTCTGCTACTAGTACAGCTGGATGTAGCACTGTTTTTAGATTGGTATAAGTTAGAAACACACCTCAATTATAAGTAGCACGTTTACGTAATGCTGTGGTCAAGCCCTCCTTGTTCGTATTGGTGTAAGTTAGAAACACCTCAAAATGATCTTTTAATTTTTTTCTCTCCCTCTACTGGCCCCCTTAGGCGGTCGTCCACACCCCCCCCTCCCCCTCACCCCAGTTACATCTCTAAACGGCAGTGGAAGATAAGCGGGTGGTTGGTAAAATTGGTTAAAATTAGATGTGCATTTTTATCAAATTCTTTAAAATACCCCTCCCACCTACCTAAGACAACATAATCATATTTGTCAACTTAAACCTGAAGATGCGATAGTTTGAAAAGATTATTTGATGTTGGGTGCTTTTATGCCTGTTTATTTAAAAGTTAAATTATGTCAGTGAATCCTTTGTATACGTAAATATTGATCTGTTAGTTTTATACATTTTAATATTTCGGTTAGTTATTTTTTACGATTGTATTGCCTTGTTATGTTCTGGCTGTTTTAAGTGAATGATTGTAACGTCTTGTTATGTTCTGACTGCTTTAAGTGAATAATTATACAAAAGTATTGTTACAATGTAACAAAATAAAACAAACTACATTTGTTGTATGGTTTTTTCTACAGTTATCTATAAATGTGAGAAAATAAACTAAACTTACTCAGACTTAGCTCTGATCAGTTCGAGTCGATAAACAAAATATCGCGGCAACAGGTTTAACAAATTACAGGACCGATACCAACTACAAGAAGAATATTGAAATCGATTACTTAAAGAAATGATCCGTTAACTTTTCTTGGAAAACCATAAAACCACGACTTGTGTAAATTTTGATTTGATTAAAAACGAAGAGATAATTGACTTTGTTTGAATGGTAGGGCGTTTTTCATACCGTATTCCAGTCCCACGGTGCACATGTTCAATTTGATGATTTCCTAATGTAGATTACTATCAACTAAAAGTGATCTACATCTGATATAGAATCATGGTTTATTAAAGTAATGTAGGAATACATTTGGCTGTATAAAAAGAGTATAAAACATGCTAAACAATTTAAAAAAGGCTATTAACACATTCTTAAAAAAAACGTCAACGGTAATTTTTTTTTTTACTACACCATCTATTTTGTATAGCATTAGGGGAGTAGGGTTTTACTTTTACGCTATAATATTTATTGTAATACAAATTATAAAATTACTAGTTTTAGAAAGTTTACATGACCATATTTATAAACCAAAAGCCTGCAAAACAAGTCGGTGTATACCAGAGGCGTAGAGACCCTTCCCGGCGCCCGGGGACAAACTTTCGATTTGCACCCCCCTCAAACTTTTGATTTGCACCCCCCCCCCGTCAAACTTTTGATTTGCACCCCCCTCAAACTTTTGATTACTTTTTCCAACCCATTTGGGCGCCCCCTAAGGTCGGCGCCCGGGACATATGTCCCCCCCTGCCCCCCCATCACTACGCCTCTAGTGTATACATTTAAAGTAAACATTACAATTATCACAAGTTACTTAAGTAATGTGGTAGATTTGTTGAATTCTACTCACAACTGCATAGTAGTGAAATTGAGTTAAACTTTCGCAACGTAAACATAAATACTTAAGTTTAGCAATGCTGAATACTTGGAAATAAAGCACTAAATTAATGTGAATTTAATAGCAAGGAGAGTTAGTTATTTTATTTCTCGGGTTGTCCAGGTTTAGCAGCAGGCTCATAAGATTAGCCACAACCAAACTAAATTGACGAAACGTAAACTTTAGTTTTATTCACAAAATAATATCTGATAAAGTTTATGTTTTAAACTTTGACAGGGTAAAGATTTCTTTGGTATTATTTTTTTTTCGAAAAACATTTCCAAGGCCATTGGTGTCAGATGACACAGATAAAATCGAGCCGTGACGTTCACTACTTTATAATCGTATTGCAGAGTTTATTCTACTTTGAGACAGCTTTAATGCTCACTTATTGAACACACAATACACTCCTGTTCAATAGGTTATTGATTTTAAAATTGCCCTGTTCGAGTTTCGCTAAAGTCATTTTTCAAAGCTGAAAAGAAAATGTTTGCATATCGTAAATTGACATCTATCAAAAACCAACATAACAGTACGCATACGTCGTATGCAGCATAATAAAACATATGTGGAAATTTGAACTGTTCTTTAAATCACATATTGATTTTATTCTTTAAACTATGTCTGGCGGTGTTGTTCAGTAAGGTATACAAATTGTCCGCTTTGATGTTTATCTTAGATCAAGTTTTCTGAAGTTCAATTCTACCTAATAAAGAGTTTTCTTAAAAAGAAAATAAGTACCAAGGTTTGATTTAGTTTTATTTCATAACAATTTTTATTTTTAAAATATATAACTTTCCATTTGCATCGTACTAAAACATATTATTTTAAAGATTTTTAAAAAAATTCCCTAAATAAAAAAAATGATTTTTATTTCCAACCTTGAACAAGGATACGCATAAATGTAGAGGTTTTAAAAAGTCCCACCCTCACCACCACCCACAATTACGACACAAATACCGTACTCATACCATGCATGCTACAACTGGAATAAAATTATGGAAAACAATATATTTGTACCAAATTCGTCTCATTAAGATTTAAAAAAAAATTCCCAGGCTGAAATACTAATCATTATCAAAGTAGAGTAAAATACAAAGTAACCTAACACCCTACCCTACCACCTACCCTCCCCCCCACACACAATTAAGCCACGAATGACACATCGAGTAAAATCGTGGAAAATCCATAACCTTATCTACACATTAATAAGAAAATATTGTTACGTCATTAAGCATCGTTCTTAACTTTGCATTCCATGAAAGTAAAATAAAATTGAAAAAAAAAAAAACAAACAGAAACAACCACATAAAAACAAGCCAATGATAGCCCAAGTTATAAAATGTCGCGCTAAGCGATGGCAGCAGAACATTTACCCTGTCACTTATCCCCTATCCCATCCCCCCCCCCCCCGATGAAGCCAGTGTTTCTTCCAGACTTTCTTCTCCGGGGGGGGGGGGGGGCACTTGATATTTTCGGGGGGCGGTCAACATTTTCCGGGGGGGGGGGGCGGACACTAGTAGAAGTATATTTTTACTATATAAATTCAATCTCGTTCGCCCCCCCCCCCCCCCCCGCCCCCGAAGAGATGCCTGGAAGAAACTCTGCATGAAGCTTGTCTATCGCCCCCTATCCCGAAATATATAGAATGTAAATATAGAAATATATACCTTTACCAGCGTACACCCCCCCTCACAAAAGTTTTAAGTGACCTCAAAGCCCCAAGAGATAAAAACTGAAAGAAACACTGATTTGTATTGCGTTTTGAATTATGTCTAGTGTTAGGGTGAGGGAAAAATGTAAGTAATGTTCACTTTCAAACCTGACATTCTACGTAAGTCAGGTACTCATTAGAGCTGTGTGGTCTCCATTGTTTATTCTTTGCTCAAGTCAAGCAAAACTAAAGGCCTTGTGTCACCCTATAATAGGTAACTTGCAAGATAGAGATGGGGTAATTATCATGAAGGGAGATTTAATAGGGGGGCATTGATGATGGGAGGAGGTCATTGATCTGGGGTGTAATGATACGGGGCAATAAACAGGGAGAGGGGTAATCAATGTCCTCGACCACAAGACCAAAAGACTGGAGTTAAATTTAAAACACGCAAACACTTGAAACCAAACAAAAAGGTAAGTAAAAAGTAACAAAACTTTTAATTTAAATAAATACATTTATTGTAGTACAATAGAAAAGTGTTTAAACCCATGTTAAAACAAAAATCATTTCCGTATATTGTTCTATATGAAATTGACAGGTGAGTCAATTATTGTTGCCCATCATTTTAAAGACGCTAGAATCTGTAGAAGCCAGTTAGCTTTAGTGTTAAAGCTATCAAAATTTCGATCAAACAAACCTTGACTATAATTCATATTGAACAAAAACAATTATTTTTTTTTAGTTTAAAATTCACAAATATGTCTGTTACATTTATAATTTTAATGAGTTATTCTCAATGATACCACTTAAAGATACATGGAAATATTTTCTCCATTTAATGACTTAAAAGTAGAATTACAAAATATTTTGTATGTTAATTTTTTCTTCTAGTCCCAAAAGAAAAAAATCGTGTGATGGATGAAAGGAATCCAGTCTTCGGTGTTTTTAGAACTGCTCTCTGGTAAAACAAAATGTATGTATTATATATATATATATATATATATATATATATATATATATATATATATATATATACATATATATATATATATATATATATATATATATATATATATATATATATATATATATATATATATATAAAAATGTAAAAATATATATATATATATATATATATATATATATATATATATATATATATTTAAAAAGAAAAATTGTAAGCATATACATATATATATATATATATATATATATATATATATATATATATATATATATATATACATATATATAAGTCGACGAAGTTGTTAATTAATAATAAAAATATATTTGTTATTGAGTCGGATTGTATAAATACTTAATACTTAAGTTTAGCAATGCTGAATATTTGGAAATACAAGCACTAAATTAATGTGGATCTAAAAGCAAGGAAAGTTAGTTATTTTATTTCTTGGGTTGTCCAGGTTGAGCAACAAGTTCATAAGATTAGTCGCAACCAAACTAAATTGACGAAACGTAAACTTTAGTTTTCTTCACAAAATAATATTTGATACGAGCAAACCCCGATAACTATCCCACACGCAACAGCACAAGAGAACAAAGCCAGCCGTGTGTCCCTACCCATCCACCAGCGGCGTCCACCTTAGCGTCCAGGTGTTGGGAAAAAGCTTGCTGGCTCCACTGTAAGACCTCGTCCATCCTGGGCGTGCCCTTAATCGCCATCCTCATCATGAAGTCATAGAAGTAGAAGAACATGACGACAATCTGGTCGGACAGGTGCTGGTCAGACTCTGGACCCAGCAACATACGCACAAGTTCTGCGAAATCTGTTTCGCTCAGTTCCAGATTCGGCTGTGTGAGATGTTTAGTGATGAAGATAGAGAATAGTATGCTTAGGTATTTATTATCATTATCATCTTTTACCGTTTGTGCCCAAGACACATACGGGTAGATGTGATTATTAACATGTCTTAGGTACCCATTAGACCTGGGTGGACTCAGGCACATTCTTCTGACTTGAACCCGGATTAAGACTCTCGGGTTAGCAGTCTACTGCTTTACCACTAGGGCTCGCCGTCCGCACTAGTGTAATTAATTCAACAGAGCCGAAGTATAAATATAAGATTCTTTTAATTAAATTAAATAACAACATTGCAATTCTTTTGTGCAACACAACTATTAACTCAATACCGGGAAAGTAATTTTCCAATAAAAGTTTTATTTCTTCTCGATACTGTTATCGTTGATTCGACCAACCAACCTTATTAGCTTCGTCTTTGGTCAACTGCCTGTGTTCGTATCGCTTGAACTCATCTGCCAGTTGGTCCAGTGTGGTCGCTATGTACTGGTAGTCGGGGTCATTTGAGGTTTCACTCTGGGCACTGAAACCATTGTAAATAACGTCAGTAGAATGGCAAATATTTATCACTGAAACCATTGTAAATACCGTAAGTATAATGGCAAATATTTATCACCGAAATCGTTGTAAATAGCGTCAGTATAATGGCAAATATTTATCACTGAAAACGTTGTAAATACCGTCAGTATAACGACAAATATTTATCACTGAATCTATTGTAAATACCGTCAGAAGAATGGCGAAAATTCATCACTCAAATCATTGTAAATACCATCAGTATAATGGCAAATATTTATCACTGAAACCATTGTAAATACCGTCAGTATAATGGCAAATATTTATCACTGAAAACGTTGTAAATACCGTCAGTATAACGACAAATATTTATCACTGAATCTATTGTAAATACCGTCAGAAGAATGGCGAAAATTCATCACTCAAATCATTGTAAATACCATCAGTATAATGGCAAATATTTATCACTGAAACCATTGTAAATACCGTCAGTATAATGGCAAATATTTATCACTGAAACCATTGTAAATACCGTCAGTATAATGGCAAATATTTATCACAGAAACCGTTGTAAATACCGTCAGTATAATGGCAAATATTTATCACTGAAACCGTTGTAAATACCGTCAGTATAATGGCAAATATTTATCACTGAAACCGTTGTAAATACCGTCAATGTAATGGCAAATATTTATCAATGAAAAATTGTAAATAGGCCTAACGTGAGAATACTGGCAAATATGAGTACAATGTATAAACAGAACATGGTAAACTGCAAATGCCCTATCAATTTGTTTATACTATTAAATAAATTGGTATTTGTTAGCTTGAAGTAAGCCTTGAAAAGCTGCTATTTAAGTAAATGGCACACATTACAGACCACAAATTGCTTGTGATTTTAAAATGACGTTTCGTACCATTTATGTGTAACTTTTGGCTCATTAATACAAATAAAATAAAAGAATATATTTTAATTTTATTGAGGTAATAAAAATATTGAACTATTCAAAATTTTTCAATAGCCATAAAAAAAATTGAATTTTAAAAAACGATGGTGACTTTGTTTATACGTATAAACTACAAGAATGATTTTTTTATAGATTAAAAAAACTATCCTGTTACCTTAGAGATCGAAGTAGGTCAATGAAGAAAGGGGCGTCAACCTTCAATTGCTCTCGGACAAAGTGAAGAAAGAGCTGACCAGCTAGGTGGCTAGTCATCCCAGGCTGCTGGGGCACATGATGCGCCATGATTGCCAAAACACACGAGACAGCAGCGTTACTCTACCTGAAAGTCGACGGCCTACTACAGGTACAACCTCACCCGAACAAGTCACACAATCACGGCCTACTACAGGTACAACTTCACCCAAACAAGTCACACAAACACGGCCTACTACAGGTACAACTTCACCCAAACAAGTCACACAAACACGGCCTACTACATACACAATTTTACGTGAACAAGTTCCAGGATTTGTTGTTTGTGCATGAAGTTTCTTGTTGCAACACGTAACACGCATTGAAAAATATTTGCTGTATTTGGCAATGGCGACTTTTATTCTCATACGACTACTGACAGTAGTCGATTACAAACCAGGAAATATTGGGAGGTAACTCGATTAATTTTCTCCACTGTCCTACGCCTGGAATTTTACAGCTACCATTTTTAGCTTTCACTTCATATTGCTGTAGTGCATTTCTTGCAGACACATAAATAGTAGTCAATACTTTCTCAGAGATTATCTTCCAAGAGCCCTCCTTCATCTCAATTAGAAAAGCAAAAACATATCGAAATGCGATAACCCTCGTATATTTAAAAAAAAAAAGTTCAACTGATAAATCATCTACACGTCACCCGGACACTCTTAAAGCAGAGGCGTAGCGAAGGGGGGGGGGGCGACATATGTCCCCGGGCGCCGACCTTAGGTGGCGCCAAAATGGGTTGGAAAAACAAATTGAAAGTTTGGGGGGGGGGGGGGGGTGCAAATCAAATGTTTGTCCCCGGGCGCCGGGAAGGGTCGCTACGCCTCTGTCTTAAAGTACCAAACATTTTGAATGTACATAAACACAGCACACTGGCATACATATAAAGTAAAAGTTTTACTTATGTTCCCATAATCACCGAAAACGAACTCTGATGATGAGTATGTCAAGTGTCGAGCACACCATCACACCGTCCCAGGTTTAGTGTAAGGCTGGTGACTAAATCAGTGCCTCGAGGTGGCTTTTGTCTTCTTGTCTGCATAAGTCTTGTCAAAATTTTGTTTAATTTGGTAAATTAAGGCTCTATTAATTAACCACACGACTATAATTATAAGAATAAATAGGCAATTGCTAAGCTATGATAGACGGAAAAAGATAATTCCAATTAGGCTAAGTTATTTTTGGTTATGAGAAGGGCGATTACTCTAGCTGTACTTAAATTTAAGCTAAGGATTCTGCTTCAAAGAAATCAAAATCGTATTTAAAGTTAAATAATATGCAGAGGCGTAGCGAGTGGGGGGGAGGGACATAGATACCTTAGGGGGGGGGGGTGCGCCAAAATAGGTTGGAAAAACAAATTGAAAGTTTGAGGGGGGTGCAAATCAAAAATACGAGGGGGGGGGGTGTGCAAATCGAAAGTTTGAGGGGGTGCAAATCATAAGTTCGAAAGCGGGGGGGGGGGGGGGGGGTGGGGTGCAAATCGAAGGTTTGTCCCCGGGCGCCGGGAAGGGTCACTACTTCTCTGATAATATGTTGAGTATTTTTATATGCACGGGTCTACTGGCTCTGTCAAAGACGCTCCCAATTTTAATCTTCATATTTCATTTTTTTGCACCCAAGCCTGATAACCGCTGCCTACAAAGTTGCGAGTAACTTTACAAACAGCAAAGCAATAAAAGGGAAGATAATAATTGATAGTAAGTCATTTGAAAAACATCAAAGCACTAATCCTGGCTCCACTTCGATTTTTCCCGGGTCCAATTGACCCAATTCACCCCTGGTAATAAGTCATATGCATTCTCTGTAGCATATACTAAAGTTAGTTGTGTTAATACTGAATCAGAATTTATTACATTAAACAGGTGATATACCTACTTATTAGAAACATCCAACAGTTTCAGTAAATCACATTGGGAGTTTCTTTCTGACACCCCTTTGGGGGGGGGGGGGGGGGGAGAAGTGAAGTGCCCCAGAGATCACGTCTACAGCTCCCCCCCCCCCCGTAGAAAAAAGTCAGAAAGAAACCTTGATTGCGATAGGTTAACCACAAGCTGTGACCCCCCCCCCCCACCCCTAATCCCTATCCCACCTCAAACTACCGGTGCTCACAAATCGAGGCCGCTGACATCATATATGGGTGCCGGTTTAACATATAAACTACGTGGATCTGGTATAATTATATCATGTTGCAGAACACATGAACCGTTTTTTTTACTTTCTCGTATATACGAAGTATAGAGAAAGTATTGTAATCGTGCAAAAAAAAAAATTGGGATTTTTACAAATCTCGACGTTTTACACCTCACTGATACGGAAAAACATAATTTTGCAATCTTGTCCGTATGTCTGTGTGTGTGTGTGTCTGTCTGTCTGTCCGTGTGTAAGCACGATTACTTGAGTACCGTTACAGCTAGGTTGATGAAATTTCATATATATGTATTTTATCAAAATCGTAGATCCGTATAAACTTTTGAGCGATTTCCGATAACCGGAAGTGGTACTTTTCCTACTTTGAATTTTTCAAAAGCCTATAACTTGAGTACAATTTCAGATAGATAAATGAAATTACTCATGTAAGTAAAAGATCTTATTCTCTACCTTCTGTTAAATTTCGAGTAATTTCCGTTGACCGGAAGTAGTAATTTACGCTTCTTCCGATTTCTAAAAAAACTAATGTAAATTTTTAAAGTACTAATAATATTGCGCACTATTATGCACTTTTTTATTTGGGGTTCAATTGGTGTGCAATTCTTTTGTCTACGAGATTTTATTCTAATTTTTAAAACTTTAAGTATTTAAAATGGATTAAAAATCATGTCTATAGCCCGAGTTCCCATCCCCTGTTATTTTATATAAGAATATTCGAGAAAGTTTTGGGGAGATCACTCCCGGTTTATTTTAGTTTGCAAAACAAATAACAAAACAAATGACGAAATTCACAATACCAAAGCATTTTAGAATGGATACGTTTATTATGCGTTTATTATAAAATAAATCTTCTATAGTTTTATATTTTAAAATGAGAATTAATTACTGAGTTTCTTAAGTAAATAATCAAAGATAGATAAATATTAATTGTTGTTTATTCTTAGTAAAAACAGGATTATTGTTCTTTGGGTCTTTATAATATTGAAGAGGAATTCAATACTTTACAAGAGTTGTTTTTATATTTTTAGCAACCATTTTAGTTTGTTATTAGCATGAATTGAAACGACAGTGCCTGCGTGGAAGGAAGTCTATACTTGGGGCAGTTTGATGACTATGGTGACTTACAGTGGCGCCCATTGTACGGCATTTCAATAAGAGATAAATTAGCAACGTTTATTCGTGTTTTACAAGTAGAAGTTGTTAAAGTTATTTTGTCAACATAGATTAGAATACGTCTCCACCCTGAGAATTATTCTTAGGAAAACTTCAATTATCTAACTTAAGAAAAAAATTATTCGAGCGTGATGTGCCCAATTTGTGCCCAGTTTGTGGCAATTACCAAAACTTAAAATATTTGGCAATAGCTTTACCAGCTTGAACGGCCATCCTCTGAAAATAAAACAAAAACATGTTTTAAGATCGAATATACATCAATATAAATAAAACAAATAAAATAAATTAAATTAAATTTAAATTTAAATTTAAATTTAAATTTAAATTTAAATTTAAATAAAATAAAATAAAATAAAATAAAATAAAATAAAATAAAATAAAATTATATATATATATATATATATATATATATATATATATATATATATATATATATATATATATATATATATATATATATTGTCTGTGTGTGCGTGTGTGTTTGCTTATTTTGTAGATTGCTACTATCTTAACTTTAAAAGGACAATCAGTTGCATCACATCAAACGTAACCTACATCACCTTTACGCAAAACTAAGCACATTTGATCTCAGTGTATATGATTTTTAAATACTAAAAAAGAATGTAGAAACATCTACAATTTTCAACAGAAACTTAATCGTTTGTACTTGCATTTAAAACATAAATTAGCAAACTTAATCTTTTAAATCAATATTTCTACCCTATGATTTAAACTGTTCATGGATGTAATTAATATTTCAGTGGACGCAAGAAGGTGTAGGAATCAATTAAAAGGGCCTTTGAAAAATGAACCCCGTCACTACATCTTTGTGCAATAAACTCCCTTCAATTGTCTTTTGTTGCATGACTTTTTGAGCCAGAAGATTTGTTGTAGGAAGCCACTGTATCGTGGGCAAATTTTACTGGGATTATCATAAGAGTAATTTCTTAGCGGGTATTTTGTCTGATGCCATATTATTGTGATCCCATTTGTCCGTAGCTTATTTAAAATGAAGTTTTTATCTTTAGGGTACCTCTGCAGGAGGCAAATATTTCAGGGTCTTTTCTATACATTAACATTCCTGTTGGATCTAATTATAATATTTTTAAAAGCAACTTTGCGGATAATTTTTTTAATGAAGTGTGAAGAAAATTTTAATTTATAATTTATTTTTAAAAAAATCTAAATAAAAGCCCAAATAATTATTTTAATAAAAATCTATACAGTAATAGTCAGATGTTGACTTTAATGAGGAGGGCTGATGTTGAAGAAATAATTTTGCTTTACATTTAAATATAAGGAATAAATAACTACCCATCCACCAACAGCTTCCACTACAGGTGTGACGACTTTAGTTAGACCGCCCGTGCAAATACTAAAAAGTTCCTTCACTTGGTCCCAGGCGCCTTGTGCTTTGGTCTTCAGTAGATCCCAGCAAAAGTAAAATGCTGCAGCAATGGCCTCGGCAACATACTCATTATTTTTCACCAATGAGGTCACAATGTGTGTTAAGTCCTCGGCTGTCCAACGTTGGTTAGAATACTGAGCAAAGAAAATGGGCAATAGATCATATATATATATATATATATATATATATATATATATATATATATATATATATATATATATATATATATATATATATATATATATATATAAAGCAATGTATGCGTGTGTGTGAGTGTGTGTGTGTGTGTGTGTCTGTGTGTCTTGTATGCATTACCACACCTCTTATCACATCGCCGTCGAACTTTGGGAAGATTCCTGGGGAGGTTTCTGCGGGGAAAAAAAAAATTCAAATTCGCAGGGGTGGCGCCCCGGCAGGGCGCGATTTGTTTTTTCTCTATATACGGTATATAAAAATAAACGTCGATAGCGGTTTCACAGCGATCAACCGATCGCCATCAAACTTTGGAAAGTTGATTAGGACACTCTGAGGACAGGTTCTATAAAAATTTATTTATACGTTTGTACTCCATTTAATGCACCTTGCTTAGACAATGTGTTACAGCGATTACTTAGTAAAGAAACCAAAACTCATTTTAAAAACTTGTGATTAACGAAAATGGTATTCTTGTCTTGTTTCATAGATGGAAGAGAAATCGACATTTCAAAGTTAAATTGATTACGAATGATCATTAGGTCATATATAATGTTAGTACTTTTTTTCGGGCAAACGGCCTTTGGGCAAGTGGCATTCGGGCATTTATCGCATTCGGGCAAGTGTCCATTCGGGCATTTGTCGCATTCGGGCAAGTGTCCATTCGGGCATTTGTCGCATTCGGGCAAGTGTTTATTCGGGAAATCGGCCTTCAGGCAGGTGTCTTTCGGGAAAACGTCCGGCTCCCCGATGGCTAGTCTATATACTACTACAACTCAAGTTTGTTTACATGTTTGAATATTTTTTTGTTTGTTTGTTTGTTTGTTTTTTTGTTTGTCTGATCGATAATTGTCAATGGTTCTATTCATCGTGGACAGCTGTAAAATAGTATGTAGGTAGAGAACAATTTTTCGTTTTAAGACAGACTGTTAATCACAAATTTATTTAAAGACGTTAATTAATTTATTGATTTATTCATAGGTAGATTAACTACATTTTTTTTAAATGTTAAAACATTGACTAAACTTTGTGAGAATAGTGACGTCCCTTGATGTGTTTACTTTTTGGTACAATAAAAATGGCGGACTCCATCATAGACTTTCTGGCCCATTCAAAAGTTTAACGCGTTACAAAGCTAATTTTCTGCCGGCGATAACTTAAACAATACGTCCGTTTGCTGTATTAATTACGTTCCAACACGTTCAATTTTAAACTGTCTTTTTTCATTTAGTTTTACAATAAATTTCTCTAGATCTAAAGATCAGCTGTCGAAGGAAAGTTATTAATCTAGCGGCCTAGCCTAGATTCTAGATCTAGATCAAGCCTAGATCTAGGTCACTAGACTCAATGTAAATTCTAGATCTAGACTTAATGTAAATTCTACATCTAGAATCTATTTCAGGCCTTAATTATTTTATATAAATCTTTGTTTAGCTTCAATGATCATCTAATTCGAGAATACATGGGATTTTTTTTTATCTAGGTTCTATATCTAGATATAGTAGGATTACTCACTAACTTGGAGGCGTGGTCGGCTGCTAACAACAATATGGCATCCGGACCGGTAGCATGACTTCCGACCATTTTTAGGCCATGTTTACCACGAGCAAAATGGCGGGTGTTCACATTATTTAAACATGGTATAGGTGGCCAGGGCTAGATATGCCAGAAAAGCATTTTAAAATTTGCTTTGGATAATGAAGGCTAAATTTTAAAGTCAGTGTCATAAAAATTAATAGAACTTTTTTTTTACGTTTTCAATTATTTTTTCTTAAGCCCTATATGTGAATAATAAGGTTGACTATCAGGACCTCGCGGGGCACAGGGCAGGTGAAGTAGGGTTCATCTGTTTCTTTGTCCTAAGCATATGAAGGGATAGTGTGGTCATAGACATGCTCGGCTGGAATCTTTTTTTAAACGATAAAAACATGTTGTCTGAGACTTGGCGGGATACTGGGCAGGTGAAGTAGAGTTGAGTAGGTCACCTGTGACGTCAGTATATGAAGGGATAGTCCGAAATCGGTGTTTTCGGTGTTTTTTAAAGATAAAAAACATATTTTTGAATGTGGGGTCTGTTTTTTGTGACGATAAGCGACACTACAGTAGCGTAGAGAGGAGGGGGGGGGGCGGGGGGGGGGTCATATGTCCCCGGGCGCCGACCTTAGGGGGCGCCAAAATGGGTTGGAATAATAAATTGAAAGGTTGAGGGGGGTGCAAATCTAAAGTTTGAGTGGGGGGGGGGGTGCACATCAAAAGTTTGAGGGGGGGGGGGGTTGCAAATCAAAATCTTGCTGGGGGGGGGGGGGGGGGTTCAAATCGAAAAGTTTGTCCCCGGGCGCCGGGAAGGGTCGCTATGCCTCTGAGTGACAGACGTGATGTTTTTTGATGGATGACCCCCGAAACCCACAGTTATCCAACGGATGACGGGTAGTCTAGTATAATATAAGCGGCCAAGTAGTGTGTCAGTCCTTCCTATCTTCTGTCATCTTTTTTTTTCCTTCTGTCATCGCTATAGATTTTAGAACCATAAAAGTAAACATAAATAATAGAGTAGGGTTTGTTTATATAACAACATAAAGTTTTTTTTATAGTTGCCACTGTTTTTTAAAAATTAAATACACGCACATTGCTGAAACATATTAAAAGGATCAATGTCAAATATCATTTTCGTTTATATTCTTAGAAAAGGTGGAAACATTTTCATAACAGTAGGTCGAAAAAACTAATTAATTCAACTATCTTTTTTTGGTAATTTCTGCAAGGGAGGTAATTTAAAAATAAACCGGGAGTGATCTCCCCTAAACTTTCTCGAATATTCTTATCTATATATATCTATCTCTTCTGGGAGCCGTTAGAAAACAAACTGCAAGCGCCTCCTTGCAGTCCCCTCTCTTTCTCTCTATCACTATCACTACCACCCCCACCCACCCCCACATTGTCTTGTGAGTTGTGGTCACGCTAAATGTTTACAAAGATAAATGTTTACAAATCGTAGAGCCTTAGAGCCGGGTTTCTATTAGGGGCAGATAATTTAGTTCAATATTAAACTTACAGGAGGTAACTAAGAAATAACTAAGAGGAGGCTGCTTTCACTGGGGGGGGGGGGGGGGTGTAGGGTCGGGGTTAGGGGAAAAGGGGGGGGGTTAGTGTTTTAAAGCAAATATTTTCAGTAGCAGCATTGGTACTGTCGAATTCACAAATTATGAATTACTGAAAAGTAGAAAATAAAACAGCTAAATAGCGGCGTATGATACGCTGCGGGTCGGCTCGTATAAAATAACAGGGGATGGGAACTCGGGCTATATACATGATTTTTAATCCATTTTAAATACTTAAAGTTTTAAAAATAGAATAAAATCTCGTAGACAAATTAATTGCACACCAAGTAAACGCCAAATAAAAAAGCGCATAATAGTGCGCAAATTTTTTAGTACTTTTAAAATTAACATTAGTTTTTTGAGAAATCGGAAGTAGCGTAAATCACTACTTTCGTTCAACGGAAATTACTCAAAATTTAACAGAAGGTAGAGAAATAGATCATTTACTTACATGTGAAGTTTCATTCATCTATCTGAAATAGTACTCAAGTTATAGGGTTTTGAAAAATTCAAAATAGGAAAAGTACCACTTCCGGTTATCGGAAATTGCTCAAAAGTTGATACGGATCTACGATTTTGATAAAATACTTATATATGAAATTTCATCAACCTAGCTGTAACGGTACTCAAGTTATCGTGTTTACACACGGACAGACAGACAGACAGACAGACAGACAGGCACACAGACATACGGACAAGATTGCAAAATTATGTTTTTCCGTATCAGTGAGGTGTAAAACGTCGAGATTTGAAAAATCTCGATTTTTTTTGCACGATTACAAGACTTTCTCTATACTTCGTATATACGAGAAAGTAATAAGTATAACTCATCAATAATTGAAGTTATTTTTTACAAGCTTTTATTTAACTCACTTCCTCTGTCTGTCTATCTAGATCGAAACGGCGGAGCGAAAATTCGGACAATTCTACTTGACCGATACGATTCACATTTGGTACGTGAGTCAAGACATGAAGACAATGCAATTTAAAATTAAATTTGACTTAATTGGATGCTTAATTAATTTTTTATGAATTAATTAAAATTTGGACCGAATCAACAGGCATGTCTATCCAACCACACCACACGCGTCATCACGTTCAATAGCTTCGCCATCACCTTTAGTAGGCGCGCCATGACGTTCAGTAGGCGCGCAATGGTTTTTAGTCATGTAACTCTATTGTAAATAAAACGTGTAAAGTACTGAAATTTCTTATCATAAAAAACGTTTTAATAACAAGCTTTTGTGTAATAATGCACTAAAAAGTAGAAAATAAATTATAGACTACTATTTAAATAACTATAAAGAAAAGCGTGGGTCACTTTAGTATCGATTGGATACCTTTACTAATGTTAAGGAAGACACCCACGCTTTTCTTTATAGTTATTTAAATCTAATATATAAAGCTCAGTTCTGTAACGCATATGTTTGTTTGTCGCTGGTTATCGATGGATTTAAGTGTTAGACAATCATCGTGCGCATTTGTCTAAATTTCTGAGTTAAAAAATTACTTTTGAAAGTGTTGAGAAATAATTTTCATTTTTCCAACTGATAATAATAATTGTCGGCATGTTCATTAAACACAATTTTAAAAAAAGATCATCTTTTACAAAAATTCTAATTATGTCTTTATTTAGTCCTATAGCGCTTACTTCCCTTTGATAAATTAGGAAAAACACAATTACTTCCCTTTATAAAACCATTGCATTTTGTGGAAAATAAATTTACTTTTTAATTACTTTGTTTTGGTGTTGGGAAAAAAAATAATTACATAATTAGCGGGGATTGATCAAGTGCAAATGTTGTAGGTATTTTACGGATAAGCTTGGAGTATTATAATTGTTC